ACCTGGTCAAAGTGAGCGGCCTCAGTCGGGGGGAGAAGCTCCGATAGCGTGAGGGCGGCGGCCGCGTCACAAGAGAGCCACACGTCCCGAGCCAGGACCCGACGGTCGTAGTCCGCCTGGGCCGTAGGAGTCGGCTCCGGGGCGGTCGGCAGGGCGGCGGGGGACGGGGGTGCCGCGAGAGCACCCGACGCGTGGGCCCACAGAGTGGCGCCGTCCTGACGCTGGCTGGTGAGGAAACGTGTGGTCTGGCGCTGCCAGGTACCGAACTCGATCGGGCGTCCCTCAGCATCGAAACGGAGGCGACGGGCCTCCATAGCGGAGCCCATGCTAGAGGCGATTGGAGCACGGCGGAGGCGGAGCTAAGAACGAGGAGGAAAACTACGGAGGGCTAGGGACGCCAGCGGGGAAACCGACGAGAGACAGTCGGCGAGAAAATAGTCGTGGGGCGGGGCTCTAACCAAACCTAGGTGGCGCTACCGGAGGGAAGAGCGGCTGCCAGCCGCTGAGCCGGGAGCCAAGTGCAGTAGGAATGGCGTGGGACCGGTGCACAGGTGAAGGGGAGAGAGATGCAGTAAGCGCACAGAGTGATGCGGTAAGTGTACGCAGGTGTGCGGTAAGCGCACGCAGGTGTGCGGTAAGTGCACGCAGGTGTGCGGTAAGTGCACGCAGGTGTGCGGGAAGCGCACGCAGGTGTGCGGGAAGCGCACACAGAGTGATGCGGTAAGTGCACGCAGGTGTGCGGTAAGCGCACGCAGGTGTGCGGTAAGTGTTGACGGAGGAGGGCGCGCGACAGGCGGAGGGGAGGGCACGCGACGGTCTAAGGAGGGCGCACGACGGTTGAGGAGGGCGCGTGACGGTGGGGGAGGGCGCGCGGCGGTCTAAGGAGGGCGCACGACGGTTTTGGAGGGCGCGCAACGGTGGGGGAGGGCGCGCGGAGGTCTATGGAGGGCGCGCGACAGGCTGGACAGCGCGGGAGGGCGCGGGCTAGGCGCGAGGAGGGCGCGGAGGGCGCGGAGGGCGCGGAGGGCGCGAGAGCACGGAGGACGCGTAGGGCGCGGAGGCTAGCTAAAAACGAACGAGGATCTAACCTACTCGTGATACCATCTCAGAATAGGAATGCAACGGAATGGGAGAAACTAGAAAGTGTGAGAGTACAAATATGCAACCCTAACAACTGTACTCCCTATTGTGCTACTCACTGTAGCCTACAAGCATAAATTACATTTGACACCCCTGTCACAAAGTCTCCGCCCCCCCCAATTCCAAGCACACGTAGCGCAAGCTGCGCCCACGATTCGCAAACTTCTTCGGCCCGTCTCGTTCCTGGGTTTCTTGCCTCACATCTTCCTGCATCCTCTCTCCCCCCCTTCTCCTCCCCCCTCTCCTCTCTTTCGTTCCAGTCTACCAGAAAGAAGCAGCTGTCATGGACGTGGTTCACATGGGGGCCCAACTCCAAGGACACGGGAGGCGTGCTGAATGACGACTGGGACACGGCGGAGCAGGGCAAGCTGGAGGTCATGGCGGAGGTCATGCACCCGCGCTTCGGCGCTGCTATCGGTGACCGCCCGCCCGTGCCGCCCCGCCACGGGCCGCTGCTGGTGTATGCGCCGGAGAACACCACTGGGATCAACTTGCCTGTCGCTGGTGAGTGGGCGGCGACGGGGAGGGGTGGCTTTGTGAGGGAGTGAGTGTGCCGTCCCGCCATGGGCTGCTGATGGTGCCGCCCCGCGACATGGGCTGCTGTTGGTGTATGTGCCGGAAAACGCAAATGGGATCAACACGCCTGTTGCTGGTGAGCGGGCGGACGAGGGGAGGAAGAAAAGGGGAGTGTGTGGGGGAGGTGTGGGGCGAGAGACAGCATCCGGGCTAGTACACGCCGGTGCAGTCATGCGCACTTTTTTCTCCCTACCACACATGCACACACACTGATTCTTTATACCCTCTCGCTCTCTTCCTCTCCCACATGCTCTCTTTGTCCTAAACCCGAAACTTCTTCTCTCTGTTTATTTTTTTCCCATTTCCTCTACTCCGCAATCTCTTTCCGATGCTAACGCTCTGTGGTCGTGGCATTCTCTGTGTTTGCAGCACCCAAGCAGCGGCCAGGATCAGACTCATACTTCAAAGCGAGCTCGCCTTACGCCAGGGCCTCATGGCTGTTCCTTGCAGTGGCAGCAAGTGCGTGGTTGTTATTGCTAGCACTCGTCGCATGATGCTGCTTGGGAAAACTTCCTCTAGGTGTGTTTTACTGACTTGTGTAGGAATCATGTGTGCTGTATGGTAATGTATCAAAGTGCTCTGATGAATAAAATCCTTTACACTGTTTCAAAATGTCTTTGCTCTGTTGACGAGGGTACCAACCACCCACACTCCGTAATGCATGGGATCGCTCTGCTGAAACCAATAGCCCATGCTGCAGAATCACCTCTAGATGTCTGGATTGCCATGGCTGGCCATATAAAATATTTGGTAATACCGTACCGTATATTGCGTGACATCACAACTACCTGGAAAAATAATGCATCCAAGAACAACAGCACTTTTTTGTAATGTATGGGCACAAACTCTTGTATCGAACCAGGTTGAGCACCTACTTCCGCGGGACCACTGTGCGGTCATAAATGAAGGAAGTGTTTTTTGCGTTTCCAAATGTTCGGGTCACGACGAAATGTTAGGGCGGGGAGGGATGGGCTGAAATGTCAAGGAGAAGGTTCGTTGGAAGTTTTGCTGGAGTATAGTGCTGATTGGAACATCAGGAGGAAATGATGTAAACACGTGACAGAAGAAACCAGGTCAGATCCTAGATTTGGTGCATGTGTAGGTTGGGGTGGCCAAAATCTTGAGTACTCGCCATGTACACTTGGTGGTGAAGTGATGCCGTCCACTCATCGCGACTCACGAAACGAAAACGAGCCGTAGGCTTGCATCTGGAACTGCCAGGGGAGCACCGTCAATTGTCCTCGGCCGTACAGGGAGGAGGGGTTGTGATTTTCGGCCAGTGCTGAGGAGGGACATCAATGTTTGTACACGCATCCAGCAACCAGCTAGCCATATCCAGTTCGTCCGCCAATGGCCCACGACCTTGCCATTGTACTACACTTTGTTGAGTGCTTTTAGCCTAGGGTGTGTCATCAAAGTACACCTCATGATTTGTTGTGTCTCCGAGGAATTCCTGTGTGGACTGGCTATTTGTAACTCTCAACTCCCAAACAAATTGGCTGATTTTCAGCTTTACTTACATGGCTCCACCACTAAGCTAATCGACAACGTTCCCCACGGACTCTTAGGACCAACCTCAGGTCCTTGGGTCGCCTCCTCCTCACATCTCTGCTCTGCGCCTCAGCTAAATACACTTTCGGTCTCATGCAATCCACGGTCCAAATAGCTCTTCCAGCTCCTATTTCCAAATAGGTGTCCTAGCTCACTGTGTATGAGTCGGTGATGAGTCGGCCTCATTGACATTGCGAACGCATACGTTTGCGCGCTTCAGTAGGCTGGCGATTATTTTATACGATATGTGCGTCACCTCCAATTTCCGCCGCCACATCATCATGACAAGCGACGGCCTAAAAAAGCTGTTGGTCCGTCCAATGACAGCAATTGGGTACCACACAATGCGAGAATCATTACCATCAGTTCTTAGACTGGATCGTTGGATCTTGCTTCCTTCCGAGGTTCAAGTCCATGGGTGGGCATTGCGATTCCGCCGCGGAACCCAACATGGGCATTGGAGCGGGTCCAAATAGTGCCATAGGGCTTCCAGCCTGGACAAAACCGCGTGGTAAGTAATCTGTAGTGGATGCCAGTTTTATGTACAGTACACGCATATTCTACAAAAATATGTACTGTACTAGGGTATGGGGGTTGCGGACGGAGACGTGCAATACGGAAAGATGCGGAAGATGGTACTAGCGTGCGCATCTCTCTCCCACCATGCGCCTCGCTTAGGCTTTTCCCTGAGCATCTTCTGCTTCCCCATGGTCCTCGAAGCTGGAAACTTTCGACCGCCGTATGAGGAAAACCTATCCTCGCCTCCCACTGTCGCGCTCACACACGGTATTCCGCCAACTCCTCGCAGTGGTCGTAGGGGTAACGCAAGTGGGTAGCACGATCATCTCTCGCTCTCACGCGGAATTGTCGTGTATTTATTTGGGTCTTATTCATCGCATCAAAGCTCCCACCTCAATTCTGCTTGGATATTCTCCTTCCCCCCGTTGTCGTAGCAAGCTGGTCTTACCGTCGTCGCGTGGTCGCACAGGCCAGACTAACCCACTCTCGCGATCGCACATGATCCTTCAAGCGAAATACTTCCTCCCCTCCATACAACGCCAATCCCGAATCGCATTGAAAGCCAGCCGAGCTGATCGTTGATCGTCAAGCCCCAGCGAGCGTCCAGTCGTTGACGGCTGTCGCGGCCACCGAAGTGCCACTAGTTGCACGGAAATCTGAAGCCTTTCCCGCCGCCATGGCGACCCCGCTGGGTCAGAATGCGGATCTGCAAGATGGAGGCTCGCAGCCCTCCCCCGTAGCGGATCCGCCGCCGATCCTGCGATTCGCGCCTTCCTCGCAACCATGGACGATGGAGGTACGGACTCCATGAAATCACGTGCTATCTTGACGTACGTTCTTTCACCTACTGTTACGTGCATTACGCTGTACTGTTAGGTCAAAGTGCGCCGCCGCTGTCGCCCTAGTTGAATAGTTAGGTTTCAGATTCGGAAGCTGCGGTTCCGCGAATACCGCATCCCGCAGCATTTCCGCAATATGATACAGCACAATGCAGCCTGCTGACGGCTTTCCGCTGCCACTGTCGCTTACCACTGTCAATTCCCTCTGTCCCGTCACTTATCGTCTGTCATAATCTGTTGCATACCCTCTGTCGCGCTTACCCTCTATCGCTAATGCTAGATCGCTTACCCTCCTACCCCCGTCCTTACCCTCATTGCTTGGATCGCGCAGGAGGACGCGATGCTGCTGCGGCACGCGCTGAAGCACGGCACGCGATGCCCCCCCTCCGTCCCTTACCTTCTATCGCTTGCCCTCTAACGCTTGTCCCCCATTGTCCCCTCCTGGCAGGAGGACGCGGTGCTGCTGCAGCACGCGGTCCCCCCTCCCCGTCCCTTACCTTGTATCGCTTGTCCCCCATTGTCCCCTCCTGGCAGGAGGACGCGGTGCTGCTGCGGCACGCGGTCCCCCCTCCCCGTCCCTTACCTTGTATCGCTTGTCCCCCATTGTCCCCTCCTGGCAGGAGGACGCGGTGCTGCTGCGGCACGCGCTGAGGCACGGCACGCGGCAGTGGGGGCGGCTGGTGCGAGGCAGGCAGCTCGCGCGCGGCAACAAGGCGTGCTGCAACCGCTTCCTCTTCCTCAAAAAGTGAGGCGCAGGTGCAAAGTCATGTTATTGTCATGATATGCTGCAACCGCTTCCTCTTTCTTAAGAAGTGAGCCCCGTGATGTGACTGTCATGATGTGCTGCAACCGCTTCCTCTTCCTAAAAAGGTGAGCCCCCTGCTGATCGCTTCCTCTTCCTCTTCCTCTAACAGTGAGCAGCACACGCCAGGGCGACTGTCATGTCATGGCATGACTTAATTACACCACCATGCCACGCGACGTGCAGCTTCTGGCTGTAGGGAGAATGCCGCCTGTAGAATGATGCAGCTTCTGGCGTGTGGTTGTTTGTCTTGTGAGTTTTAACTGGTTCTGTCTTGCGGTTAGATGCACGCTTGGCATCGCTCCACGCGTTTGAATCTCTGCTTTTTGAGTTTGCGCGCTTTGCTTCGTGCCTCTCACGCAGCAAGATCTAATCTGTGCTAACTCTCCTTCACGTTCTCCGTGCCTGCAGGAAGTTTACCCAGAAGCACGCTGACGACACACTGCCAGCTCAGCAACAGTTCCAGCAGAGCCCGGCTGTTTCCCTGTCCGCCGGCCAGCCACAGCGGCACATGTGGAGCCGTCCTGACGTGGCGTTGCAATACGGCGGGCTGTCATTGGTCGAGTGCATGCAGCTGTTCCTCCCCCCGGGTCTCAGAGGCTTCGCACGGGATTCACCTGACGTTTCACCTGACGTTTCACCTGACCATGCATCTGTCTTCAGCCCAGCACCTGCTGCTGCTGCTGCTACCTCTGAAAGAGAGCATGCAGTAGCAGCAGTAGCAGCAGCAGGAGCAGAGGCATCAGGAGCAGAGCAGAGCACAGCAGCAGTGGCAACTCAACAGCTGGCCCACACCCTGTTTTCAAACTCAGATGCCACACGTGCTCGCATTCTGGATTCAAACGCTGAACGCCCCATGGATCGGGGGATGAAGAGGCTTCGCACGGGATTCAGCACCGTCGATGCCGCACACGCTGGCACGCGTGAAGGCCTGTCGCCCAGAGAACTTCAGGGCGTTGAATCTGTTGATGCTTCAGCTGTGCGCTCGATGCTTCTGCGGGCTGCTGACAGCCAGACCTGCCAGCAACAGTGCGGTAGCAGGTGAGGCTGTGAATCCTTGACTTTGAGGTTCCGTGCTTTGCGCAATTCAACATTCTCGGATCGGATGACGCTCTGTTTGCATTTTTCCGATGTGAACGGGTCATTAGTCTGGTTCTCATGTGCTATTCCCCATGTGTTCTCCTCTGCTCTGCTCTGTTCAGGCCGACGATCCCCACATCCTGGCTCCTGGCGGCTCTCCTGCAGCAAAAACAACAACAGCAACAGCAGCTGCACCACCAGCAGCAAGAGCAACAGGAGCAGCAGCAGGAACAGCTGCCATCTCTGTTCACACAGGATCCAATCATTTCCAAGGCAGTCCAATCTTTCCAGGCTCTGCACGGTCCCTCACTCTCATCTGCTGCCCACTGCAGCAGCATCAACACACCCACCTCAGGCTCTCTCCCTGCCCTTGACTGGCCTCTTTCCTTCTCAACCTCCCTCTCACCCTACTTCGCATCCTCCTTTGCACCCTCCCTCTCGCCCAACCACGCATCCACCTCTCGGCCTTACTTAGCCCGCCCTCTCTCATCCGCGTCCCAATGGCGGGCCACCACTCGCACGCCCTTCACCTTCGGTCTTACTCAGAGCTCCTGCGTTCTGCATTCCGCCCATCCTAACAATCTCCCTCCGTCCCTCCACTCGACCGTCCCTCCTCCTACCGCTCCCCCCATCGCTCCACACAGCCCTCTCACACCCCCTCCTTCCTCAACACCCTCTCGTTCCTCTCACAGCCTCTCCACGGCTCCCTTCACATCCTCCTATCTCACAACACATGCAACGCCACTGGTGCCATCCGGCCCTTCCACCATCATCAACCCTGGCCCACCCCACTCCCTCCCCTCCTTCCCCTCGCTCTCCGCACTCCAGTCAGCCCTCCACACCCCGCCGCCCAGGGCACCTTCCACACTCTCCGACCCGTCTCACCAAAATCCGTCTCAGCATTACCCATCTCAGCACTACCCATCTCAGCGTTACCCTTCCCGCAGCGCCTCTCCCAGCAACGCTGCTTCCTCCGCTTCTGTCGACCGCTCCCCACCTTCCTCCCTGACCTCCTCCCAACCCTCTTCCCAACGCACCAATCAGCCAACCGAATCACAGCAATTGCAATTCACAGCCACAGCGCCGGCAGGAGAGGCTTCCGGTACCTCCCACGCTGCTGCAGCAGCAGCAGTCATTCTTCCCGTGGCTCCTGTGCTTGCTGTGTTTTCTACAGCACCCATTGGGAGCATCGCACCAGCAGCTGCCGCACCAACCCCGTTGTATCATGCAACGATGGATGCGCCTCTTCTGTCACCATCTGACCTGGAAGAGCCACAAGCGAAGCTGGATGTTCAAGCGAGGCCACACAAGATGCCTCGGATGAGCCGAGGCGTGCTCCCCCCCGCTACTCTGGAATTCGCCCGTTCGTTTTTCTCCGGGCTGCCCGCCAGGGAGGATTCCCAGGGAGGCGAGAGCAGTGACGGGCAGCAAGCGTCAAACCGCACCAGCACTAGCGCAAGGGAATGCCTGACTAGTGCGGCGCACGAATGTGGAGGGAACGCAGAGACACAGTTTGGTTATGTGGGCGGAGCTGCATCAACAGGGCTGCCACAGATGGCTTGCCAGCCTGAGATGCTCACTGCAGCAGCTGCTGCTGCTGGTGTGACTGCTTCGCATGCTGTGACTGCCTCGCATGCTGTGACTGGTACTCCCAATGTGACTGATTCTCCGGCAGCAGCCGCGCTTGCTGCAGCTGCAGAAGGCATTTGTCAGGGGGAGCTTTCCATTTGGAATGATCTGATTGAGCTGGAAAGCGGGGTGGGAGGGGTGGTGTGCGGTGATGAGAAGAGAGCGGGGCTGCCAGTGGGCTTGTTCTGTGAGCTGGAGGACCTCTTTGAAGAGAACAGTAAACTACTGTAGGCGAGTATGAAAATCGCATGAAAGGGAGTCACTGTGAGTATTTTCTGGGCTCTCGTTTAGAGTTTTTTGTGCCTGCACAAGGCATGATTTTTTTGTTGGCATATTTCTTTGCCAATGTCTTATCAATTTTATGATCAGGATAGTGAAGAGCCAGGCTACCTGTACCAGTGACGTGTAGGTTGTAATTTCCCTGATAAAACAACATCCTCATTTGAACCTGCTTAGCTTTATCCTTAGCACATGAGCACCCACAGAAAGAACTTAGAACCATTGTTTTTTTTTAACCATTGTTGTAAACATCCTAACAGGCTGTGACACAACTCAAATGTATGGAAGTCACGCAAGGTACCTGGGAATCACTAGACTGCCGCCGCCGCCTTCGCCTGCCGCCGCCTTCGTCGCCACGGGCGAAAACCTCACAGTATAATTTTGTTCGTAACCCGGTCTGAGGAGCAGGTGGGTGACGACGATGACAATATAATTCTGTTTGTGAACCCGGTCTCACAGGGTTCACTAAGTACCTCTGAATGCGGCTCAAAGAGTTTTGAAATGTTGTAGAGAGGTTTGGTTGCTTTTACAATGGTTGGGTGGGGCATTCATGTGAGAACAAAGTTTCAGGACCCCCCTGAAATCCACTTCGCAGGAAAGCAGTTGTCGTGGACACAAAGCTTCGGGTCTTCCAGCTTCGTGTCTTCCCACCTTGACTTCAGGTCTGACACGGGCTACGAATGTGCCCTTTTAGGCAAGTTTCAAACTGTTCAGCGATGCAGTTGTTCCGCCACTGGCCCACTGCCTCTCCCCGCCAGCCATGGCCCATGACGCCATCAAGAAGGGAACCTTCACCGTGAAGGAACTTAGAGCAGCGCTCAGCCCGACGACACCTGGTAAAGCCGAGTTCTCATGAGGTTGCTCCTCCCGCCACCATCCTTATTGACAACGCTTCCCACCGAGTCTTTAGGGCGCGTGTCTTTTGGAAAATGTTGTAAAGTTCACGTTTTAAACTCGAATTTACCCGTTTGAACTGTAGTCGACCTGTTGTCGACCATCTCGACTTTTGGAGGGCAAACCTCAGCATCAAAATAATATCAAGAACGGGGCACAACAAAGTTCGACTTTCGAAGTGGAACTCCATACAGTATAATCCGAGTCGTGCACAAATTTCGTAAGTTACCCGGATTGACGAATTTGCTCGTAACCAATTACGGATCCAGTAACATGGTACTGTGCTGTTCGTGACCGTCGTAAAAGTCGCGGATTCACTGTGCACGAGAGTAAGAACACACGTTTGGCGCGCCTGGTGCGTCCGATTCTGCTCGACCCGGCTATTGTCCTGATCTCCACCGGAAGCTCCAGGGAAGAGTGGATCTGTACTCAGATTTGTTGCGGGAAAGCGCATGGGATGCTGCTTGTCGCTGCTGCAGAGCACATAACTGCTGCGCGTCATCTGCACGGACAAGGGGAGCTGGGTGCGGTCACTCGTCTTACAAGGGAAAAGGAGAACCTGCATACAGTCCGCAAGGAGTATGGGATTTAACAGACCCTTATCGGCTTGCCATGGTGATATCAGTTGGAGCGGTAGTTCTTGGTGTACTCTGTCTTACCTGCCTGTGGATGCGTAGAGGCGATCAAGGAGTTATAAAATGAATACACGGAATACGCTGTCGTTTGCGGGCCTGAATGTTAACGACCTGGGGGACTTCACGAAGCGGAAACGTACAACGGCATGGATTAACAGCAACAAAGGAGCAGATGTAATGGTTTTATCAGATACGCGAATAACAGACGATAACACCTACTGGTCTTCCCTCAATCTCACCTCTTTTGCTGCCACCTCCTCTGTGACTCGAGCCGGAGGTGTTGCAGTTCTCGGCCGGCGAACGGACCTTTCCTTTCACAACCCTTTAGCTCACCCCTCAGGAAGACTTGTTAAGACTGAAGTTCACTGTTCAAACCTTCGACTTACCCTGATAGCAACTTACTTACCTGCAGACAAAGCTGAGAAGCGAGCCTTCGTCAGGATAGTGCTTGGTCCGATTCTAGGCCAGATTCAGCCAGGCACCCACCTGCTCATCCTAGGTGACCTTAATACCATTGAGAATCCACTGCTTGATAAAACCTCCAGACACGGATCAACTAAAGAGAATGACTTCCTCTACCACCACTGTAAAGCCTTTGACGTCTCAGATGCTTTTCGATTCCTTCACCCAAGTGAACGAGAGTTCACCTTTTACTCACAATCACATCAGGAGAGTTCACGGATAGATCGAGCTTTAGCCTCTCAATCCTTGCTCCCGCGCCTGGTGTCAGCTACGCACGTCTCGCCGGATGAGCCGGTCTCTGATCATGGTTTTGCTGTCCGGGTAATCTTCAAGCTCAAATCGCAACTGAAACTGGGGCCGGGAATTTGGCGATTTCATCCCTCCCTGCTTGGGAGGCCAGGGGCTAAGAAGAAGATAGAGGAGGTGGAGCGGCTGGTCGCGCAAAATGGAGGAGGTTTTACAGCACTCATTTCGCGCCTGCATGCCAGCCTGCGAGCGTATGCAAGAGAAGAGAGCAAAAGGATCAGGGCAACTATCGTTCATCTCACCACATCGGTGGCTGCATTGAGACAGGAGTTCATGCAGCACCCGAAAGATCTGCTGCTGAAGGAACGGCTGAGTAAAAAGGAACATCAGCTCAAGGAGTATTTTGCGTGTCGAAGGGATAGAATGCACACCATGGCTGGAGTGGAAATGGCGTTGACGGGAGAAGTCCCCTCACCGCATCTGTCGGCAAGGATAAAGACGCGGAAAGTCAGGACTCAAATCGCGGAGATTGCGGTACCAGGAGGGGTGGTGTCGGAGCTGAAACGGATCTTGGAGGCAGCGGCAGATTACTTCCGTAACCTCTTCGGAGAAGATAAGCGCACGATGACTTCGGATTGGCGTCCGGAAGCCGGGAAGAGGCTGCTCTATTCAGATGCGGAAAGTCTGCAAGAGGAATGGACAGAGAAGGAGGTCATACAGGCGTTGCGGGAAATGGCGTGCAACAAATCACCAGGGAAAGATGGCCTGCCGAAGGAGCTATTTGATGCACACTGGGACACACTCGGAAAGCATGTTATGGGGTTGGTCAGCGACTTCACCCTCACGTCCTCGCTCTCCACCAACGTGAAAGATGCGGTGACAATCCTCCTGCATAAAAAAGGGGCGAAAGAGCAGTTGGATAACTACCGTCCTATCACGCTTTTAAACATCAGCTACAAACTACTGGCGCGGGTCTTGGCGAGCAGAATCAAGAAAGTGCTGCACAAGGTGATCTCACCAGAACAATTTGGCTTTATCCCCGGAAGGCGGATGTCTGATGCGGTGGGGCTGGTTGCTGACATAATCGACGCAGCCAAAAATGGGTCGGAGGACTGGTTTATGCTGCTTGTAGACTTCAAAAAGGCGTTTGACTCGGTTTCTCGAGACTTTATCTTCGAAGTGATGGAGAAAATGGGCTTTCCGGCTCGTTTCGTTGGCTGGGTGAAAGGTCTGCACACGAACACGAGGACGAGTTTGCTAATCAATGGCTGGATGGGCGAAGCGGTGAATGTGGTCTCGGGGGTGAGGCAGGGTTGCCCCTTAGCACCCTACCTCTTCCTCTGTGCGGTGGAGCCGCTGGCGCAGAAGGTGATGAAGCGGAAGATAGGGATTTCCCTCACCAGCTGTGTTGGCCAAAGGTTGGCTTACATCGGTTACGCCGATGACACGACCCTCCTGCTGCAGGGGAAGCAGCAAATCGGAAGAGCAGAGGAGGTGTTGGAGGAGTTCAAATGCATTTCCGGTTTGGAGACCAACAAGGGGAAGTCGGTGGTGATGCCACTGGGAGTTAACCTGGGGAAAAAGACATGGCGCACAGACGGGTTTCGATGGGCTGAGGAAAATGAAGCAGAAAGACTGTTGGGAGTGTGGGTCACGCCGAATGGAAGTTGCCAGCCGACGTGGGATAAGGCGCTTCAAAAAATCGCCGGAAAGATGTCGCTATGGCAACCGCAATTTCTCCCGATTAAGGCCCGGACAGCGGTGATGGACGGATATATTCTGCCGATTGCGTGGTCCCAAGCTCAGGTGTACCCGCCGCCTGCGCAAACCTGGAATGTCATCACAAGGATGACACAAAACTTCATGTCAGCTAACAAGGTCACATCGGACAAGTGCTTCAACCTCTGGAGCAAAGAGCTTCTGTTTACACCGGTACTGGAAGGAGGAGTGGTGGCGAAAAATCCTGAGGCGATGCTTACCTGCTTAACAGCTAGAAGGATCGGGCTGGTACTCACGGAGACGAACCAGCTAAAGCGGGAGCTGATGCGCCGAGCAGCTGACCTGCCAAGGGGGGTGGAGACGTTTATGGCGCACGAGAAGCTGTTGAAAACCTGGGAGGGGAAAAGTCAGAGGTGGAAATTGGCTTGTGCAAACTTCATGCGATCTCCGTTAGCGGTATCCACGGAGGAACGAGAGACCAAGGAGCTGCTGCTGGAGAGAATCGCATTTAACAGGCATATTCTCTTGAAAGGTACCACGCCAGTGGGAGGGCAGAAAACGGCGAAGCGGCTTTGGGATGTCAGGCTGGGCGATCTGGTTGGAAGAGATGCGGACGGGAGGGGGATGCTGAAAAACCTTGAAACCCTAGAGAGGGAGTTGCGGGGGAGAGACTCAGCAAGTCTTGCGCTCAAGGCTTTTGCAGCTGCGCCGGAGGCCTGGAGGAATCAGCTCATTTCGGCTGTACTCCCGAACATGAGCTTTGCGGACGAATACGAGGTTGGCAGAATGGGACCCCTACAGCTCCGGGCAAAACTGTTGGCGGAAGGAAAAGCAATTCCGCTGAGGTCGCTCAGAAAGTACTGGAAGCATGGCAACAGTGGACAGAACAGGCGGGAGAAATGGGCGAGTCGTTGGGGCGGAAGTATTGACTGGAAGCGGGTAGTTCAGATTCGGGAGTCACTTGTTACCCCGAGCCGGCCAAGAGATGTTCTTCTGCGGATCCACTGCCTTAATCTACAAGTAGGGGAGCGTCTGGAGTTTCTCAGCAGCAAACCAGTCTGTCCTCACTGTGGGAGTTTTGAGACACTGGAACACTGTCTTTTGGAGTGCCCGAAAACCCAAGGGGTGACTTCAGCGGTTAAAAAGGCGCTACGGATGATCAATCCAGGCAGGAAATGTGACTCGCTCGGTGATTGGCTGTTTGGCAAAGCCGAGTCCCAGTCAGCATTTCCGGAGGCTACACTGGTTGCGATTGCCCTCCATCAGCTATGGGCGGAAAGGTGCGAAAGGGCCTTTCGAGGCTGTAAATTCCGCACGCGAAGGGTATTGCGGAGAATTGAGTCGGCCCTCCGCATGCAAGTGAACGTTTACCTGCGTGCTTCTGCGACAAGGATGCAGCAGCGTGGGAAGGAACAGCAAGACGGGTGGCGGAAAATGACAGTGCAAGAGCGTGATCTTCTGAACCGTATCAGAGTGGTGGATGGCAAAGGTTGGAAGTGGTCCAACAGCTTCGCAGCAGTTTGGGGCAAACCTCGCAGGCCCCGGATCCATGCTTGAGGATCAAATATTCTGAGGCGGGCTCCCCTGTCTCTCATGCACAGTTACGACTGTTTATGCGTTGTACACTTGTGTTCTGGTGTATAATTCATATAAGCAAAAAAAAAAAAAAAAAAAAAAACACACGTTTGGATAAACGTGCACGCGAAAATTCGACCCTAGTTCATTGTCCTTCGCTTTCATCACTCTCTGAACTCGGAGACACGTTTGTCGAAAACAGACGCTAACGACAGTTGCGAAAAAGGTTACCAGCTAAAGCTCGACCTCTTTTTTGAACTACACCACCAAAAGACACGCGCCCTTAGGGACCAACCCTAGGTCAGGTCCTCCCCTTACCTCACCAGCTCACTGCACCTCAGTTGCCAATTCGCCTCACCTCACCTCAGTTGCTAAACTGGTGTCATGTACTGTACGATGGGATACTGGACACGTCGATGCCCGTTAAAGCCGTGGCCCAACTATCAGCTTCAACTTCGAAGTATTATAGCTTGGAACTTGGTTGTCCCAGGCAGTTCTGTGGGGAGAAGTTTGTCTTTTCCGAGATTCCATTTTTTTCATCCAATAAGGGTCTCGTTACGCACACTCCATGTTTGTCCTGCTACTGTTCCTAAGAAGTTGCACCCCGCCTTTAATAAAGGCTTGCGCCTACGCACATGCACACGCATGTGCTCATCAGGAAGCTGGCGATTATTTTATACGCAGCTGCGTCGCCCTCCTTGAATATCGCCGCGACAGCATCATGACAAACAACAGCCAAATAAAGCCATCGGCCCGTCCAATGGCAGCAACTGCGGAGGGAATCATTGCGTTCGATTCCTAGGCTGGATCATTGCGTCAGTCTTGATTCAGAAGCTTCAATCGCGATCCGAATCGCGATCCTGCCGCGGAACCCAACATGGTTGTTGGAACGGCTCCAAATAAAGCCATAGGAGCTCCAGCCTGGACAGAACGTGTCCTATAGTTTGTCCGCGTACAGTAAATGCGGACAGGAGACGTGCGATACGGAAAGATGCGGAGGGTGGTCGTTGCGCGCATCTCCCACATGCGTGTGGGAATCGCGAAAGTTCGAGAGCATCCTCTCGATGAGGGAATGCGAGCATCCTCTCCTCTTCCCCGCGGTCGCCGTCGACCCGAAACCCCTCGCTTGACCGCCATGGCCCATCACGACTCGCGGACTCTCTGTCACCCACTCGGGATTCCATCGCAAGCCAACTCCCCCTCCCCCACTCGCCAGTCACTGGGTAGAATGCTTGGCTCTAGTGGTGCAACGCAAGGCTGCCATTGCACCTAGAGCAACGCATTCATCCACTCCGGATACCATCGACGATGGACCTGTCTACTATTTAGTCTTCATTCATCCCCACCTTACCAACACATGCTCGGAGATTCTCATCCCTCCCATACGCAGCAAGCATTGCTAGCTGGTCTTCTAGCAAGAGGCCGCAACAGACCGAAACAGCGCACTCTCGCGATCGAACACCCTCTGGTGCCTTTCTTCTCCTAAAAAAACGCCATTTCTCTCGTTTAGCGCGGCGAACCGTAGTAAGGATTTGGATTTACCTCCGATCCCCAACTCGCGCCGCTTTTGACGCGCACCCGTTTGTCACGTTTCTGCTCTCGTCGTAACACGTGCACGTCAGGGAACGCAGTTGACGGCTGCCGCGCCGCGGCCACAGGAGTGTTACTGACTCTCCGTAATACTTGAAGTTCTTCCAGCAGCCACCATGGCGACCCAGCAAGCGGATTCGCGACATGGAGGCTCGCAGCCTTCCCCCGCGTCGAATCCACCCCCCATTCTGCGATTCGCGCCTGCCTCGCAGCCATGGACCATGGAGGTACGGACTAGAACGCCTCGCTACTCACTCGGTCAGAGGCGTTACATGGACTCTCCGAACCGAATTCACGTGAAGTGCTATGGCGTACGATCTGCGATCTTTCACCTACCTCTACCACGTGCATTACCTATTAGGACTGCTAGGTCAATGTCACGTAGGGTCCGTCACCCTTTCCTTCTGTAGTAGTAAGGCGTCTAGCTGCTCCGCCAATGCCGCATCTCGCGGCAATTTCTCAACGTCATGCACAATGCAGCCTCGTTACGGCCGTTTTCTCCACCTCCGTTCCTTACCCTCTGTCTTAGCCTCTATCGCGTATCCCCATCACTGCTGCATTCTCGCAGGAGGACGCGGTGCTGCCGCGGCACGCGCTATCGCGAATTTTATATCGCTTACCCTACTACCGCCCGTCCCTCTGTCTCTCTGTTGCTGCATTCGCGCAGGAGGGCGCGGTGCTGCTGCGGCACGCGGTCCCCCCTCCCCGTCCCTTACCTTGTATCGCTTGTCCCCCATTGTCCCCTCCTGGCAGGAGGACGCGGTGCTGCTGCGGCACGCGCTGAGGCACGGCACGCGGCAGTGGGGGCGGCTGGTGCGAGGCAGGCAGCTCGCGCGCGGCAACAAGGCGTGCTGCAACCGCTTCCTCTTCCTAAAGAAGTGAGCCCCGTGATGTGACTGTCATGATGTGCTGCAACCGCTTCCTCTTCCTCTAAAAGTGAGCCCCCTGCTGACCGCTTCCTCCCTCGTCCTCTAAAAGTGAGCGGGAAACGCGATGCGTCATGGCATTTGACTTGGTACTTCTGAGACCATTGTTTCTCCCTTGGGACTACTAGATGCACACTTTGCGTCGCACCTTTGCATGCGGTCCTCTACTAATTCGCACGGTTCCCTTTGCTGTTCACACTCAGCTTTATTTGGACCATGCTCTCTGCCTTTACGTCACACGCTACGTGTTTTCAGGAAGTTTATCCAGAAGCATGCTGACGTCACACTGCCAGCTCAGCAACAGTCCCCGCAAGGCCCGGCCGCTGGCCAATCACAGCGGCGCTTGTGGAGCAGTCCTGACGTGGCGTCGCAGTATGGCGGGCTGTCATTGGTCGAGTGCACGCGGCTGTTCCTCCCCCCAGGTCTCCGAGACACCCTGACACCATCTGATGTTTCACCTGAACATGCACCTGACTTCAATCCAGTGCGTGCTGCTGTCACTACTGCTGCTGGGAGAGGGCATGCAGCAGCAGCAGGAGCAGCAGCAGCACAAGATAGCACCACGGCAGCATCGGCGACAGCTCACCAGCTGGCCCACATTCTGTTTCCCGAGTCGCATGCCACGGATTCACACCCCATGGATCGGGGGGTGAAGAGGCTTCGCAATGATGACACGGGATGCAGCACCGGCGCCGCCCACACCAGCACGTGTGACGGGCTGTCAGCCAGGCAGCTTCAGGGTATCGAGGCTGTTGATGCCTCGGCTGTGCGCGCGCTGCTTCTGCAAGCCGCCAACAGCCAGACCTGCCAGCCACAGTGCAATAGCAGGTGAGCTATGAAGCGTGCACTCGTGGCTCTTCTTGGTGACGGCTTTGTGCTTCACTTGCTCGTGCGCAAAGCACGAGATTTATTTAGGTATACTCTGGTCCTCATGCGTTCTTCCCTGTTTCTCTCCTCTTCTCTGCTCTTTCCAGGCCGACGATCCCGTCATCCTGGCTCCTGGCTTTACTTCTGCAGAAAAAACAACAGCAAAAGCTGCAGCAGGAGCATCAAGAGCAGCAGGAGCAGCAAAAGAAGAAGCCGTCACTGTTCACACAGGATCCAATCAGTTCCAAGTCAACTCAGTCTTTTCAGTCCCTGTGTGGTCCTTCACTCTTCCCGACCGCCGGCTGCAGCAGCACACTCTCCTCAGGCTCTCTCCCTGCCCTTGACTGGCCCCTCTCCTCCCTCTCACCCTCCTTTTCACCCTCTCTCATAACCTCCCTCTCGCCGAACCACGCGTCTGCCGCTCGGCCCAACCTTGCCCGACCTCTCTCATCCACGTCCCCTTGGCAGTCCACCTCTCGCATGCCTCTCACCTTCGGTCCGGCGCAAAGCTCCCGCGTTCTGCATTCCGCCCTTCCCAACAGCCTTTCACCGTCCCTCCACTCGACCGTCCCTCCCCACACTGCTCCCCCCATCGCTACTCCCGCCACTTCCCCCATTGCTCCACACAGCCCTCTCACGTCCCCTCCATCCGCTATAGCCTCTCCCCCCTCTCACTGCCATTCTGCTGCTCCCTTCTCACCCACAGCTCTCATAACAACTGCGACGCCACCGGTGCCATCAGCCCCGTCCACCGTCATCAACCGTGACCCACCGCACTCTCTCCCCTCCTTCCCCTCACTCACCGCACTCCAGTCAGCCCTCCATGCTCCACCGTCCAGAGCACCTCCAACACTCGCCGACCCGTCTCAGCACAAATCGTCTCAGCACAAATCGTCTCAGCACAAATCGGCTCAGCACAAATCGTCTCAGCACAACCCGTCTCAGCACAACCCGTCTCAGCACAACCCGTCTCAGCACAACCCGTCTCAGCACCACCTGTCTCAGCGTTACCCTTCCCGCAGCGCCTCTCCCAGCAACGCTGCTTCCTCCGCTTCTGTCGACTGCTCCCCACCTTCCTCCCAGACCTCCTCCCAACCCTCGTCCCAACACGTCTTCCAGTGCACTGCTGCGCCAGTGGAATCACAGCAACTGCAATGCATGAGGCCGCACAAGATTCCTCGGACGAGCCGAGGCGTTCTGCCCCCTGCTGCTCTGGAATTCGCCCGTTCTTTTTTTTCCGGTCTGCCCGGCAGGGATGAGCATCCGGGAGGTGAGAGCAGCGACGGGCAGCAAACGTCGGAGCCAGCATGCACTAGTGCGCAGCAGGAAAATTGTCGCAGCGGAGGGAGCGAAGAGGCACAGTGTGGATATGTTGGTGGACGTGCATCAACGGCGCTGCCTCGTTTAGCTTGCCAACCTTGGTTTCCTGAGATGGCTACAGCAGCTGCGGCTGCCCCTGGTGTAACTGCTGGGCCTGCTGTTACTGGCTCTCCTGATGTGACTGATTTCCCGGCAGCAGCGGCGTTTGTTGCAGCAGCAGAAGGCACATGTCAGGGAGAGGTATCCATTTGGAAGGATCTGATTGAGCTGGAGGGGGGGGAGATGGATGTGGTGTGCAGTGATGAGAAGAGAGGGGGGCTGCCAGTGGGCTCTTTCTGTAAGCTGGAGGATCTCTTTGAGGAGCAATCTAGTGTGGCACCGTATGGCATAGAATGAACGAAGAGTCTTAAAATGTGGTAGGCTCTTGCAGTTGTAGTGTAGACTAGAAATGATCCTGTTGCCTGTAGTATTTTTCTTTGGCATGTCAGTGCCAATGTGTAGCCATTGATTTAATTACTAAGGAGGCAGATTTCTTGGATGTGATGAAGTACGAATCTCAAGCGTTGTTGACACCGCAAGGATTGTGTGATGCTTTTTTTCTACTTTAGTCTTAGCCAGTGCCAGAGTACCGCACTTGTACTGCTGACATTGTGAGAGTGATGAGAGAGGACTGTAGGAGTTGCGCAGAATGATCCGACCTGCTTTCTGATATGATTGGCAACTAATGTAGATCAGACGAACCTGATGAACCTGTCTTCAGTACTGATTGCTGCAGTGATTCTTAGAACTCTATGTAAGTCCTGCTTTGACACGAGCAATTTATGTCATGCTGACTGCGCGGACCAGCCATCTTGCCTGTCTTGCATTAACAGCCTGGTGCACTTCATATGCAGCGAGGAAATGTATGCCCTCCAACATATCCACCAGCCATGGACCGCTTCACATTGTAGTCGAATTGCCGTGGATTGGTGCGCAGAACCTCTGCTGCTTCATGGTTCAAGGGGTCATCAGGATTGGGATCCTGTGGGACAACAATGAATCGGCGAGTTAGGATGGAGAACATGGATAACGAAAGAACAACGTATTGCTTCCGCCGCAATACATTTCCAGCAGCACTACAGTCCAGCCCTTCAGCCCCTGCATGAGCACGCTCAAAATTCCACACAACCCCTCCATTTTCAAATACCATCCACCCGCCAAATCCCCAACCCACGCATATGAAGCCTCACATAGAGTCAAACGTACCAAGAAAAGAAACTGCAAGCCGTAGACAATGGAGTTGATGCTCAAAACAGGCTTCCAGTCTTCTCTCAAAATGTTTAGACAAACATTCCCTTCCAGGTCAATGTTTGGGTGGTACACCTGCAAGTGAGATGACGAGAAATCAGCAATCAAGACGCTATAGCATTAGCGACATTCTGACCTCAAAACCATGTTTCATCAACACAAAAAGACCTGATACATGAGGTCATGGAAATCATTAGCTGCTGTACCTTGGTTTTGCACTTCACTTTGGGAGCTTCATGAGGGTAAGAGGGTTGAACCTCGAAGCTGAAAGTGAACGTTCCTCCCCTGAAACGTGTAAGGAGGTTGGAACGGAGCGTTTGACAAAGGTGCACGATTGACAACGCATCTAAGGACGGTTTGAGTTCAAGTTGGTAGGGATGGGAGGTTTGGTGTGCGATGCAGGAAACGGGTACAGCCAAGAGGTGGAACAGAACTAGCGAGGTGAAAGCAGTAAAGAAACAGGGATGCAGGAGAGCGTACACCAAGCGAGATCTCGGAAATAGGTGACTATACCGTGGAAGTTAAGAAGCGCTTACAAGTAGTAGCCTTCATCTGGCTTTATCGTGATCTCGAACTTTAGAAGATTATCCTTTCCCTCTGGGAATGCGATGCTCGTTGTCGTAGGAAGATTCAACTCGGAAATATCTGCAAGGAACAACACAACAACTCAGCATCCTTGTTTGATTTCCAAAGCTCAAGTCATTGCGGACGCTGTAATAACTCCGGGCGAAAGTAAACGACAGTGGGAGTGAATGCTCACCCTTTTGAACTCTCAACTCGCCAGCCGACTGTTTCCTTCCTGGAGCCCTGCCATTATTGCTTTCTGCAGCTTCCCGTTGCTTCTTCTTTATCATACCTAGGTTAATCATATTGGCTAAATGCGAGAACTCTAGGCTACTGCCTACGACGAACTCGAAACCCTATGTCCCAGGACTGCTCCTCTGGGATATCAGAGCACTTCACTCGGCGACGCGAAAGAATCGGGTGGAGAACGTAGATTAGTAACGGAAACTGGGAAACCACTAAAAGTCTGAGGAGGCAAATAGTCGATGGCAGCTGGGCCAACAAGAACGTCAAGCCTATAAGCTTCTGTTTGAATTGAACATGGGAAAACTGGTAAGTGACAAGAGGCAGCGGAGGCGAAGCAAGCGAGAATGGACGATCTACCGCATGTGCTGCATCTTATCATTGGAGGCAAGTCGCTGTTCGTTACGAGCCTTCAATAATTTGAGTACGGTATACTATTTGTGGACACATCAAACTGTTCCAAACTACTATGTCCTCATTACAGACTAGAAATAAACAACACTAGTATGTGTCAAGCAATGCATGACTGTAAGAAGGCCTTCAAAGGCTGGACCTTGGCAATGTTAGCCTGGAAATTTCAATCTTGTTAACTGGCCGCTCGACCTTCAAACATCGCCTCCGGAAGTAGGTTTTGAGACCTTGGTTCGTCAAACACCTGTCAAGCAACCAAATGGGGCAAACAAAGAGATGTTGTCATCAGGAAACAAACTTCAGCGACACAATCCAATCTGCAGCATTATGTTAGGAAACACAAGGTAAGGAAACTAAGAGGCATGGCAGCAAAAATATCACAGATGCCTTGTACAGCAGAGTTTGCATGTATACTCGTATACTTCACCTTGTAGGTGTAGACAGGCCCTGAGAAAAATGGGTTATTAGCAGGACACGGCTGAGTGTTGTGGGGCTGCAGTGTTAGGACAAGTAGGTTCAGTAGATAGGGAAGGTCGCCCTGCTGAACTGCACCCAGCAAGCCATCTGTTGCACAAATAAGATTGGAAAAGGGAAGTGGTCAGCACTAAGAAGGATGCTTGCAGCAAGGAGAGAGGAAAAAACGGAAAGGAGAGTATGTGTGTGTGTGTGTGTGTGTGTGTGTGTATGTGTGCAGTGGGAGAGATGGAGGGAGTGTGTCTGTGGGTGTGAGAGCGTGTGTGTGTGTGTGAGTGAGAGAGAGAGAGAGAGAGAGAGAGAGAGAGAGAGAGAGAGAGAGAGAGATCGATAGAACGGCATGTTTGTACCCCTGCTGAATTAATACAAAGGACCGTTTGAGAGAGAGAGAGGGGGAGGGTGGCGGGTTGGGGGTTTGGGGGGGGAGTCAAGCCACAATGAAAACAGGTTCGATTACATACGTGACAATCGAAATTGCACCAGCAGAGAGAAACACAGAGAACCAGTGCACGGAATCAGGGTGCGTAGTTTACCACATATGAGCGAGACAACACGGGGAGAAATGGGACGAAGTGAAGTGGCAGTCACAATCCACTTGAGAACCGCAGGAGAGGTCCGGAGCAGCGCCACAACTGACTGCACCAGCACGCGCGGAACCACTATACGCAACACAGCGCTGGCTATGCGTCCCCTGAACGACTGCTGCACTAGCTGCCACACTCCGCCAGCCTGCTGTCGTGACATCACCACCTCAGGCTGGCCGCCTGGTCGCCTCTCCTCCACTCCCGCATGCATGCCCGTTTCACGGCCCCTAATTTCCTCGTTAGTGTCACCACCTTCGCCAGTGTTCAGAACCCCTGGTGGCCCCAGCAGCAGCAGACCTGCTACAAGCCCTTGGCCCAGCCTTTCAGCAGCGGCATGAGCAAGAGGGGAGCCTAGGCCAAAGCCCACAATCCACAACCCAGGTACTATGTGCAGCTGCTGCGCTAGCTGCTTGATGTCGTCAGCAACAGCAGAGGCGAATGATGCCGTTGTGGTGGTGGCTTGGAGAGGGAGAGGATCGCTGAACCCTGTACCAGGAAGGTCGAAGGAGATCACGCGGATGGACCGTTGATGAAAGAATGCCTCACTGCCAACAAAAAAACCGCAACATATGCTTGTTACTTTGATATCCACAACTTGACCTCTACGGAATATGGAAGACCAGCTGCGGTAAAATGATCTGGCAAGAGGCGTTAGGAGAGAGCGTACCTGAGACCTGGAAAACCCGCTGTGCGGCAGAGAGGGGGTGCGTGGACGACCAGGAGAGTGTGACGCGCGCTTCCCTGCGGGACTCCAAACTCCTGCCACGCCAGTAGCCGTCCGTCCGCCAAGCGAACGCGCTTCGGCTCGGGTAACTTTCTTTGAAACGGTGAGAGTATCGTCGCACAGCCAATGCACGTTCCTGAAAACATAATTTTATGGGGAAAGAGTGAGCGAGTGAGAGAGTGTGAGAGCGAATGTGAGAGAGAGTGTGTGTGAAGTGTGAGTGTGAAAGACGGCAGGAGCTCACACGCAGTGGTGTTCCAGCATCAAGTGAGGGTACTTACCAGCGAACGACGTGTAAGCGAGTGTTACTCCGATGACGAGCAGGGTTACCATTAGCAGGCAGAACGGTAGCGAGATGAGGATGAGAGGAGCCGCCGGGAGCAACAGAAATGACCAGAGGAGTAATGAAGACAGATCTCCGCCTCCCCGCTTCAGACTCATGATTATGGATGAGGAGGTGGACTGAAGGGTAGACGGCCACGTGGTGTAAGCGGTGGACCAGGCTGACGTGGACTCCCGAGAGTCGCAGGATTCCCGGTCGCCGTCTCGTTGGTCGTCCAGGTCTTCACCTCCAGCCGCTCCGGCAGAAGATGATGCTTCTGTGGTAGCGAATGACGACAAATCAGGCATCTCTTCAGCGTCGTCAAAGTTGACCTCCTTTGACTCGTCTGACCTAGGTGACAGCTGATCTGGCGAGCGAGGCGGAGTGGAGTGAACAGCGGCTTCATCTGTGTGTGGTCCAGATTGAAAAGCTTCTGGATGCGAGGGTTCTGTCGTTTGTACAAGGAGTGGCATCGAGAGCTCAGACGTAGGCTCAGATTTCGCCGGAGCCAGATCTCTGCCTCTGCTCGACTGAAGCCTTCCGCTAACCGAGTTGACATCGCGCGGGACCACAGGAACATGACCCAGACTGTCCTTCCGAGCTTCCTGGCCTTTCACTTTCGGCATACCCCATTCTTCGTCCAGCAAGCTTAGCAGGTCCTGGGAGGGAACTGAAACTGCTTGTGCATTCGACGAGCGTCTCGACTTCCGAAACATTGTTAGACAGAGAATTACTCCGAGCTAGCACGAGATTCCACGGCTGGCTGGACGAGTCATAAACAACCAGACACATGCATTTCTGGCCAACAAATTGAACAAACCTGCAGGTGTTGAAGCAGGCAAGTGTGCGCGGGTTGATGTGGGAAACTGGAGAATCCTGAGGTGTGTGGGTGGGGATGGAGAAGAGTGTCAGGGCGTGTCCAGCGCGTACGTTTACGGTTCGTTTACAGTTGATGACTCATGGCGCAACACGATATCAAATGGTTCAAAGCGATTTGCAGTTTCCACCATTTTTAACCGTGACGCAACAAGGTCAACCGCACAGGATGAACTGTAAACGTACGCGCTGGACCCGCCCTCATGTCATCATGTCAGAAGGTGAAAAGGGATTCTCGAGGGCGAAATGCTCTATGTTCGGCAAATCGAGTCAAATGACTCCCCAGTCTTGACAGACCAACACCTGCATCCGAGCCAGTTTATCCTGCCATTTCCCCGGGCCGAACCTTGTCGTTGGGTCTCCCAGGTTCGTTTGTCAGGTGTCACACACGGCAGGAGCCATTGGTGCCCTTGACGGCTGTTGATTTCTACCCTGTGCTCGGAAGCGTTGATTATGGGACCTTGAGAGCTTCAGCCAATCACATGGCTCATCAACCCCGCGCCGACTTTCTTTCTCTCAACTTCCTCAATGCGCACATCCATGTATCGCCAGATGATTTAATGTACAGGTATACTACATTATTAGTTACTAAAAGATATCAATCAACCCAAATCCAGCTGCTACTTTTCCTCTGGCAGGTTCAGGCTGGCATAATATAATAAATAAACGACATCCACAATGAAGAGCTTTAAGAGCACATTTGCACACAACCTCAAGTGACAGGACCCGTCTGGCGTTGCAGCCACCGCCGTCTCCCTTTCACCACCCATGGCATCTGCAATACCTCCTCCGCACTCGGCCGGTGCTTCGGATCTGCAGCCAACAATCTCCTCACCACATCCTTCGCCTCCCCCGACACACTCACCCATGCCGCCGTCCCCATAGGAAGCTGCGCCCGCCGAATGTTCAACAACAGAAGCCGAGTGCGCCGCCCAGAAAACGGCAGCTGGCCACCCGACAGCACCATGTACAGACAAATGCCGATGCCCCAAACGTCTGCAGGGAAGCTGACGGGGAGCCCTGCCGCCACCTCAGGTGCCACGTAGGCAGGGCTGCCAACAAGGCCACGTGTGGCTGCCTGCCCCGGCTGAAGCTTCTCTGCCAGGCCAAAGTCAGCCAACCGCAACCCTTGCACCTGATTGAGAGCAGGGAGAAGGCTATTGTTGGAGTGGTTCTGCTGCTGGCATGTGCAGGCGCACAAGGGGAGTGCAGCAGCAACACCAGCAGTACAAATGGAAAGTTCAGTATGGCCTGCCTTGAAAGACCGCTCCCCATCCTCCAGTTGCTGCATCAGCTGTTGATGCTTCTGCTGCTCATACTCCTGCTTCTGCTGCTGCTGCTTCTTCTGGAGGCTGGTTCGCCCCAGCCAGCTGGCGAGAGAGCCAGACCTCCTGTGGCCATGCGCCCTGCCATGCGCATGGGGCCCACCCGAGTGGGGTGGATGGGCAGCAGCACCCACACTGCCTGCCTGGTAGCGCCCTGACTTGGCCGCCACAGGCGTACCCATCGCCCCACCAGCCTCACCATCAGCCGCATGAGCACCAGCAGCTGTGGCGAGGATAGAGAAGGAGGGGCTCTTGCGCAGAAACTCACTGCTTGGCTTGATTGATGTTGACTGCCCCACTGACGTTGACCGCCCAACAACGCGGGCAGACCGGAAGGATTGGTCCTGCGAAATTAAAACTGTGGTGTAGGGGGAACGCGGAGAGGCGAGAGAGGTGATTGGCTGGGAGCTGGGCGGCAGTGTCAAGAGAACGTTCTCTGGTTTGATGTCTCGATGTAAGATGCCCCGTTTGTGGCAATAAGCCACCGCTGCAGCAATCTCATAGACTATCCACGCTGCTTCGTCCTCCCACTCCTGCTGCCTCCTCCTCCCCTCCTCCGTCATCCCTCCATACACCACCGCCCTACTGCTCTCTCCCCCTCCCGTTCCTGCTGACTCAGCTCCTGCCGACGTGGACAATCCTGCAGCCCCCGTGGCCGCCGCGTGTCCTGCATTAGTTCGCCCCGCGAACGACGCCGCAGCAGCCGCGGCTGCCTCCGCGAGTTGCGCTAGCTCGCCCGTCGATGCAGACTTCTCCATGCCCTTTCCCGTCAGCGCCTTTCGCGGCACCCAATCAGCTTTCAGCTGCGACGCCACAGAATCTTCGTTCTCCTGCTCCGTAGCTTCGTCCTCAATCCTCTCACTCTCTCTACCACTCTCCCCCAATCTTTCTTCGTCTCGCATCCTGATCCGCCAATCGCGGCCTGCTGAATCAGTCCCTTCCAGCGCCTCCACCCCCTCGTTCTCTCCGCCTTCCTCCTCCGAATTCGATTCCCACGTCGCCGCCTGATACCATCTGTGAGGACTGTTCTCCGCATCTGACGCCGCTGCCGTCGCCGGCGGTGACGGCGAGGCGTTTCCGGAGTCTGCGGGAAGGAAACCGACAAGCGAGCGATCCTCTTGGCAGGAGTGCAAGGGGCATGGGGTCAACGCGGCGGCAGAAGTGGCTGCGGCGGCGATGGGGGCGGCGGCGGCGGCCAAGGTGGCGACTTGGCCGCGGCGGCGTTTCTCGAGGAATTCGGCGAGCGAGCCGCCGCGGCAGAGCTGCATGACGATGTGGAAGTGCTGCCGGCCCTCCACCACAGATAACACCTGCACCACGTTACCCTGCCCAGCTGCTACAACCGCCGTCTCAGCAGCTACAGCGGCTTCGGCTACGGCTGCTTCGGCTACAACGGTTTGACCCGTCCATAAAGTTCGATCCGGCACTTCAGCCTGACCGGCTGTAGCCGATCCGAGCATGAGGCTGATTTCAGCTTCCGATTCGACCAGCCGCTGCTGCCGAGCCACGTCAGCCTCGGTCACCTTGGTTCGGATTAGCGACGGAAGGGCGCTCTGGCGGGCTTTGGGGATGCTCTTAATGGCGACGCGGGTGTTCGTGGCGCGATCTACGGCCTCGTAGACGGAGCCGAACCGGCCGCGGCCAATTCGGCGAACGATGGAATAACGCGATCGGATGCTGCCTTTCGTGATGGTTTGCATCGAGTTTTGATTGGCGGGGGGGTTTCTATCCTCGATTGTAGCCATATCATTTAGGTCTTGCGGCGGCTTCTCGTATGGGTCTGCTGGCGTGGACGCGGGTGGAGGAGGGCGAGAGTGTGGGAGAGGAACGCCAGAAAGGTCTGGGATGGAGGAGTCTAACGCAGGGCGAGAGAGCAACGATGCCGTCGCGTGGGCATCAGATTGGACTGGATAAACCTGGACGGATCGGTTCGACGGCGTCTCGTTATGAGAATAGATTGGCTGAAGCGGCTGGAAAGCCTCTGGAGAACCGGCTCTGACGGAATCAACGTCCGCCATGGCTGCGTGCGGCGCGCCGCGGTGCGCGTCGGTATTGAACGTCCTGGATCTACTGGCTGCGGGAACCACTATTTCCTCTGTAATACAATCTGGCTGTGAGGCTAGCGTAGTACGGAAGCTCCAAGCAGGTTGGTCGGGGGAATGGTGCTAGGTTAGGGGGGTGATGGTGGCTCGCGTCCCAATTCACTTGATTCCTCCCAAACTGCACCTACGGGTGTGGCTTGGCATCGCGACTCGATTGGACTGTCGCATCGAGCACGCGCGATCGCTCGATGTGTCCAGGGTCACGGCAGATCCCAGCCAAACATAGCGAAATTCTCGATCGCACCCGTTCATCCAGGCGGAGTACAGCTGGATCATGCAATTCGCTGTGCCGAGTCAGCATGCCTACGCTATGTTGAAGGAGACGTGGCGATGAACATGTGTCGGTGAGGTGATGCCGTGACGACAGCAACTTAGCATTTTGGGTGTGGAGAAGCTTCGCGTCATAAACCCACTTATAGACAACTAGCGTCTCGATATTAGAATGTTCTAATGCGCACAACATAAATCATTTGTAATACGGTTCTGCGTACAGTGTACACCATTCTAGAAAATGCAGATTTGCACGAAGTTTCGAAGACGAGTGTTGTTTCCGCTACTGGAACAGACGGCGGCGGCCCGAGCCTTTATGCCGTCATACTGTAACGGCTTGCCTGATTACAGCGCTATTTTCGGCGGCGTCGCCTCAACTGCGGTTCGGCAGCGCTATTTGACCTGACACCTCACTTTTCACACTGCTCCACCTTCATATTTGGAGAACAACCATGATATAGCCAAATATAAACACGTCGAAACATGACAATACCGAGGGAATGGCCCTCGGGCAGGGACCTAAAGAAAAAACAGTCGCGAGGACAGCGGCAATTTCAATTGACCCTCTGCAGATGTCATGTCAACAGATCTCACGTCCTCAACCACTCGCAGAGAATCCGTGACGATGCGCGGTCGCTCCAACTGGTCTCGTGCACGGTGTACGAGTCGCAACATCGACGGCCACGCCTTCGTCGTTGAAGCTTGTTTCTTCCCTTTCTGTTCGGTAATTACCGAGCCAGTGCCGTGGCTGACCTGCTTGTCTGGAATTGCGCTGAGCGCGCACATCATCGTCCGAACAAATTCATTCCCACCAATCATGGTGCAGAACGATGAGGGAGGCTTGGTTTACAGGACCTTCTTGTATACAGAGGGAGGCACGGATTAGGTTAGGGCGCATTCCCAAGTTTGCCCACCATCAGAAGTTTGCCCACGCGACTCGAAATGTTGACGTGGCATTAATTCACATTGGAAAGTCTCCCACGCGATTCGAAGTTTGGACACCATGAGTCCAACCGGCCACGGTCGCAATTCCTGGCCTGACCGTCAGTGTACGACAATGGAGATCGTGCCACGTTTGCTGGGTGTTGGGACTAGTGCTAGACATGCCAGTTGCGTGCACACAGCCGTCAACATATATTTCCTTCCTGCCCACGAAACCCATTTCTGCGCTGCTTACGTGAATCTGCCAATTTTACCCACGTTGACTTGATATGACCATTGTGCCCAAAATTTACGTCAGGTGCAATCGTCAGGCACGGACGTTTAGGTTTTGCCTGACGAAGTTCCTCCAACACTTGGCATGCGAGCTGGCGCGTCAATTTCATTGGATATCGGACATGCGACGTTGGCGACATCTGTCGCCCGCCGAAATGAGGTTCGGTGGTCAGAATGGGAGCATTCCCACCAAAGGCCCCAACATCTTCGGAAAAAAAGGGCTGGTGGGCAAACTTCGATGGTGGGCAAACTTGAGAATGCGCTATAGGCCGCTCTGTTGATGCTTGTGGTTCTTGGTTCGCTTCAACCTCACATGTTGGAGCACAGAAGAATGGTAGGCAGGTTTACTGGTATATATAGTAGAAGCCTTCTCAGTTACACCACCTGGTGCTTGCACCAGTGTCTGTTCATTCCGTCCGCTCATAATTCCTGGTCAGCGAGTTGTGCTCCTCCACGTTCTAGCTCTTCTATTTACCGTGGAAATAGCTTTTCAACACAGAGTGTTGGGCAGAATCTAGGCAGAATTCACTATAGTAGCGTGGGTGTCGCGTCGTGCATTCTAGCCACATCTCTCTGTCGGGTATACCATCAGCATTGCGAGAACTCAACCGTTGCGACCTTTCACCGTAACTATGGCCGTAGCTTGCGAGTCTGCATCCGTTCGCCTGGAGCCTCCCAGTCTGGCAGCACCATCAGAACTGCGCGTGTCAGGAGTCGAGCCCACGCCGGTCGTAGAAACCCCACAAGACCAGCACCACGGCGGCATTTCGGGTCTCGACGCATCCCTTGCGATCCTCGGCTCCGCTCACGCCGCACTCTTAGACTCTCCGTGCGGGTCCTCCCTATCCGCGCTCTCGCTCTCCGTCGCCGTCTCCCTTACCCAGGCTCTGCACGACGGGTTATGCGCGTCCGGCAAGATTCGAACCCACGTCTCCCAGTTCATTCTCGAGTGCCTTGAGGATATTGAGGCGGAATTGCCGCACATACACGCGCCCCCAGTCGACTGTTGGGAGTGGGACCTCGTCGCAGGTCCCGTGCCAGTGCTTGCCACTCACCATCTCGTTTCCGAATCGCCGACTTGCGATAACGGTCGGGCTATCAGGCCGTCGAGATCGTCGTCGCTATCGAAGATGGCGTCGAATGCGGCGGTGCGTGCGGAAGGCGCGTCGCGGGGTCTGCGCGTGCAATGGCTGGACGAGGCGAAGGGCGCGGCGCTGACGGCCGTCAGGGAATTCCGCCGCTGGTGCGTGACGCGGGGAATGGCGGGCTGTGCGCGGATTAGGTGGTTGAAGGGAGCGGGTTCGGATGCGGGGAACTCGCTGGTGCGGATTGGCTGGTGTGGGGGAGGCAGGCCTGGAAAGATTAGCCGCTGAGAGTGCGTGCGGTGCGGTCTGGCTAGGTTGTGCTGGTGTTGCAATGCGTAAGGCTCGTCGCTTCAGTACGAGTTTTCTCTTCCGCTTCGGTTTTCTGAGATTATGGAGATGTATTACCGTGGATTCTAATTGTGTGTTCCCCCGCATATTTTGCCTCCCCTGTTTCTGCAGTGATCACGAAGCCGCCGCAATGGGCTTCCGTACCGAGTCATGCTATATCGAGGATAGCGTCTGCAGCTGCTCGCTCCAGTAACACCTCTAGCTCTTGGGATAGAACGGGCCCATTCGTGTTGCTGTTATTGAACTCGCGTTCCCCATCCGTTGACATAATAAGGGGTTGACGTCTAATGTCAGCTGATTAGGGTTGAAAGGTAGTGGTAGCAGCACTGATTCTATCATTCCTGGAATAATAAATACATGTAGCGTTGACATTATTCTTCTCACTCAAATGCTGCTGTACATCTGAAAATTGCCACCAAGCAACGGAAATGTGAACATTTCATACTACTTGTCACATCTGAACTTGGCCACCTAGCAATGCAGCACTCTCACTCTCCACGTTCACAACAGCATGAGTGAGGGGCACGTTAGGACCCTCTGTTGCTGCTACTGCTGCTGCTGCTCCTTCACCCTGCACATCTTTTTCCCCATATAAGTCAATCCCGCCCCCGAAAGCAGCTTCCTTGTGAGACGCCTTAAGGTTAGGAGACAATGCAAGAATGTAGTCTATGGATGAGCGGGGAGCATTGCGAGCAGCCCTGGCATAGAGAGCAAGGGCGAGGAGCATGGTAACGACGAGCACGGCGATAAACAGAATACCTGCGAGCGCAACACCCAGATGCTCCTCCGCTTCCGTGTCACACTTAACCATCTTATAATCCACATTGCGACAACCCGGTAAGTGGAGCACTCCATAGAGGAACAGAGACATGGTCCAGAGCCAGAGGCCTTGGAAGAGAAACCCCGAGAGGAACATTGCATCGAGGAGGAAGCAGGAGGGGAAGGCGGCGACGAGGAGCGCGAGCAGGAAGCAGATGAGGCCAGCGAGTGCTTGGAAGAGGTGGAAGCGGGGCTCGAGGCCCTTGTGGGAGATGGAGTGGAAGGTGGTCAGAATGGCCTCGCTGAAAAAGCCGATGGCGTAGAGGACGTGCAGGGAACCTGGTGGGAGAGGCAGGAGACTGGGGATGAGGTGGTTGGAATGAAAGAGGGGGAGAGGGGGGTGGGTGGAGGGGAAGAGGGAGGGGTACGGGGGTCGGGGGAGGCGGGATTTAGAAGGGAGGAAGATTGGGAGGATTCACATGTGGGACGGGAAGTAGAAGGGAGGTTTGGAATATAACATGAGAAAGATGGAATTATGCGGTCTATGTACATACATTTGGACTGAGATTCGGCAGATACAGAGCTTCAATTCAATCATCCATTCCGGGATTTTCTCGCACAACTTTCCTTGGTCTCACCTGGTTGTGTCATGGACAAAGAAGATGAGCCCTATAATAACGAAGACAGCAAAGAGCAAGGCGTGCTGCGCAACGAAAGGGGTGCAGGACGAACGGAGGGAGAAGGAAAAAACGCATGTTGCAGCTCAGAATGTGAAACAAGCAATGCATACTGGTACATGGAAGGCGAACCAAACGCGACGCGGTGCAATGTGGTTCGAGGAGGTACTGAAAGAGAGGCATTTCAAGATGCAGCGTCTCTACAACAAAGGATCTGACGCTTCCTCGAGCTCCCACACAACAAACTTGAGAGCATCTTAGAACGTGAAAACGAAAAACAAGAAGCACGAGAATCTTAAAAACTAACCTCGAATTGAATGATTTCAAATCTATGCTCAAACGCGGACAGAAGTCCCAGCACGAGCCCCTCCATGAGCTGCGCGAACGCCCCGCAGATAAGTACGTACACCACGAGCCGCACCCAGTGCCCGCGAATCGGCACCGGGTGCCACGCACGCGCCACGTACGCGTGCGGCGCGGCGAGGTAAGCGCGAATGGCGCAGAAAAGGTTCCATGAAGCGAAAATCAGCGCGACCGTTCCTGCGCACGTGTGCCCCAGGAAGGACCCCATTGATGGGGGGGAATTTTTTTTCGTCCGTCACAGTCACGGTGAACGTCACGTCACCCTCGTGACGTCTCAAAACAAGCTGACTGAAAATCCGAGCCCTTGTGGCACGCGATAGCACTAGTCGGCTTGTTTCGAGACGTCACCTAGGATCGCGGTTTTCTGTGCAACTTTGAGTCAAACGGTAACTTGGAATCACCAGGGTTGTGACTGAGTTTTGAGACACCTCCAAGATTGAAATACTACGGTGGCAACAGAGAAGAGAGCAGAAGCGTGATTCAGGCTGATACAGAAGTGTATCGGCCGTTAGGACGGTGTCGATATCTGCCAGTAAGTGCTCATCGTGACTCGTGAAGGGCCTTGGGTGCCATGATGGCACCATGGTGCTATGGGTACAGTAGCAGTCAGTCCAAGTCAGCGGTGACCTGCTCGACAGGCAACGACTCGTGCGTGTGGTTGCAAATTTCGGAAGCAGCGGACACCGTCGGAGTTTTGATTCTTGATTCTTGAACAGTGAAATCCAGGCCGTTTGCTGCTCCAATAAAATTCAATTCTTGCCCGCTGAGAAGTAGGCGGACAGCAACCAACTCCCCAGAAACCTGCTTGTTGCTCCTAGCTCCAACCACCACCCACCGACACTCACTGAAGCTCACTGAGACGCTCATGGACACGCAGAGACTCCCACGGACCCCATGAGAGTCTCTCATATGCATCTGACTCCCTCTCACTCACGCACACAGATACCAGATGCAAAGTTGCACAGGGATGGATGTTCACTGGAGCCTTGGGAGTTGCGATGAGGGTATGGCTGTGAGATGGGATCAAGTTGGATGTGATAGAAAACGGTGAAGGGGATTCAGATGAGTTTGGGATGGTTCGCTCCTGCTGTTCCTGACAATCAGTCTCAAGAAAACAGCACCCGCTCAACCGTACAATACCACTAGACGGTAACCTTTTCGAATTGATACAACTACCTGATTAAATGCAGTATGAAATAAATAAGTACAGAAATGTACCATATCTTCTGTCAAACTACTCATCCGAAAGGTGGATGTGATGCCTTGAGTGATTTCTGTGCGTGTGCCCCTGTAGTGCAGCTAGATGACAATATAATAAAGCCAGGGCTCCTCGCACCCACAACTACAGCTATCTGCAACAATCCTCCTCTCGAAGCATGCAATGATATATAAAAAGCACATGATAGCAACCGGATTCATGCCTCTGGTATTTTCCCTTTAAGATAGAAGGCTTTTCTCCTCGTCTACACCTGCATCTGTGCCCATATTGCCATTCTCATGCACACTAAGCGCCCCTAACGCAACCTCTCCCTTGCCACCACTCCCCCTCGGACTAGAACCATCCTTTCCCCCCTCCTCTCCACATTCCACAGCATGAGTTGCATGGATAAGATCCAGAGACGACCGAGGAGCAGCGCTTGCAACCGCGCCATAATAAACGAGCGAGAGCACGAGGGTGCAGGCGAGGAGGGCGATGAATTGCAGCACAGCGAGGGCCATGGCTCGATGCTCGCTTGCATTGGAGTCGCAGTGCACGGTGTCAGGACCCAGGTAGCAGCCTGCTGGGACCATGGGGCCATAGAGGGACATGGCGGTCTGCAGGGGGAGGGGCGGATGCGGGAGGCGAGGAATGGTATGTTGTGGTGCTGTGCGGTACCATATGGTACAGTACCCTACATACAATACAGTACGGTGCAGCACGGTGCAGAGATGCAGGACGCCGACCTGACAGAACAAGAGGCCTACATGGCACACTATGGTGTGGTATGGTACAGTGCGGTACCAAGATGCGGGTGAGAGACTGACCTGCCAGAACAAGAGCCCCTGCATGACATGACATTCCATAGTGTGGTACGGTACAGTGCGGTACATTTGGGTGATTAACTGACCTGCCAGAACAAGAGCCCCTGCAAGACAATCGCGCCGCTGCCAACCGCATCGAGCAGGAAGGAGTGCGGCCTGGCAGCGGCCAGCAGCGCACACACGACACACGCAGAGATGGCGATGGCGAGCAGCATGTGGTAGCGCGGCTCCAGGCCGTGGTGCGCCGTGGAGTGCAGCGAGAAGAGAAGACCCTCGCAGAAGAATGCGAGCGCTGCTAGGATGTGGAACGCGCCTAGGGGGAGGGGGAGCAGGCTGTGGATGGAGTGGGGATGGGTAGAGAGGGGTGCGGAGGGATTGGTGGGGAGGGGTGAGGAGAGGAAGGGGAACAAGCCATGGAGTGCCGGGAAAAGAAGCAGCCTCCTACAGAAGAAGGCGAGCGCTGATAGCACGTGGAACGCGCCCTGAGGGAGAGAGAACAGGCTGTGAGGAAAGGGATGGGGATGGGTGGAGAGAGATGAGGAAGGATTGGGAAGTGCGACAGATGCGGGGGTGAGGAGGAGAGGAAGCGGTGGAGTGAAGAGGGAAGCAGAAGCAGGCGAGTGCAGCTAGTACGTGCGGTGCACTCAGCTGGTGGGGCAATGCCCCTTCCATCCGTTCCCCCGCTCACCTGGTGGTTTCGCTGATCAAAAGAGCGCAGCCGAGCAGGAAGAACATGAGCAGCATCGCCGCGTGCTGCGCTGGGGAGGAGAGGATGGGAGGGGAGGGTGAGAGGGCGAGGAGGATGGAAGGAGAGGGGAAGGAGGGGAGGATGAGGAGCACATGTGGTGAAAATGGAGAATGCATCACGAATACCCGCTGCAGTTGGGTTTCAAGACCGCGCGGCTAAAAGCGAGCGGCTAAACGCGAGCGGCTAAATGCGAGCGGCTAAACGCGAGTGGCTAAATGAGCACCTCGAGCAGAAGAATATCGAGTCGTCTCAGAACAGGAAAGCGACGAAACCAGTAAAACTTGTGCTACCGTGCCTCGTGCTACCGTAGCTCGCCCTACCGTACCTCGAAGTTATTGAGGTGGCCGGGCGCGACTCCGCCATTCTCGATCGGGTGAAACCCGGTTCCGACTCCGAGCTCCACTAAAGCCATATCTAGGAACGACCCCACTACTATAATGTACAGCTCGAGCCGCGCCCAGTGGCCGGGTAGCGGCGCGGGATGCCATAGTCGCGACACGAAGGCTTGCGGCGCCGCGAGGTAGTTCTTAATGCTGCATCGCAGGTGCCACAGCCCCACTAGGAGGAAAAGCGTTCCGGGGATTATATGACCTGCGAAAGAGCCCATTGCTAGGGAATGCCGCGACAGACGGGTTGCACTCGGTAAGTAATTTCTGTATTCGGCCGCCCTACGTAAGCTTTCAGGAAAATCTACGCGCCCGTGCGGGAGAATCTAGGAACTGTTGCTCTGGGGGTACCTCGGCTATAATACAGGGTGTTTCGGTAGAGTATAAAACGTCATTTGGATTCTTCATCTTACAAAAAACTTCTCACATCAAAATATTGGGCCCCAAATCAATTTCAGTACTGCTTGTTTGTTTCCCAGTAGAGTATAAGGAAACTGCATGTTTCCAACAAAATCATGATGAAGTATGAAAAGACGCACCCAGTACGTGTGGGAAGTAGGCGGCATGAGCAAACCCGTTCCACCAACCCAGAGCCATTCAATCAATCAAGAGCCCCATACCATCAGTCACCATCAGATCACCCTTGCACCACAAGCAACACAGAGCATGTAGGGTAGGTTCCCCATCTCAACCTGGCAATGGCAAGCACAAGTCAGCATTGTCAAGCCCATTTGGCCTCTCCACAGAGCCCCCCCCCCCCCCCCCTTCCACCCTCTTCCCCATCATCCCGTAGCCCCTCTCTAGGACGTTTAGCCTGCATGGATCGCATCGCAGAACCCTCACCCTCAGCTCCTCTATACCGGTACTTCCCACAGCTGCCCCACTAGCGACTTTCTTTCCCTCCAGCTTTCTCTTAACCCCATGATCACATCAGCCCTTGTTCCCATGCTCACATCACCCCTCTCTGACTCGTTTAGCCTGCATGGACCGCAGAGCCTTCTCCCTCAACTCCTCCATGCTTCCCCCAAAACCCCCACCCCCCCTCTCTCTCTCCCCACCCTCTCCCTCATCCCACTCCCTCTCCCTCTTGCCTCTCCCTTCACCATCCCCTCGTTCACCACCATTCAACCCTCCCTCCTGCTGTCTCTCCTCCTCATCCTCGCTGCTCCCCCGCTCTTCCCCTCCCATACCCCGCCGTGCCTCCTTAGCCGCGCGCTTTTCCTCTTTCCGCCGCCGCTTCTCCTCCTTCCTCCTCCTCTTCTCCTCCTTACGCGCCTTCTTCTCCTCCTTCCTCCTCCGCTTCGCCTCCCGCCTCTCCTCACTGTTCATCCCCTCCTCCTCCTCCTCCCAATCCTCACTCCCCACCCTCCCAAACCCCTCTCCACCGATCTGTCCTCCCTTCCCATCCCCTCGTGCCCCAGCCTCCCTTGTCGGACGGCGGGGAGAGGGAGAGGCGGAGGAGGGAGGGGAAGCATCTTGGGGAGACGCAGATGGTTCTTGGGAAGAGAGAAATCTGCGAGACTGCCTCTGACTCCCCCCTGCCTCCTCCTCATCCTCCTCTCCAGCTTCCTCCTCGCCCTGCTCCTTGCCCCTCCCATCCCTCCTACCCCTTCCATCATCATGCCTACCACCAGGACCCCGTGCATCACCTGCATCACCACCAGCACCAGCACCCCGCTCCTCCTCCCAATCCTCCCCTAGTCCATCCCTACCGCTAAGCTCTTTGTTGCGAGGCCCGCTAGGCCCCTTGCTGCTAAAACCCCTTGGCCCCTCTCGCAACTCCCCGCCCCTTTCATCCTCGTACCCTGCTCTCCGCCCTCCGCGCCCCTCCCCCCTGCCTGTGCCCCTCTCCTCATCTCGCCTCTCACGCGCACGCGCGTCGTAACCGCTCCCCTCCCCCCTACGCGCGACATACCTCCCCCTTTCACCCTGCCTCCTCTCCCCATTCGCACCCCGCCTGCCCTCCTCCTCATCCCCCTCCTCAACCCTACTCCTCCCCCTTCGTCCCTCGCTCTCCCTCATGCCACCAGACTTTTCAGAAGCAACCAGATCGCCATTCGGCTCTTCACCCTCACTCTCGTCAGCACCAGGAGACAGCATTTCCTCATCCCTGCCCCCAACCCTCCCCCCATCCCTGCCCCCACCCCTCCCCCCACCCCTCCCCCCACCCCTCCCCCCATCCCTCCCCCCATCCCTGCCCGCACCAGCAACGCGCTTGGCACTTCCCCCCAAGTCACCGCGGCCCCTTCCTCTCACCATCACCTCTTCCTCTCCCCCCACATCCTCCTCCAATCGACCCGCCCTGTCCCTCCGACCCCCCTCCCCTTCCCCATTATCCTCCTCCTCGTCCTCCTCATCTCGCCGTCCTGCCCCTCCTCTCCTAGCCTCCTTGCGCACACCACCCCGCACATTTTCCTCATCCTCCTCCTCCTCGTCCTCCTCCTCCTCGTCACCATACTCATCACCATCGTCCTCCCTGCCGCCCCTACCCCTACCGGGAACCCCCCGTTTGAACGACGTGCCCCTGTCTTTCCCGCTCCCTCGTTCATCCACCCGTCGCTCACCCCGTATCCTCTCCTCCCGCCCTCTCACGTCCCTCCCTCGCTCCTCCCAATCTCTCACCTCCCGCCCTCTCTCGCCGCGTCCTCTGTCCATCCCGCCTTCCTCTCGCCCACGCATCGATCGGCCAGGCGGGGGAGGGTACCTCTCACCCCGCGCAAACGACTCCTCTTGCCGGGACGAACGGCGCGGGGGGGGTGATCGGGATCCCCCTCCTCTGCGCCGATAGTCCCCTGGCGGCGACCGCCCGTCGCGCTGGTACCCGCGGCTTCTAGGCGGGGAGCGGTAGCGGCTGCTGCGGTAGGACGACGGCGGGGGGGAGCGGCGGGGGGAGCGGTATGCGGAGCGGCGGTGGCGGGGAGGGGACCGGGAGCGGCGCTCGGGGGAGAAAGAGCGGGAGCGATGGCGACGGCGGGTGGGGGAGCGGTTTCGAGGGGGAGGAGGCAAGGGGGCCTGATCCTGCTCCGCTTTTCCCTCATCATCAACATCATCAGCAGCAGCAGGATCAGCAGCAACAGAAGCGGCGGCTCCTTCACCATCTGGCCTCCCATCCTCTGCTCCTGTAACACCACCACCGCCAGCAGCAGCTGCTGCTGCTGCGGCTGCCTCTTTCTCCTGTGCCAGCTTAGCAGCCTGCGCCGTGAACGCAGCCGCAGCGGCCGTGGCGGCGGCGACGGCAGCGTTGCCGGCAGCAGTAGCGGCTGGGTCAGCCGACGCTGGTACCGCGGCGGGCGCAGCAACAGCGGGTGCAACAGCGGGTGCAGCAGCAGGAGCAGGCGCAGCAGCGGTGGGGGGAGCAGGATGTCCCAAGAGGGCAGCTGTGAGGCGCGCTGCTGCTTCCGCGGCCTTCCGTCGCGCAGCCTCGACGTCCACTCCCTGCGCACGGGTGGCGCACACACGCATAACGGGAGATAACCGCAGAAAGAGGGAGGCACCAAGGGGAACTTGTTGGTCGTAGGCTGGAGAGAAGGCAAGATAGTATTTGCGCACTCTCAAAAGCTGTTTTGTGCTTTTATGTGCTGTCATGTGCTCTCTTAACACTTTCAAGCGCGACTCACCGGGATGGAAGCAGCGGCAGTGCCAGGGCCCAGCAACGAGCCCTGCTGCACCCCCCTCTTGCGCCCGATCTCCGAGAGTATGCGCTGCTCCGCCTCCTGCAACCAAGGAAAAAAAACCAAACAAGGACTAATCATATCAGATCCAATAAAACTGAAACAGCACTCTGATGAGAGGGACATGATTGGGCAGTGGGGACTAACCAGAAAGCGAGCAAGCGAGCGCGACGCACCTTTTTCTTCCTCGTCTCCTCCGCCTTTTCGTCGAGGAACTTCTGCGGAATGCCGCTGACGTTGGCCTGCGCGCTGAGCAGCAGGCACCACAGCTCGCGCATGAAGCGCGCCGTGTGGCGCTCCATGAACCCCGTTAACTGAATCTGGACCTGCTTGCCGTCCACCTTCTGCGGCACGCGCGAGAAAAAGGGTTTGAGGGACGCGGAGAGGAGAGGAAAAGCAGAGAAGGGGAAGGGAACAGCAAAGAAGCAACTGCGACGGCTGTTCGGCACAAATGGTAGGTAGGTAGGAGGCGAGGCGAGGATAAAGCGATGGCTCTCGATCTGCGAACGGTAACAGGACGGTTACCCGGCGGAATTGACAAGGTTGAAACAGAGCCAGACCGTTAGCCAGTGAGGCAAGCACTGCTTGGTCAGCACCAATGCTGATTTTCCTGCAGAGCAGATGGCCTCTTCCAGTCATGAGTCAGCGATCATGGGCGATCATGGGCGACCATAGCGACCCTGATGTCATGCAGATGCCGAAGCTGTCGACAAGATCACAACCGATCGGAATAAGCTCTTGAACCGAGACTAAACTAGCACTATGAACGACATCCTCGCCAAAGAAAAAAATAGATATAAAAAAGTGAAACAACAGCAAGACCTCCGTAAAAAAATGTCATGTTGAGAGAGGATGATTCAAAAAGTCTTCATACCTTGCCGTCTAGCAGACTGTAGATGAAATTGATCAACACTTCATCCTCCACCCCCAACAGCTCAGTAACCCTCTTGGCTATCCATGGCTGCATCACCTCCTTCTTCACCTTAGTCATATCCACCTGTAAATTGAAGAAAAGAAGGAAAAAAAGGGTGGGAAATAAATCCACTAATGCTCGCTAAAAGCGTTCGGAAAAAAAAAAGTTAAAGCCGTGTAAACACCAGAAACAAAAAATCAATAGTTGCAAAAAACTTGCCGGCTCATCAAGCTCCGGTGCGAACTTCTGCGATTTAAGCAGCTTGGCGTTCTTGTTGGAGAATCTGCTGTCCTGATCCGCGCTGGTCCCTCGAAAGAAACCCCCCGACATGGCTGCGGCCTCGACACTAGTACCCGCAACAATAAATCTGCTACCGGAAAAACCCGCGTCGGCTTAACGACAAAGCCTACAAAAACAAAAACAAAAATCAAAATATCCCAAGAATGGTCGTGGGAAAGACTTTAGGAGTCGCACACCCCGGAATAAAGGACAGATATCTCGCAGGTCCACGAAGAAGGACCTCCTAACCGGGATCTCTAAGATCACAGGTCCGTAGCCAAGCTCCTGCTAGCAGACTTGTAACAGCTCCTGCAACCAGATCCTGCAGCTACATAGCATCTGGAACAGCTTGTTTTGTGGAAATGGATGAGGTTGGCGACGGTCGCGAACGTCGGAAAGATGGCGAAGCAATCGGCGATGAAAAGCTGGTGTGGGTGGCGGGAATGACACTTTCCATTCGACCCAATTTAGATACCCGCTATATTGACCACTTCAAATTATATAAAGGCGGAAAGTTACAAGCAAAAAATGGTAATGTCTACATAATCAACTCAATTGGAATGAAAACTATAACGGTCTTACTCCGATGCTACCCTAGCTTGTGCATGTCCCACAGGATCCTGAATCTCAACAGAGGCTAAGCTTTCCTTTGCGTCCAACCACGTCCATTTCTCCTCGGGCACACCCGTAACACAAAAGTCCGAGCACATACCCCCCCCTTCAACCTTACAACTCGGCTTCGTCACGTTCCCACCCGCCCATTCCGCGGAAAGAACAGCCTTGCCGCCTTGGCAAACGGTCGGTGCGACAACGGCTTGCGGGGTTTCCATGGCTCTAGCGGCGTACTTGGCGAGGAGTACGGCCCAGTAGTGGACGCGGCTTTGCCACGTGCACACGTGCGAGGCGAGCTCGTTTGCGTTGAGCAGCATGGTGTGCACTGCATCGTCGTGCTGCCTCATCCACTCCACCGCTGCCACCAAATCCGTGAAGCTGCGGGCATGGTGAGGGAGTGGAGAGCAGGGAATGGGTCTGAGTGTGCTGACACGAAAGAACAGGCGTGGAGAGTGGGAGATGGATTTAGGTGCGTTGATCGGCATGGTGTGCACCGCGTCGTCGTGCTGCCTCATCCACTCCACCGCTGCCACCACACCCGATGCTCAGCACACAAGAGCACACGTGGGAGAGTGGGAGAGAGGGAGATGGCTGTAGGTGCAGGTGACAGATTTGATTCCCTGGCGTAAAGATAATGGAGTGAAAGAAAGAGCATGCACAAATGCGTAACGGGGATGTAGTGTACTCCATGGCAGCACTGACCTGTGTGTAACGGGGATGTAGTGTACTCCAGGCAGCACTGACCTGTGTGTAACGGGGATGTAGTGTACTCCAGGCAGCACTGACCTGTGTGTAACGGGGATGTAGTGTACTCCAGGCAGCACTGACCTGTGTGTAACGGGGATGTAGTGTACTCCAGGCAGCATGAGCGGCTCAAAGTACTGCATGAAGCCCGACTGGTGGCGAATGATGGCCTGCTGGCCACTCAGAGCGCGACACGTGTCACGAGAGCCCACCATCTCATCCACCACGACCACGTACTTGAACGCGCTCTCCTTCACCCCCTCCTCCAACTCCTCCCCCAACACAAAGCCGTTCCTGCGGGAAAGAGAGCCGGGGGAGGGGGACGAGAAGGAGGATGGGAGGGAGGATACACTTGAACGCGCTCTCCTTCACCCCCTCGCCCAGCCCCTCCTCCTCCCCCAACACAAAGCCGTTCCTGCGGGAAAGAGAGGGTGGGGAGGGGGGCAGGAAGGAGGATCGGAGGAAAGATACACTTTCTCACATGGCATGACACTTTCTCACATGGCATGACACTTTCTCACATGGCATGACACTTTCTCACATGGCATGACACTTTCTCACATGGCATGACACTTTCGCACAAAGCGTGACACTTTCTCACATGGCGTGACACTTTCTCACATGGCATGACACTTTCTCACATGGCGTGACACTTTCTCACATGGCATGACACTTTCTCACATGGCATGACATTTTCTCACATGGCATGACACTTTCTCACATGGCATGACACTTTCTCAAACCAGAAATCACATAGCACACACATACCACGCTGAGCCACGAGCTGAACCACTCACTTCCTAAGCAACTCTTTAGGATTGGCCAGGTCTATCGGGCCGAAGCTGGAAATCCGTGCGTCGAGCAGGTCCGGGCGAGAGTCGGAGGTTCGGTGCAGGCGCAGGCGGAAGCTGGAGGCCCAGTTGTAGGGCTTCAGTTGGAACTCAAACCCGCTGCCCCGCCACACCGCCTTGCCCTCCTTCTGTGGGGTGGGGTGGGGTGGGGTGGGGAGGCAAGCGTTCAGGTGGGGCCAGTTTCAGAGCAGAGGAGTGGTGCTTGATAAAAGTTGAGTTTTGAGACGTCTCAGAGCAGAGGAGTGGTGCTTCATGTGGAACGGAGCTCTGCTGCACGTCCAGCACGCACCAAAGGCAAGCAGTGCTGGTGGTCCGAGGAGAGGATATTAGCGCAGCCATGACTTTCTATAGTCGGCTAAAAAAAAACCTCCGAAAGGCAGGGATTGGAGGTGGTGGGAGGAGGCGATATTGGTGCAGCCGGTGCGGCACTCCGTGTGTCCGTTGCTCAGCTCGCAGGGAAGCTCAGGGGGGGACGAGTGGGATATAAGCAGGGCGAGATGTAAGCAGCACGAGGCGTAAGCAGTGCCTGGCATGAGACACAACAGCACAAGGCACGGACCTTGGCCCCGGGCACGTGCTCAGCGTGCATTGAGTTTTGAGACGTCTCAAACACATGCTCAGCGTGCATTGAGTTTTGAGCCGTCTCAAAACACATGCTCAGCGTGCATTGGAGGGGAATAGTGGAGGTCGAGGGGGTCCGCGAAGAGAATGTCGGTGGAGCCGGGGGTCCACTGCGTGCTCACTAGCCTGTCCGAGTCGTGTTATCAAAAGACTTGACAAGCAGCACAAGGCACGGACCTTGGCCCAGGGGACGTGTTCTGTGTGTTGTGGAGGGGAATAGTCGAGGTCGAGGGGGTCGGGGAAGAGAATGTCCGTGGAGCCGGGGGTCCACTGTGTGCTGAGTCTGACTGACTGACTGACTGACTGACTGACTGACTGACTGACTAGCCTGGGAGACATGATTCAAACGCCTTGACCAGCACCACAAGAGGCGCAAGGGACGCACGCACCTTGGCCCAGGGCACGTGCTCAGGGTGTACGGGAGGGGAGTAGGCGAGGTCGAGGGGGTCAGGAAAGAGAATGTCCGTGGAGCCGGGGGTCCACTGCGTGCTGAAGACGGGGAAGCCGGAGCAGCCGGAGGAGAGCGAGTTGTCGAAACTGATTGGCTTGTCACACGCGTTTATGAATAGCTCTGCTCGCAGTGCTGGTGGGGGGAGGGGAGGGGACGGGACGGGGGAGGGGAAGGGGGGGGACAAGTGAGAGGGGAGCATTGAGGGGAGAAGTGCCGAGGGAGAAACTGGATAAGCCTGAGCAGCCCGAGGAAAGGGAGCTGATGACGCTGATTGGCTTGTCACACGCGTTTATGAATAGCTCTGCCCGTGGTGCCGTTGGGAGGGGGACGGGGACGGTGTTACTGGGGGAGCTGAGGATGGGGTTACGAATGATAGGCCAACACAATAGCCCGGTTCGGATTGAGGCCGTATGAGACCAATAAAACCGTCTAGAAATTGGCATACATCTGAGGTCGTATGCAGTGAAAACGCACATCTTAGCTCCCACCCGACTAATTTCAGGTCATAACAAATAAGTGTAAGGACACAAACGTACAGCTGAGACACAGACGTACATCTGAGACACAGACGTACATCTGAGACACAGACGTACATCTGAGACACAGACGTACATCTGAGGTCGTAGGCATTTATGGCATGGAGGATCATCTTGACTGCCAGGTTGACTCGCTTGAGCTTGCGCGTATCTTCCAGGAAGGATCCGTAACGGAAGTACACACGACCTAGCACTATGCGCACATGCGCCAGACATGGCTGCATCTGCAGATGGGGGACGGAGAGGCAGGGCGGAAAGGCGAGGCGGAGAGGCGGGCGGAGAGGAGGGCCGGAGAGGCAGGGCGAAGAGGGGGGGCGAAGAGAAAGGGTGGTGGGGGGAATGCATGGGAGTTGGGAGAGATGCATGGGAGTTGGGAGAGATGCATGGGAGTTGGGAGAGATGCATGGGAGTTTGTGGGTGGGGAGAAGGGGGAGCAGTACAGTGTGGGCGAAGCAGAGGAGTAGATACAGAATGCGATGGAGTGAGGGAGGAATGCAGTGGAGTGGGGAGGAATGCAGTGGAGTGGGGAGGAATGCAGTGGAGTGAGGGAGGAATGCAGTGGAGTGGGGAGGTATGCAGTGGAGTGGGGAGGAATGCAGTGGAGTGGGGAGGAATGCAGTGGAGTGGGGAGGAATGCAGTGGAGTGGGGAGGAATGCAGTGGAGTGGGGAGGAATGCAGTGGAGTGGGGAGGAACGCAGTGGAGTGGGGAGGAATGCAGTGGAGTGGGGAGGAATGCAGTGGAGTGGGGAGGAACGCAGTGGAGTGGGGAGGAATGCAGTGGAGTGGGGAGGAACGCAGTGGAGTGGGGAGGAACGCAGTGGAGTGGGGAGGAATGCAGTGGAGTGGGGAGGAATGCAGTGGAGTGGGGAGGAATGCAGTGGAGTGGGGAGGACTGCAGTGGAGTGGGGAGGAATGCAGTGGAGTGGGGAGGAATGCAGTGGAGTGGGGAGGAATGCAGTGGAGTGGGGAGGAATGCAGTGGAGTGGGGAGGAACGCAGTGGAGTGGGGAGGAATGCAGTGGAGTGGGGAGGAATGCAGTGGAGTGGGGAGGAATGCAGTGGAGTGGGGAGGAATGCAGTGGAGTGGGGAGGAACGCAGTGGAGTGGGGAGGAACGCAGTGGAGTGGGGAGGAATGCAGTGGAGTGGGGAGGAATGCAGTGGAGTGGGGAGGAATGCAGTGGAGTGGGGAGGACTGCAGTGGAGTGGGGAGGAATGCAGTGGAGTGGGGAGGAATGCAGTGGAGTGGGGGGTACCTTGGGATTGACGGCCATGGCTGGGAACATGATCTGCTTCACCATGCCCGCCTTCCCCAACCCCTTGCTGATGCCCTGCTTCCGGCACACAGGCACACAGGCACACAGGCACACAGGCACACAGGCACACAGGCACACAGGCACACAGGCACACAGGCACACAGGCACACAGGCACACAGGCACACAGGCACACAGGCACACAGGCACACAGGCACACAGGCACACAGGCACACAGGCACACAGGCACACAGGCACACAGGCACACAGGCACACAGGCACACAGGCACACAGGCACACAGGCACACAGGCACACAGGCACACAGGCACACAGGCACACAGGCACACAGGCACACAGGCACACAGGCACACAGGCACACAGGCACACAGGCACACAGGCACACAGGCACACAGGCACACAGGCACACAGGCACACAGGCACACAGGCACACAGGCACACAGGCACACAGGCACACAGGCACACAGGCACACAGGCACACAGGCACACAGGCACAACAGGCACACAGGCACACAGGCACACAGGCACACAGGCACACAGGCACACAGGCACACAGGCACACAGGCACACAGGCACACAGGCACACAGGCACACAGGCACACAGGCACACAGGCACACAGGCACACAGGCACACAGGCACACAGGCACACAGGCACACAGGCACACAGGCACACAGGCACACAGGCACACAGGCACACAGGCACACAGGCACACAGGCAACACAGGCACACAGGCACACAGGCACACAGGCACACAGCACACAGGCACACAGGCACACAGGCACACAGGCACACAGGCACACAGGCACACAGGCACACAGGCACACAGGCACACAGGCACACAGGCACACAGGCACACAGGCACACAGGCACACAGGCACACAGGCACACAGGCACACAGGCACACAGGCAAAGGCACACAGGCACACAGGCACACAGGCACACAGGCACACAGGCACACAGGCACACAGGCACACAGGCACACAGGCACACAGGCACACAGGCACACAGGCACACAGGCACACAGGCACACAGGCACACAGGCACACAGGCACACAGGCACACAGGCACACAGGCACACAGGCACACAGGCACACAGGCACACAGGCACACAGGCACACAGGCACACAGGCACACAGGCACACAGGCACACAGGCACACAGGCACACAGGCACACAGGCACACAGGCACACAGGCACACAGGCACACAGGCACAACAGGCACACAGGCACACAGGCACACAGGCACACAGGCACACAGGCACACAGGCACACAGGCACACAGGCACACAGGCACACAGGCACACAGGCACACAGGCACACAGGCACACAGGCACACAGGCACACAGGCACACAGGCACACAGGCACACAGGCACACAGGCACACAGGCACACAGGCACACAGGCACACAGGCACACAGGCACACAGGCACACAGGCACACAGGCACACAGGCACACAGGCACACAGGCACACAGGCACACAGGCACACAGGCACACAGGCACACAGGCACACAGGCACAACAGGCACCACAGGCACACAGGCACACAGGCACACAGGCACACAGGCACACAGGCACACAGGCACACAGGCACACAGGCACACAGGCACACAGGCACACAGGCACACAGGCACACAGGCACACAGGCACACAGGCACACAGGCACACAGGCACACAGGCACACAGGCACACAGGCACACAGGCAAGCAGGCACACAGGCACACAGGCACACAGGCACACAGGCACACAGGCACACAGGCACACAGGCACACAGGCACACAGGCACACAGGCACACAGGCACACAGGCACACAGGCACACAGGCACACAGGCACACAGGCACACAGGCACACAGGCACACAGGCACACAGGCACACAGGCACACAGGCACACAGGCACACAGGCACACAGGCACACAGGCACACAGGCACACAGGCACACAGGCACACAGGCACACAGGCACACAGGCACACAGGCACACAGGCACACAGGCACACAGGCACACAGGCACACAGGCACACAGGCACACAGGCACACAGGCACACAGGCACACAGGCACACAGGCACACAGGCACACAGGCACACAGGCACACAGGCACACAGGCACACAGGCACACAGGCACACAGGCACACAGGCACACAGGCACACAGGCACACAGGCACACAGGCACACAGGCACACAGGCACACAGGCACACAGGCACACAGGCACACAGGCACACAGGCACACAGGCACACAGGCACACAGGCACACAGGCACACAGGCACACAGGCACACAGGCACACAGGCACACAGGCACACAGGCACACAGGCACACAGGCACACAGGCACACAGGCACACAGGCACACAGGCACACAGGCACACAGGCACACAGGCACACAGGCACACAGGCACACAGGCACACAGGCACACAGGCACACAGGCACACAGGCACACAGGCACACAGGCACACAGGCACACAGGCACACAGGCACACAGGCACACAGGCACACAGGCACACAGGCACACAGGCACACAGGCACACAGGCACACAGGCACACAGGCACACAGGCACACAGGCACACAGGCACACAGGCACACAGGCACACAGGCACACAGGCACACAGGCACACAGGCACACAGGCACACAGGCACACAGGCACACAGGCACACAGGCACACAGGCACACAGGCACACAGGCACACAGGCACACAGGCACACAGGCACACAGGCACACAGGCACACAGGCACACAGGCACACAGGCACACAGGCACACAGGCACACAGGCACACAGGCACACAGGCACACAGGCACACAGGCACACAGGCACACAGGCACACAGGCACACAGGCACACAGGCACACAGGCACACAGGCACACAGGCACACAGGCACACAGGCACACAGGCACACAGGCACACAGGCACACAGGCACACAGGCACACAGGCACACAGGCACACAGGCACACAGGCACACAGGCACACAGGCACACAGGCACACAGGCACACAGGCACACAGGCACACAGGCACACAGGCACACAGGCACACAGGCACACAGGCACACAGGCACACAGGCACACAGGCACACAGGCACACAGGCACACAGGCACACAGGCACACAGGCACACAGGCACACAGGCACACAGGCACACAGGCACACAGGCACACAGGCACACAGGCACACAGGCACACAGGCACACAGGCACACAGGCACACAGGCACACAGGCACACAGGCACACAGGCACACAGGCACACAGGCACACAGGCACACAGGCACACAGGCACACAGGCACACAGGCACACAGGCACACAGGCACACAGGCACACAGGCACACAGGCACACAGGCACAGGCACACAGGCACACAGGCACACAGGCACACAGGCACACAGGCACACAGGCACACAGGCACACAGGCACACAGGCACACAGGCACACAGGCACACAGGCACACAGGCACACAGGCACACAGGCACACAGGCACACAGGCACACAGGCACACAGGCACACAGGCACACAGGCACACGGCACACAGGCACACAGGCACACAGGCACACAGGCACACAGGCACACAGGCACAGGCACACAGGCACACAGGCACACAGGCACACAGGCACACAGGCACACAGGCACACAGGCACACAGGCACACAGGCACACAGGCACACAGGCACACAGGCACACAGGCACACAGGCACACAGGCACACAGGCACACAGGCACACAGGCACACAGGCACACAGGCACACAGGCACACAGGCACAACAGGCACACAGGCACACAGGCACACAGGCACACAGGCACACAGGCACACAGGCACACAGGCACACAGGCACACAGGCACACAGGCACAACAGGCACACAGGCACACAGGCACACAGGCACACAGGCACCAGGCACACAGGCACACAAGGCACTAAGGCACACAGGCACACAGGCCACACAACAGGCACACAGGCACACAGGCACACAGGCACACAGGCACACAGGCACACAGGCACACAGGCACACAGGCAGGCACACAGGCACACAGGCACGCAGGCACACAGGCACACAGGCACACAGGCACACAGGCACCACAGGCACACAGGCACACAGGCACACAGGCACAGCACACAGGCACACAGGCACACAGGCACACAGGCACACAGGCACACAGGCACACAGGCACACAGGCACACAGGCACACAGGCACACAGGCACACAGGCACACAGGCACACAGGCACACAGGCACACAGGCACACAGGCACACAGGCACACAGGCACACAGGCACGCAGGCACGCAGGCACACAGGCACACAGGCACACAGGCACACAGGCACACAGGCACACAGGCACACAGGCACACAGGCACACAGGCACACAGGCACACAGGCACACAGGCACACAGGCACACAGGCACACAGGCACACAGGCACACAGGCACACAGGCACACAGGCACACAGGCACACAGGCACACAGGCACACAGGCACACAGGCACACAGGCACACAGGCACACAGGCACACAGGCACACAGGCACACAGGCACACAGGCACACAGGCACACAGGCACACAGGCACACAGGCACACAGGCACACAGGCACACAGGCACACAGGCACACAGGCACGCAGGCACACAGGCACACAGGCACACAGGCACACAGGCACACAGGCACACAGGCACACAGGCACACAGGCACACAGGCACACAGGCACACAGGCACACAGGCACACAGGCACACAGGCACACAGGCACACAGGCACACAGGCACACAGGCACACAGGCACACAGGCACACAGGCACACAGGCACACAGGCACACAGGCACACAGGCACACAGGCACACAGGCACACAGGCACACAGGCACACAGGCACACAGGCACACAGGCACACAGGCACACAGGCACACAGGCACACAGGCACACAGGCACACAGGCACACAGGCACACAGGCACACAGGCACACAGGCACACAGGCACACAGGCACACAGGCACACAGGCACACAGGCACACAGGCACAAGGCACACAGGCACACAGGCACACAGGCACACATGGCACACAGGCACACAGGCACACAGGCACACAGGCACACAGGCACACAGGCACACAGGCACACAGGCACACAGGCACACAGGCACACAGGCACACAGGCACACAGGCACACAGGCACACAGGCACAACAGGCACACAGGCACACAGGCACACAGGCACACAGGCACACAGGCACACAGGCACACAGGCACACAGGCACACAGGCACACAGGCACACAGGCACACAGGCACACAGGCACACAGGCACACAGGCACACAGGCACACAGGCACACAGGCACACAGGCACACAGGCACACAGGCACACAGGCACACAGGCACACAGGCACACAGGCACACAGGCACACAGGCACACAGGCACACAGGCACACAGGCACACAGGCACACAGGCACACAGGCACACAGGCACACAGGCACACAGGCACACAGGCACACAGGCACAGGCACACAGGCACACAGGCACACAGGCACACAGGCACACAGGCACACAGGCACACAGGCACACAGGCACACAGGCACACAGGCACACAGGCACACAGGCACACAGGCACACAGGCACACAGGCACACAGGCACACAGGCACACAGGCACACAGGCACACAGGCACACAGGCACACAGGCACACAGGCACACAGGCACACAGGCACACAGGCACACAGGCACACAGGCACACAGGCACACAGGCACACAGGCACACAGGCACACAGGCACACAGGCACACAGGCACACAGGCACACAGGCACACAGGCACACAGGCACACAGGCACACAGGCACACAGGCACACAGGCACACAGGCACACAGGCACACAGGCACACAGGCACACAGGCACACAGGCACACAGGCACACAGGCACACAGGCACACAGGCACACAGGCACACAGGCACACAGGCACACAGGCACACAGGCACACAGGCACACAGGCACACAGGCACACAGGCACACAGGCACGCAGGCACACAGGCACACAGGCACACAGGCACGCAGGCACACAGGCACACAGGCACACAGGCACACAGGCACGCAGGCACACAGGCACGCAGGCACACAGGCACACAGGCACGCAGGCACACAGGCACACAGGCACACAGGCACGCAGGCACGCAGGCACGCAGGCACACAGGCACACAGGCACGCAGGCACACAGGCACACAGGCACACAGGCACGCAGGCACACAGGCACACAGGCACACAGGCACACAGGCACGCAGGCACACAGGCACGCAGGCACACAGGCACACAGGCACGCAGGCACACAGGCACACAGGCACACAGGCACGCAGGCACGCAGGCACGCAGGCACACAGGCACAGTGTATGAGAGCACACACTTATGCGCCAAGAGACGACCTCTTCATCCCCTCTTATCCCCCTAATCGCCCACCACCACTCTCAACCCTCCTCCACTCCCCCCCCACTCACATTAATTCAGATAGCTTCCCACCCCCACTTCCCCATCCCCCACTTCCCCATCCCCCCCTCCCCATCCCCCCCGTCCCCCCACCTCTCCCCCCCATCCCCCCATGTCCACTCACATCGATGCGCACCCACGAAGCCAGGAACCTCTCCGCCAGCCGTGCAAACGCCAGCGTGAGTCGATTCCCCGTGCTGAGCGTGCCCGCCGTCAACAACCCCTCCACCACGTGCCCCCACGGCGCCTTGCCGTCGTCCTCCCCCTCCTCCGCCGCCACCACCTTCCCCAGCGCCTGGTACCGCGCAGGCGTGTAGAACTCCGCCTCCCCCACCCCCCGGCCCCCCCCGTCCGCGTCCGATGCAAACGCGTGCCGCCTATCCCACGAGGAGGAGGAGCGAGAGACGAGGTCGAGGAGAGCGTGCGGGTCGTGCGAGGAGTGGTTCACCCACGGGCCTTCCAGTGCGCCCCGCGCGTTGAGCTGGATGGGGAACTCGCACCCGCCCCGCTCCACCAGCAGCGCCGCCAGCTGCGCCGACGGGAACCAGGTGCGCCTGCGGCGATGCGGAGGGGTGGATGTGGAGGGGGGAGATGTGGGGGGAGGTGGATGTGGGGGGGAAGGGTGGATGTGGGGGGAAAGGGTGGATGTGTGTTGAAGGGGGTTGGGTGGAGGGGTGGATGTGTGGAGGGGGGACGGGGGGAGTGGGGGGATGTGGTGGGGTTGGATGAGGGGATGGATGTGGGGTTGGATGGGGGGGGGGAGTTGGACGGTAGGTGGCGATAGCGAAGGACGAACCCGGCCCTGTCCACGAGGAGAGCGGCGAGATGCGGCGAGGGAGCCAGGTTCTCCTGGGGGTAGGTAGATGTGGGGGAGGTCGGACGTGTGGGTGGATCATGGATCTACGGAGGAGCTTGTGAGTCGACTTAGAAGTCAACTGCGGCGAGGGAGCCGGGTGGGGGTAGGTAAATGTGGGGGAGGTTGGACATGTGGTTGGATCATGGATCCACGGAGGAACAGCTATGCTGAGTTAGCCATCGGTTATTAGTGCGGGGAGACGACTGCGACGAATGCGACGACTGCGACGACGGCGACGGCGGCGACGGCGGCGACGGCGGCGACGAGGCACGAGCGACAAGCGGTACCTGGTGGAGGCGACGACGGCGACGAGAGCGATGGACATGAGCGTTCGACCGCGGAGCGACGCGAACCAGTCGCCTCCCGCCTTCCCCGCCGGCAAATGCGGCGGCCGGCGCGGGCCTCCGCGGGGCCCTCTGGTCATCATTGTGATTGGTTGTCGGAGGGCAGTCGGACTACCGTCGGATCGCAATCAGATGACAATCGGATGACCGTCAGATGGCCATCGACGGATCTTCAGGGTTCGCGATCGGTTTAGATTGGGAGAAGCATGATAGGCTTGCCGGTAGAGTGAGATGATTGCTTCAGCGTCTAGCCTTGGGACCCCACTCGCCTAATGAACAGTGCTTTCAAGTCCCAGTATTCTTAGTCCCAATTGCGCCGTCCCAGACCTACATGCGACGCCTCAGACCTACATGCGACGCCTCAGTCCTATGTGCGACGCTTCAGTCCTAAACGCGACGCCTCAGTCGCAGGTGCGACGTACTGAGAGCACCCGCAGCTTCCAAGGTCATCTTAGTCTGCACCTCCGCTGACTGGCTGATGACTGGTGGAGTTTTTCACGATCTCCTCCTGATCCTCCGTTTCTGAAATTCCCTACGCTACTGCAGTAGCAAAACGAAATACACTAGATGAAATGCCATATTCCACAAATGCTCCTAGGAATTAGCAAACCAGGTCATATGATAGGTACCGTATTAGGAGTCCTGATGCTAATGATACCCTTGATAGCCCAACCTAACAACCTGCAGGTCAGTGCCCTTACCCGCCCAGAACTTAACTTGGATTGGACCATCTTTCCTGCTTTCACACCATAATTTATTTCCTTGGCCAAGGTTACCACCTTTCTAGAAACATTCAACCTTGGGTGGCAGCAATAGCCTCCCTGACAACCATGTCCAGCACTCTCTTATTGTGCTCCTTGAACCACTCACCAACGTTCGCCTTTATCTTGACACGGGTGCGTTCATTTGCCTGCTTTTGCCATGTGATGCCCACAGTTGTCTTGAGCTCCGACACACGCTCGTTAAGTCTATGTGCCTTATCCTCCGCACTCACATCCTCCTTGCCGTTCAGAAGCTGCTGTGACTTGAGCTCCCGCTTGGTCTCCACCTGCACCACACAACATACACATTCAAAGTAAATACCATACACCGCCTGCAAACAACCACTACTACTAATACTCACGCAACTCCGTTCAAGTTCCTGCAAAAGTTCCGAAGCCCTTGAGGCAGCACAGTATCAAACGCACACCTGGAAGTAGTCACCAAAGGGCACTTGGTGCAGAGTGATCGACTCCTCTAGCATCGCCCACGTGCACATGCCAGGTGTCGCGTCCTTAGTGGCCTGCTGCACGCCTGACACGGTGGTCCCAAACGGCGACATCTGGCGCGAGAACTTGAACTTGATGTTGCGCTGGCGCCGGGCGGCACCGGGCGGCGCGCCGTCCACTGCCACCCAATCAGAGACCTCCAGGTGGGTCTGGCCCGTGGCATCTGCTACCTTGCGCTGCAGCTGCTGCTGCTCTGTCATCGCCAGGAACTGCTCCACCTGTGCGTGTGTGAGCGTGTGGGTGTGTGAGTGGGGGCACAAGCGGGCATGAGCGTTAGGTTTGTGTCTGGCACCTTTCCTTGCGTTGCAGCTGCTGCTGCTCCGTCATCGCCAGGAACTGCTCCACCTGTAAGTTTGGGTGAGTGAGCGTGGTGTGAGTGAGTGTGAGAGGGTGTGAGTGGGTGTGAGAGAGAGGGTGTGAGTGGGTGTAAGTACGGGTGTGAGCGTGGGCACGTGTGGGTGTGAGTGTGCGTGTGAGTCAGTGGGAGTGACTCGTGAGTGTGCGAGTGCGGATATCAGCTGCTGATATCAGATGCAATAACACGCCCTCCCATGCACCATCATGGGCACTGCAGTGCAGATGCAGTCAATCATCCCATACACATCCGTGGGCACTGCCTTCTTACCTGCACGCCCATTTTTCATTTTTTCCTTTCTCATTTTCCTTACACAGACACACACACACACACTCTTTAATCCACCCATCCCCCACGCACCGTCATGGGCACGGCAGTGCTGATGCAGTCAATCATCTCATACACGTCTGTGCACACCGCCCTCTCACCTGCATGCCCTTTTGCCCTTTCTTCTACCTTTTCACTTTCCGTGTACACACACACAATCTCTCCCATCCACCCATCCACCCATCCACGCACCGTCATGGGCACGGCAGTGCTGATGCAGTCAATCATCTCATACACGTCAGTGCACACCCCCCCCTGCTCCTCTACCCCCTCCCCGTCACTCCCCACCGCCCCACCACCACCTCCCGGTGCCCCTCCTTTCCCCCCTGCTGCTCCGCCCACACCCCCACCCCCCCCAATCCCAACCCCAAAGCCCTGGGAAGCACTTCGCACCATCCCTTCGCCTCCCCCTGCCCCTGCCCCTGCCCCTGCTCCTGCCCCTGTCGCTGCCCCTGCTCCTGCCCCTGCCCCTGCTCCTGCCGCTGCCCCTGCGTCTGCCCCGCCCGCCTCCGCAGCAGCGGCAGCGCTGGCGGCCTCTTTGGCTCGCTCCAGCTGCTGCTCGGGGGGCAGCGCCCTGTGGCGCCACAGCGCTGTGATCAACCTGGGGGGAGAGTATGGGGGGGGGAGGAGATGGGAGAGGGGGGGGGGGGGGTGTTCATCACAGCCTGCTTGGGGGGCAGCGCTGGCGGCCTCCTTGGCTCGCTCCAGCTGCTGCTCAGGGGCAGCGCCCTGTGGTGCCACAGCGCTGTGATCAACCTGGGGAGGGGAGGGGAGGTGGGGGGGGTGGGGGAGGAAAGGAGGGAGAAGGAAGGGGAGGGGAAGGAAAGGGGGAAGGAAAGAGGAGGCATCACAGCGTGCTCGTGGGACAGCGCCCTGTGGCGCCACAGCACGGCTAACTGCCAGCACATGGGGGAGAGTGGGAATGGGGAAAGCGTGGGTAGAAAGATGAAAATCACACTCACTTACCCAGATCTCAGGGCTACAGTAGCGCTATCACAACGTTGGGTTTGCTATCAGAAGGCAATGCAGACCGGTCGGAGCACTCACCGGAAGGCAATGGTGGGGCGAGCGAAGGACTGGAAGCGAATCTTGAGCCGCCCTGAAGGGTCGATGCCGTACGCAGCGCTGCGCGTGTCGGGGCCGCCGCGGCCGGGCTTGACATAGATGGTGATGGAGGGGTTGAGGAGGCGGTTGATAGAGTGGATGGAGGGCGCGTTCTCCTTGAGCTCGTCTATGTCCTCCCATCGCACCGCTAGCTTTATGCGCACTCGGAAGAGCGACGCGTGGAAGGCTAGCAGGCGCGGGGAGAGGAAGAGGCGGCCCTGTGGGGTGGGAAGGGGAGGGGAGGGGAGGGGAGGGTGAGGGGAGAGACTGCAAAGAGTGAGGAGGAGAGGGGCAGGATCAGGGGAGTGAGGATATAGGGAGAGAGACAGTAAGGTGAGGTGGTCGAGACAATGGAGAAGGATGAAGCTGACGGCAAATGGACACCAGTGGGCATGAAGAACTTTTGAGACGTCTCAAGAGTACTCTTTTTACACAAGGATGAAGCTGTCGGCAAATGGAGGACACCAGTAGGCATGAAGAACTTTTGAGACGTCTCAAGAGTACTCTTTTTACACAAGGATGAAGCTGTCGGCAAATGGAGGACACCAGTGGGCATGAAGAACTTTTGAGACGTCTCAAGAGTACTCTTTGTACACAAGGATGAAGCTGTCGGCAAATGGAGGACACCAGTAGGCATGAAGAACTTTTGAGACGTCTCAAGAGTACTCTTTTTACACAAGGATGAAGCTGTCGGCAAATGGAGGACACCAGTGGGCATGAAGAACTTTTGAGACGTCTCAAGAGTACTCTTTTTACACAAGGATGAAGCTGTCGGCAAATGGAGGACACCAGTAGGCATGAAGAACTTTTGAGACGTCTCAAGAGTACTCTTTTTACACAAGGATGAAGCTGTCGGCAAATGGAGGACACCAGTAGGCATGAAGAACTTTTGAGACGTCTCAAGAGTACTCTTTTTACACAAGGATGAAGCTGTCGGCAAATGGACACTGGTAGGCATGAAGAGATCAACGCCCACCTGGGAAAGAAGGTTCTTCTTGAGTGCACAGGAGAAGTCGTTGATAAGCGGCTCGTTGTCGGGCAGGTCGAATAAGTTATGGAATGCCGTGTTCTTCTCATCGGAGATACGCAGGAGCTGGTTGGATGGGGCAAAAGAGAGAGAGCAATGGGGCAGGGCAGTAGAGCGAGGATGGGAAGGGAAAGTACAGAGTACAAAATGAAACAGTGTAACCATGGAGGAGTAGAGATTCTTTAGTGAGGAATTTGTGGTCTGGAGGGATTCAGTAGCGGCAGTGAATAAAGAGAAGAGAGAATGGACGGTAACAAGAGGAGAGAGCAGCTTCAAGCTACAGAATTGAGTTGCAAGAGAACCCAACGCAGCAAGGGAGCTAAACGTCCAGAACTTCTCAAGAACAAACCCAATGAGGTACGAGCGTAGAAAGCTGCTGAGCATGAGAATACCAATACACCTGCATCTTCCCCCTACCCCCACAAGCGACCACGCACCTCCTTGCCGACTTGCTTGCTGATCCTCTCAATGATCATCGGAGGAGAAGCCTCACTCGTACTCGTCAGAAGCACCCCCCCCATTTGCGCCCGCCGTTTTTCCCCCAAACACCCACCTCCTTGCCGACTTGCTTGCTGATCCTCTCAAGAATCATCGGAGGAGAAGCCTCACTCGTACTCGTCAGCAGCACCCTCAGCTGCAGCCTCGCCTCCACCCCCTGCCCCGGCGCCTGCCCCTGCGCCTTACCCCCCTTGCGCGCATCTGCCCGCGGCCCGCCCTGCAGCGGCACCCAGAGGTCGGAGAGCTCCTGGGCGCTGGATCGCACGAGATCCACCTCTGCCTGCCCCAGCGCTGTGGGCGCTGAGAAGGGCCCGTCGTAGTCAAATATCTCCACGTCTAGCGTTGAGGGCGGGTCCTCAAAGGCGTCAAAGGACAGTACCTCTGGTGAAAGGGGGGAAAGGGGCGGGGTGTGGGAAGGAAAGGGAAGGGACAGACGAGGACTGTGGGCGCTGAGAAGGGCCCGTCGTAGTCAAAGATCTCCACGTCTAGCGTTGAGGGCGGGTCCTCAAAGGCGTCAAAGGACAGTACCTCTGGTGAAAGGGGGGAAAGGGGCGGGGTGTGGGAAGGAAAGGGAAGGGACAGACGAGGACTGTGGGCGCTGAGAAGGGCCCGTCGTAGTCAAAGATCTCCACGTCTAGCGTTGATGGGGGGTCTTCAAAGGCGTCAAAGGACAGTACCTCTGGGGGATGGGATGATAGGGAGGGCAAAAGGGGGGAGGGGTGTGGGATGGGGCATTAGAAGGTTGGTCGCGCGCGCGTGCACACAAACACACACAAAACACGCCAGCATAGAAACACAAAACACAAGCACACGCACATATGCCCATCCAATTCCCATTACCTCTTTCACACACACACACCTGTTCACACACCACCCACACACATTCGCCCTCACCGTTCCACACCGGGCGGTTGGTCTGCAGCTTGACAGAGCTAGTGCGTGTCTTGCCATTGCACGTGAACACCACGTAGGGATCGCTCTTGCCAGGTGTTATTGAGGGCAGACCACCACACACATTCACAACCATATACACTCGCATTCACTCTCACACTCACCGTTCCACACCGGGCGGTTGGTCTGCAGCTTGACAGAGCTGGTGCGTGTCTTGCCATTGCATGTGAACACCACGTAGGGATCGCTCTTGCCGCCGACTCCCCCTGCCTCCCCCACGCCCTCGCCTTGCACCAGCGTCACTGTCAGCAGCCACCCCTCCCCCTCCGCCTTCTTCCCATGGTCGCCCCCTGGAAGACCAAGACAGGTGTGGGGAAGAGACAGAAAAAAAAAAAATCCGCAACCTCTGAGGATTGCTCTTGCCTCACACCTCGCAGTACCTCTCAGCACCTCGCAGCACCTTTCAGCAATTGTGATTGTGTCTGGCTGGCACTAAGCACAATCGCGGCAGTGCAGAGAAGCCCCCCCACCCCACCAACACATCTGGTAGGTCCAGCAGCAGCACCCACCCACACCCCGGGCATGCCCCTTTTTCCCCCACACACTTACGCACACACTCGCTTCTCAAGAGCCACGAGGTAATAATATTCCTCAATCGGAAAAGCGCCCGCTCGGCACAGCAGAGAGCACAGCAGACAGCCGTGCACAGCAGAGAGCACAGCAGACAGCCGTGCACAGCAGCTCCATCACCCCGTCAAGCAGGTCCAGCAGCAACAGCTTGCATCCATGGCAGGCCGCCCTACCCTACCCCCTTCTCCCTCTTCCCCCACTCCCCATTTCCCCAGTTCCTTACCTTATTACTCACTTCTTAGAAGCCGTGAAGTGATGATATTCCTTAGACGAAACAGAGCTCTCTCAGCGCTAAGCACAATGACAGCCGTGCACAGCAGCTCCATCACCCCGTCAGGCAAGTCCAGCAGCAAAAGCTGCACGCCTGGCAGGCTGCTCTTTCCCATCTCCCCTTTTCCCCATCCCTCCCTTCCCCCTCTCCCCCTTCCCTTCTCCCTCCCCCTCCCCATCCCCCGTTACTAACTTCTCAGGAGCCGCGAGGTGACGATATTCCTTAGTCGAAACAGCGCCCTCTCAGCAGAGAGCACAATGACAGCCGTGCACAGCAGCTCCATCACCCCGTCAGGCAGGTCCAGCAGCAGAAACTGCACGCCTGGCAGGCCCTTGACGCGCTGTATGAAGTGCGTGGGGAGCACTATAAGGGAGACAAAGAAGAGCAGCATGGAAAAGTGCCCCAGAATGTTGAACAGCCGAGCCATCAGGGGCTGCTTCGGCGGAGGCTCGGGGAGGAGGGCAGATGCGGAGGAGGAGGAGCCGAGAGGGGTGGTGGCAGGTGCAGCGTATTTACACAGGATCTGCGGGAATGGTGGAAGGTGGAAAGGACGCAGGGGATGGGGAATAAATAGTAAGCCCACTCTGCAGCTGTGTTACTGCGTGGTACCTTTTAAGAATCCAAAGAAACTCTTGCTCTGACTGCCTGGTTAACGTGCATGTGTCTCACTGCCTGGAAAACCGTGTAGGTGTCCTTGAGCCCGGAGCACATGCCGTTCTCGATCATGCTCTTCATCATGGTGCTCTGCAGGAAGACTGTGCATATATGTTACTGTCTGGTTACCAGCACACATATCTCTCACTCACCGCCTGGAACACCGTGTAGGTGTCCTTGAGCCCGGAGCGCATGCCGTTCTCAATCATGCCCTTCATCATGGTGCTCTGCAGGAAGACTGTGCGAATATGTTACAGTCTGGTTACCACCAGCACACATATCTCTCACTCACCGCCTGGAACACCGTGTAGGTGTCCTTGAGCCCGGAGCGCATGCCGTTCTCGATCATGCCCTTCATCATGGTGCTCTGCAGGAAGCACGGCGCCCATGACACCCGCAGCTGGCAGCTGCTGCCGTCTGTGGAGCATGCACACGGCAAGGGGTGTGGGAAACAGGGGGGTTGTGGGGTCTGCTTATGACCAGAAAGAGTGCTCTGCAGGAAGAACGGCGCCCACGACACCCTCAGCTGGCAGCTGCTGCCGTCTGTGGAGCATGCCATGCCATGCACAGGGGAGAGGAAGTGGGGAGAGTGCACAAGGGAGGGGGAAGGGGGGAAACAGCAGCTTAATTTGTGGAGAGCCGGTTATGATCACAAAGAGTCACCACCGGCAGCTGGAAACGCCCACGACACCCTCAGCAGGTAGCTTCTGCCATCTGCGGTTAACCTCAGTGGGGGCAAGAGGAGCGAGGAGATAGCACACGGAGAAAGAGGGGGAAGAAGGGGGGAAGAGTCAACATTCATCGTGCCAGATTGAACTGCAGGAAGCGAAATGGCACCAGAACTAGCTACCCAACCTGGTGTAGGTGGTACCTGAACCATCTCACCTGGGGAAGGCGTGATGCAGAACTGCATCTCAATGCGGAACGTGTTGCCATACGGCACATCAGGCGTGGCGTGGGGGGGGGAAGTGGGGGGAGAGCGAGAGAGAGAGGGGTGGCACCTGGTGCAGGCGTGAAGCTACTTGAACCATCTCACCTGGGGAAGGCGTGATGCAGAACTGCATTTCGGTGCGGAATGTGTTGCCATACGGCACGTCAGGCGTCGCCACATACACCTCCACCAGATACCCCCCCGCGTCCGCCCTGCTATAACGCATCAGCTCTGTAGCGAGTACAGACTTGACCAGGGAGGAGGGAGCGGTCATGTAGCGGACCACCCGCGAGCTGATAGGAGGAGAGGCGGGCACGTTGGCGGTTGTGATGGTGGCTGGGAGGGAGTCGGCTAGAGAGGGAATTGCTGCCGCGTCTCCTTCGATCCAGGGCCCGGTTTCCAGCTGAGATACCTTGCGCTCTGCAGGGAGCGGGAGGGACAAGAGGGATGTATATGGAGAGAAACAGGGTGGTGTTTCGGCTTGGTTAGAGGATGAAACGCAAAAGACAAGGTAGTTCGCTCAAGCTGTATGTGCCTGAGGGCAACTCGGGCTTTAAATTATCGGCCTTGAGCTCACTCACTCACGCCCTCTATAATGCATGGAAAGACCAACCAGGTCCTGTCCATTCTCTCTTCGCCTTGCAGGCCTAGCCTTGTAACACCCTTCACTGCACCATATCTCACCAGCAGTGAACTCGGCATAGAAGTCCGAGTCGGGCTTGAAGAGAATCCCGTTCAGCTCATGTGCCGGCACGCCATACCACTGCTCCACCAGCACTCCTCCCCCTAGCGCAGCCGGCATATCTCCCTTAGAAGCCACCCCCTTAAGATCCCCGTCAAACCACGACAGCGGCACCAGGCTCTCCCCTCCGCCTAGCGCCCCCACCGCCCCCGCACCTTCCCCTTTCTCCCCCCCATCATCCCCTGAACTCGCTCCTGACCCTCCACTACCCGCCCCACCTCCCGTTACAGTCCCAGATTTCGGCAGGGGGGATGCAGCAGCACCCTCCGTGCTCTTACTGGCCCTCACGGGGGCGTTTTCGGTGGAGGAGGAGCGGCGGCGGGGCAGGAAGGACGACACAGAGCGCTGCTTCGGCAGCCCGTGCGCTGGCCCTTGCTGCTGGTGCTCCGAGGCTCGGCGAGAGGCCTTAGGCTTAGAGGAGGAGGCGGTGAAGCCAGAGAGGCGCTGCCTCAGCCCCACTGACTTGGCTGCTGGAAAGACGACCTCGGTGTTTGCCTCTGTGCTTGCTGGGTCTTTAGAGGAGTGGTCGTGTGGAGGGGGAGTGTTGATGGTGGCGGCGTGAGGGAGGAGGGCGGAGGCGGGGGCGCTGTGGGGTATGGGAGAGGAGGATTCGTCTGAAGATTCGGATATGGTGCTGACGTGGCCGTGAGTGGAAGTTTTGGATTTGGAGCGGGTGAAGGAGTGGAAGAAGTGGGATTTGGAGGGACGTGCAGGGGCCGAGGCGAAGTGGTGGATGGCGTGGGATTCAGCGACGGGTTTTAGGTGCAAGTCGGCAGAATGAGGTCCGATTGCCGTGTCAGTGGGTGATGCAAGGTCGGCGAGGGGGGTTGCTGCATCGCTCTCGCCTGAGGCGGGAGTAGGAGGAGTGGAGGAGGAGCTCCCCCCATTCAGTAGAGGAAGAGGTGCAGAGGTGGTATCAGCTTCAACAGAGGAAGAACTCGTTGCAGGAGGCAGCGGGAGAGTCGGCGCATCGGCAGCAGGCAGAGAGTCAGAAGCAGCGGACGGCACCCCAGTCAGCAGCAGAGGGCCGGAGTGGAAAGTGAGGGAGCCTGAAGCAGCGGAGGAGCAGGTGGAGGAGAGCGGCCCTGACAGCCAGAGTGACAGCGAGCCCAGGCCGCCAGGCGCGGACGCGGACGAGTCAGCGGAGGAGGTTGGGGAGTGTGGCTCGGAGGGAATTGTTGTGAGGCCCATCTGGTCCGGATGCAGGAGCTGGAAAGTGCCTGGCGGGTTGTAAATCTGGTCGGTTGAATTGGGGTTGTTGTAGTTGCTGGGAGTGGAAGCGAGGGAGGATGGTGTGGAGGACGAGGAGGAGGAGGAGGTGAGGAGGGGGAGTGTGGGGGTGTGGGAGGTGGAGGGAGGGGTGATGGAGAATGGGGTGGAGGAGTAGGGGGAGAGGGCGGTTGAGCTGACAGGGCTGGCGGTTTGGGATTGAGCCGCGTGGGACACGAGCCCCCATAGTGAGACCTCTATAAGGATTTCGCCTGTGCGGAATGACGTTGCAATGGTGGTGGGGAGAAGGGGAAGGGTGGCGATGGCGTTGGAGTGGAGAGATGTGTGCGTGTCACTTGCTAAGGACTTCATGGTAAAGCCACGGCCTTGACGAAGGCGTAGAATGCGGTGATGAGGGCGTGAAATGCGGTGATGTAAGGTGAAATGTCATGCTAAAAGCGTCATATGTGCGTGAACTGCCGTGACAACAGCGTGAGATGTCGTAAGAAAAGCGCGAAACGCGTAAAAGAAGCGTCAAATGTTGTGACAAAGGCGCGAAACGCATCCGCTCCAAGCTGGCTGACGCCACGCCGTGACCGCTCACGAAATCCAGCAAGCAAGGCGTTTTTCATCATTCGCAAAGCATCCTTCAGAAACGCCACACACATAATCCCGCAAACACGGAATTGCGAAAATAATAGTTCCTTCCTGACGACATGCCGAATCAAGATTTCTTGAATAGCAGCTGCTCACGGTTTCTGACCTGAGACGAAGGAGCGAGACCGCTCGCTCTTCTTCTTGAGCGGATACCACGTCGGCGGGAGGCTCTTCCCTTCCGCCGCCGCCACCGCAGCTACCGGCACCGACATTTGACCCAGAAAATCCGCTTTTCCTAAGTAATCCTCGTCCCACACGGTCACGAGGAGAACATCCGTTTCAAGATAATCCGTTCTAAATAGAAACTCCTCGTTCCACGTCGGATTGAGGTTCTTATACACTGTGCTGCTGCGCGCTTTGCTCCGGCCGACCTGCATACGCACGTACGGATCGCTCAAGCCGTTGCTGTCCTTAGCCGCTAGGTTTCGAGCCTGAAGCAGCTGGACCTGCAGCTTCGCCCCCATCGCGGAAAGAAAAATCTGCTAAATTACTGTACTCGTAAGCTATTCAGAACTGCGTAGGAGAGTCAGTTTCACATGACGCCTCACTGGACGAACTAAACGGCTTTAGACGTTCCCTATGTCCTCCAGGAATGGCATTTCAACGAGAAAGAAACGTACGTACGTGACCTTACGAATACTAAAGCCTGCAGAATGCTAAGTATAAGCGCAAGGACCTCGGGAATGTTTCTAGGTTTCCATGGTTGTTGTCGCAATCGAGCACACCACCTAGAGCAGCGAGAGGGGGTGCTGTACCGAAGTGTACAATCGAAAGTGGCGAGGCAAGGGAGTGAGGAAGGGAATGATGCTTTGACAATCCCGACGCAGAATGCCCCCAGGGAATCGACGGTGACGATTGGACGGACGAGATTTCGTGATGCTGAGTGAGTTTCGTTTCGTGCGATTTTCCCGAAGAAGAGGCGTGGCGTCAGGAACCAGGGCTGAAGCAGCCGCCATCTGCTTTGATTGGATGACGGGTGCTTCCGCGACGCAGGTTGCGCTTCTGAATCTCCTGAAGCTAGCTTCGCGTATAAATACACTAGAATACATGTGGTGTTGTTTTACAAGCCCTGTGGTTAGGATGCTCGGTTTGGGAAGTCCAGTACCGTAGTTGCTAGATTTTAGCCCTGTGGTTCTACAAGCCCTGGAGTTAAGGTGCTTGAACTACAAGCCTGTAGTTAGTGTGCTCAATTGTACAAGCCCTTACAATCTGTGTGCTCGATTCTACGCAGCCTGTAGCTAGTGTGCTCAATTCTACACGTCCTGTTGTTACTGTGCTCAAAGTACAAGCCCTGCAGCTAGTGTGCTCAATTCTATGGGCACAACTGTATCAGCTCTGTAGTTAGTGTGCCCGAATAGCCCTGTTATTAGTGTTCGCAGTTTTACAAGCCCTGCTGTTAAGGTGCACCTGTAGTTAGTGTGCTCGATTCTGCAATCCTGCAGTGCGCTGGATCTACAAGCCCTGTAGTTAGTGTGCTCGATTGTACAAGCCCTGTGATTAGTGTGTTCAGTTCTAGAAGCCCTGCTGTATCTGTGCTTCTGTTGCTGTTACTGTGCTCGATTCTGCAAGGCCTGTAGCAAGTGCTTTTGATTCTACCGTACAAGCCCTAGTGTGCTCGACTCTGCAAGTCCTGTTGGTAGTGTATCATGTAACTTGTGGTGTGCATGCCCCCAAGGCACAACCCTGTGGTTAGTGTGCACGAGCCCTGTAATTAGTATGGCCCTGTAGCTAGTGTGCACGAGCCCTGTAGTTGGTCTGGCCCTGTAGCTAGTGTGCACGAGCCCTGTAGTTAGTCTGGCCCTGTAGCTAGTGTGCACGAGCCCTGTAGTAGCACCAGCACCATCAACAGCAGCAGCACCCAGGAGACCTCGTACCGGCTGAACCACACACAAGAAAATACCTGAGGCTGTACCGAAGTTCTAAACCTGATACCTTGGGGAGGGAGGTCTCTTGAGTGTGACAGAGAGCAGTAAAGACGGGAGTTGGATGCATTGTGCAAGCAAGGCATGAAGAGCAAGAGAGTGCGAGAGCTGGGAGTAGAGAGGCAGGACGGGTACTTAGCTGTGGTGTGGGTAGGTTTGGTGGAGAGTAGCCGCTGCCTGTGCACTCCATGTCTCCCCCCGCTGCCTCTCCCGTGTGAGAGACCTTCTGGGATGAGAATGCAGGTCTGGAAAGAGAGAGCAAGGCCGAGAGGGAGAGAGGAGAGGACAGGTTGTGAATGGGGAGCATGCGAGGGAAGAGTGTAGCAAGTGCAAGGGATGCGTACATTAATAGACTGCTGCATTGGCACACCTACGAGACCTCGTACCAGCTGAACCATACTCAATGAAATACCTGAGGGTATACCAAATTTTTGAACCTGCTACCTTGGGGGAGGGAGGTCTCTTCAGTGTGACAACGCGCAGGAAGAAACAGAGCGTGGATGCATGGAGCAGGCATGAAAGGCACGACATAAGTGCGAACACTTAGCCGTGACACGACGTGGAAGGCATGGACTGGAAAGGGCCGTGCATGCACTTAGCTCCTGATGGCGTGCTGCTGGGCGGCGCAGCGAGCGATAGGTGAAGCGTGGCTGCCAGGCGCGGTGAGCTGAGCGCCATGCTGCTCGCCTCCGCGGTTTCGCATCCACAATTTCGCCTCTACGGCTTCGCATCCGCGCCAAGATTTCTCCGCGGTTTCGTCCCCACGCTTCAGCACGGTTTGATTTCATTCTGCACATTGAAACGCAATGAATAGAAATTAGAGATTTATTTTGATTAAGAACATGGCGAAAAGCAGTTAACGTGGTTAATGTGAACATTCCGGCAGTAGCAACGCACCTGATGCAGGGAAAGCGTGATTCGAGGCGGAAGCGATTCTCCATGTGATTCCGCGTAGCCACAGCTACGCTGGTAATTCCGCTTCGCCACAGCTACGCTGGCGATTCCGCTTCGCCACAGCTACGCTGGCGATTCCGCTTCGCCACAGCTACGCTGGCGATTCCGCTTCGCCACAGCTACGCTAGTGATTCCGCTTCGCCACAGCTACGCTCGCGATTCCGCTTCGCCACAGCTACGCTGGTGATTCCGCTTCGCCACAGCTACGCTCGCGATTCCGCTTCGCAACAGCTACGCTCGCGATTCCGCTTCGCCACAGCTACGCTGGCAATTCCGCTTATCCACGGGATTCTGCTTAACCGCATCGCGAGCCTCGAACTTGGTTGAGGCGATCAGACGTGCTCGTGGAAGTCGTAGCAGAGGCGACTCTCGAAAGTGTTGCTGCTGATGGCAATAATCGTTTCAAAGCACAAAACATCTCTGCTAACGGCCGTGACTGCTGAGGACGTCGAGCATCCCTTTCGACCGCGAAAATCGTTGCAGCTTACGGAGAATCGTTGCTGCTGACAGCGAAATCTGTTGATGAGGAGGAGAGCCGTTTCTTATCGAAATTTCCGCTGACAGCCGGCTGACGAAGCTGCTGACGACGAAAAATGCTGCCGACGAGGAAAATCGCAGCTAACGGAATAAAGTGATGCTGCTGATTGTGAAAACAATTCTGTTGACCAAAAAGATCGCTGTTGACGATGAAGTTCGTGTCTAACGTCAAAACTCGTTCCTGACGGTGGCTAGCGGCTATAGTTCGTGCTTACGACTAACGGACGGAGCGTAGAGTTGGCTGGCGAAGAAAGAAGAATCAACCGAAAGCCTGAAGTGTTTTTCGACATTATGCAGGTGAATGAGAGAGGAGCGAAAATGGAGAGTGGAGAAATCAGAAAATGGGTCGAACTCGCTCACTCAACATTGCCTGAACCACACTGCCAGCAATGTTCTGCTCTGCCTGAGTTCACAGAATTAGAATGGTCGAGACAGGCAATTAATGTTTCAGTTCGGTTGAAAAGTGTTGGGGAAGGTTGACGATGTGTCCTTGCTTTGGCTTCTTCCCTGTCCATCTCAGGCGAGGTTCAGCACAGTCCACAGAGATTCCGGCCAACCCCGAGGTTGGGCTGACGGCGATGAAGGGATTCTCTTCTCACCGACAAGGTTGGCGTATCGCGCTTTGCGGCAAAGTGGCGGAACGACGTTTTTCCGCAAAAAGGTACGGCGTACGATATGCGAAACTAAAAGCCAGTCGTACAAGCAGCCTACACGGGCAAAATCTTGTTCGCGAAAATCGTGAGCGACGTCGCCCAACCAGGGCCAACGGTTGGTTCTGAAAATCCCGCGAGGTGGCGGAAGTGCTCCACCAAAGTCGCTGACACATTTCCGAGGGTCCGCCAACACTTGAGGTTTCTCGGAGCATTTCCCCCCATTCTGGATAGCAAACCAACGGATAGGCTGCGGAACGCGCAGTATTGGGGATTTGCGGGAAGCTCGCGCAAAAGGTTCCCGAGATCACGGCAAAATGCAGAAATATATTGTGATCGAACGGACCAGTTTGCTCCGTGCAGAAATGAGCAGATTCTTGCTGAATCCCTCAAACCCGCTATGAAACAAACATCCGATAAATAAGCAAAAAAGTGTACGAAGTAGTCACCGATTTATTCAACGTACATATCACTCATCAATCCACTCCACGCATCAATCAACTCTTGAGCGGGTGATGACTAATTTTCCATTGCCTCAAACGACATTGGAGTATGAACAATAGGACGACAATGAACCTTACGCAGTAATTACAAGTATACCGTAACACAATCTAAATTTGTCCGATTCTAATATGCTCATCGATACACTGCATTGAGTGTGCCTAGTCACTGTCGAAATCCTTAGCTGAAAATACACTAGTGTATATGAAAAAGGTAGCGGGAGGAAGAGAACGCAGGGGTGGGGGGAAAAGAACGTTTGGGAACCCTAAGACAACCATGTATAAAGACAACTGAGCAGCGAAAGTAGTACCGTACTCACCTTGTTCCTGCTTGTTGGCGTGTGCCAAGGTTGAAGAGGATACAGCGCAAAGCAGGTGGCCCAAACCTGCAGGGTGCAACAAGCCATGGGGGACAAGTCCTGAATATACATTTGGATATTGGTTATGAGCTGCAATGTTTGGAAAGAAAGGAATTTGCAGTAATCAATGTATGAAACAAGACCTGAATGGAAACTCCATAATGAGGTATATTGCTCTTTCTTCTCCCAGGCTTTCCTGAGTTTTAGCAGTACACTCAAGCCTAGATTCTGGCGGAAGCTCCCTTCCCCAAGCACTCTTCTTCTCACAGCTCGCCCCACTACACTACCTTAGCCTGGCCTCACCGTTCTGTCCGCAAGTGACGGATTCCTGGAGTGACGTTCCTCAGAGCGATCTTCCGAGTTGAGCCAAAAGTAAGCGGACGAATGGCTGCATTATACAGTACGCCGGACGCAGCAGGCAAGCCTGTTGACATTATCCACCTCGAAGAATCCTCGCAATCAGGTGAAAGCGATGTGGTAACCACTCGGACGCGTCTAGTTAGTAGACGCTCGTGTCGACCGCAATGAACATCCTAGACCTTTCGGACGCTTCGTCTAGCTCCTAGAAACTCGTAAGAGCTCGTAATTACCGCGTTGTAGGAGCTCTAGGAGAATCCCGAAAGCATTCGCATGGCTGGCTCTCATGCGAGCTCGCATTCACCGCCATGCAGCATGACGTCAGACCCTTCGGACGCTTCTAGCTTCTAGCGCGTACAAATCGAGAGCACTCCTATGGTTGAATCGCGTGCGAGCTCGCAGTGACCGCCGTGCACCATGGTAGAACCAGCCTTGCGTGCGGGGGACTGGCGGGTTTCAACCCTAAACCGGCGGGGTCTCGTAGTAGCTCGTACCGACCGCTGTGTAGCATTCCGAAACCATTTGCACGGCTTTAACTCGTAAGGACCACCATGTAATACGGTGTTTCGAAACCGTCTACGTGGCACGAATTGGTAGAAGCTCGTGCTGACCGCCATGCACCGTTCACCCTCCATGCCAGCTGCCGCATATGGCGGAGCCACGTCATCATTGTCCACGTCACCAACTCCAGATCAAGCAGACATCCTTTCTTACGTCAGTCCTGCCGGCATTGACGTCACTGGAACTCGTTCGAACCTCTCGTCCACATCAAACTTCTCCCGAACCTCCACCGGACCTCCCCTCTCCCGAACCTCCACCGGGCCTCCCATCTCCCAGCGGTCTCTCTCCCGAGCCTCCAGCGGAGGCTTGAGCAGCAGCAGCTGGACCGGCGTTGCGCCTTGGGACTGGCCGGAGTCTCTAGCGCCCGCTTTTGTGGCGGGAGCAGCGGGCAGCGGCGGTGGCGCATGGGGGACAGCGGGTGGGGGAGGCGGATCATGGGGGGCAGTGAATGGGTCAAGGGCGGGAGGGGCGGCGGGGGGAGGTGGCGCGGGAGAGGGCGCACAGCAGCAGGAGAACTTGCAGGGAAAGGCAGCAGTGGGGATGCACGTTGGCGGAGGGTATATGCTCCCTGGGAGCGGGTACGGTGGGACTGCTGCTGGTGGGGTGGGTGGGTGGGGAGGGCCAGGGGCCTTCAGCGGAGGGGGAGGAGCAGGGGGCGCAGGCGGAACGGGAGGAGCAGTGGGAGCGGTGGAGGCAGGGGCGGTGGCAGCAGGGGGGGGTGGGATTGGGATCGGAACAGAGGCAGGCGGATCAGGCCGTCACTCCTTCCTCGCAGCTTCCTCCACATCCCCCCCTACCATCACTCGCTCGCTCACCGACCCTCGCATCTTCGCTCCCCGCCAGGCTCCCTGGCACGCCCCCGCGCTCTCCCCCTTCCCCGCTTCCCCATTCCCCCCACCTCCCCCTTCCGCCTACTCCCCGCCTCCCACGTCCGCGTTCCCCCCGGGCTTCTCCCTGCCGTCCGCCGACCCCTTATCACCACTGGGGGCGGGCGCGGACCTGCTGCTGTCCCCCACGCGCCCGCTGCCCGTGTGCCCGGCCAAGGGGCAGTGGGTGCGCGGCAGCCAGATCGGCGCTGGGGGCTTCGGCAGGGTGTTTCAGTGCGTCAGGTGAGGTGGGTCGCATGGCATGGCAGGGTGTTTCAGTGCTTCAGGTGAGGTGGGTCGCATGGCATGGCAGGGTGTCTCAGTGCGTCAGGTGAGGTGGGTCGCATGGCATGGCAGGGTGTTTCAGTGCGTGAGGTGAGGTGGGTCGCATCGGATATGGGGGTGGATGTTTCAGTGCGTGAGGTGAGGTGGGTCGCATCGGATATGGGGGTGGGTGTTTCAGTGCGTGAGGTGAGGTGGGTCGCATCGGATATGGGGGTGGGTGTTTCAGTGCGTGAGGTGAGGTGGGTCGCATCGGATATGGGGGTGGGTGTTTCAGTGCGTGAGGTGAGGTGGGTCGCATCGGATATGGGGGTGGGTGTTTCAGTGCGTGAGGTGAGGTGGGTCGCATCGGATATGGGGGTGGGTGTTTCAGTGCGTGAGGTGAGGTGGGTCGCATCGGATATGGGGGTGGGTGTTTCAGTGCGTGAGGTGAGGTGGGTCGCATCGGATATGGGGGTGGGTGTTTCAGTGCGTGAGGTGAGGTGGGTCGCATCGGATATGGGGGTGGGTGTTTCAGTGCGTGAGGTGAGGTGGGTCGCATCGGATATGGGGGTGGGTGTTTCAGTGCGTGAGGTGAGGTGGGTCGCATCGGATATGGGGGTGGGTGTTTCAGTGCGTGAGGTGAGGTGGGTCGCATCGGATATGGGGGTGGGTGTTTCAGTGCGTGAGGTGAGGTGGGTCGCATCGGATATGGGGGTGGGTGTTTCAGTGCGTGAGGTGAGGTGGGTCGCATCGGATATGGGGGTGGGTGTTTCAGTGCGTGAGGTGAGGTGGGTCGCATCGGATATGGGGGTGGGTGTTTCAGTGCGTGAGGTGAGGTGGGTCGCATCGGATATGGGGGTGGGTGTTTCAGTGCGTGAGGTGAGGTGGGTCGCATCGGATATGGGGGTGGGTGTTTCAGTGCGTGAGGTGAGGTGGGTCGCATCGGATATGGGGGTGGGTGTTTCAGTGCGTGAGGTGAGGTGGGTCGCATCGGATATGGGGGTGGGTGTTTCAGTGCGTGAGGTGAGGTGGGTCGCATCGGATATGGGGGTGGGTGTTTCAGTGCGTGAGGTGAGGTGGGTCGCATCGGATATGGGGGTGGGTGTTTCAGTGCGTGAGGTGAGGTGGGTCGCATCGGATATGGGGGTGGGTGTTTCAGTGCGTGAGGTGAGGTGGGTCGCATCGGATATGGGGGTGGGTGTTTCAGTGCGTGAGGTGAGGTGGGTCGCATCGGATATGGGGGTGGGTGTTTCAGTGCGTGAGGTGAGGTGGGTCGCATCGGATATGGGGGTGGGTGTTTCAGTGCGTGAGGTGAGGTGGGTCGCATCAGATATGGGGGTGGGTGTTTCAGTGCGTGAGGTGAGGTGGGTCGCATCGGATATGGGGGTGGGTGTTTCAGTGCGTGAGGTGAGGTGGGTCGCATCGGATATGGGGGTGGGTGTTTCAGTGCGTGAGGTGAGGTGGGTCGCATCGGATATGGGGGTGGGTGTTTCAGTGCGTGAGGTGAGGTGGGTCGCATCGGATATGGGGGTGGGTGTTTCAGTGCGTGAGGTGAGGTGGGTCGCATCGGATATGGGGGTGGGTGTTTCAGTGCGTGAGGTGAGGTGGGTCGCATCGGATATGGGGGTGGGTGTTTCAGTGCGTGAGGTGAGGTGGGTCGCATCGGATATGGGGGTGGGTGTTTCAGTGCGTGAGGTGAGGTGGGTCGCATCGGATATGGGGGTGGGTGTTTCAGTGCGTGAGGTGAGGTGGGTCGCATCGGATATGGGGGTGGGTGTTTCAGTGCGTGAGGTGAGGTGGGTGGCATCGGATATGGGGGTGGGTGTTTCAGTGCGTGAGGTGAGGTGGGTGGCATGCATGGCAGGTTTCAATGCGTGAAGGCAGTTGGATTTGTTGTGAATGACTCTCATGAGTCATGCCTCTCGTGCCTCTCATGCCTCTCGTGCCTCTTATGCCTCTCAAGCATCTCAATGTTGCCTGCATCTCGTCCCCACCCCACACCTCCACGCCACTCCTCCGCTCCATGTCCCCCATTGCAGCAGCATGACGGGCGAGGTGTTCGCAGTGAAGCAGGTGGCTTTGGATCGCTCCGATGCTGACTTCAGGGGCGACCACTCCATCGAACAGCTCAAACAGGTGCGCGCGCGGGCAGATTAAACACATGGGGCGGGCAGTTTTTGGTCCGGAGGTTCAAACGTGTGGGCGGGCAGCTGAACCGGATGCCAAGTGAGCAAGCCATGAGATGTCTCTGCACCATGCCTTCACAGAATCAAATATAGTAAAGAGCTGCGCTTCATGTTCTATTTTTTCTCTGCCAAACTGCCGTGTGATGCACGTCCTCCTATTCCATGCCATGCCATGCCACACTGCACGTTGCAGGAGATCATGCTGCTCAGTCGCATCAACCACCCCAACATCGTGCAATACCTCGGCTGTGAACTCGTGAGTGCTCTCAGCTGCCTCCCACCTCTGAGAATTCGCAAGCGTGAATTTATTTACTGCACCATGCAGTACCTTGGTTGTGCGCCTCTAAAGGGAATTCACCGCACTCCACCCCTCCAGGACGACAAGTACCTGTACATATTCCTCGAGTACGTGGAGATGGGGTCTATCCTGAACTGAAAGTGCTCTGTGTCCCACCACACTTCACCGCATCCCACTCCCCCAGGACGACAAGTACCTGTACATATTCCTGGAGTACGTGGAGATGGGGTCCATTCTGAACGTGCTGAAGAAGCTGCCAGTGCGCCCCCACGCGCTGCTCAGCAAGTATGTGCGCCAGGTGCTGCAGGGGCTCGCCTTCCTGCACTCCATGGAGTTTGTCCATAGGTGAGTGAGGAATGGGGGGGCAGGGTGGGGAGTGTTGGGAGTGTGGGGAGGTGATGCAAGTGCGACTGGTTTCCTCTCTCAGCAAGTATGTATGTGCGCCAGGTGCTGCAAGGGCTGGCGTTCCTGCACTCCATGGAGTTCGTCCACAGGTGAGAGACAGGGGGGATGGGGGAAGATGGGGAGTGGGGAAGGGTGGGGAGTTGGGGAGGTGGGAAGGTGGTGATGCAAGTGCGACTGCTTTCAAGTATGTGCGGCAGGTGCTGCAGGGGCTGGCGTTCCTGCACTCCATGGAGTTCGTTCACCTGTGAGAGGCATGGGGGGGAGGTTGGGGAGTGTTGGGAGGGTGGGAAGGTGTTGCTGCAATGCAAGTGCGACGCTATCCTCTCTCAGCAAGTACGTGCGGCAGGTGCTGCAGGGGCTGGTTGGTTGGCCTTCCTGCACTCCATGGAGTTCGTTTCGTGCACCGGTGAGGGGTGAGGAGGAATGGACAAAAGCGGCACGGCACCATCAAGCTCCCACTCACCCACCCACCCACTCGTGCGTGCATGCCTGTCGTGCCATCACCATCACTCACAAATGCCATCACCCCACCCACCCATGCACTCACGGCATGCAGGGACATCAAGTGCAGCAACATCCTGGTGGATAAGAGCGGCACCATCAAGCACCCACTCACCCACCCACCCAACCGTGCATCACTCCCACCCACCCACCCCCATGCATGCAGGGACATCAAGTGCAGCAACATCCTGGTGGATAAGAGCGGCACCATCAAGCTCGCTGACTTTGGGCTCGCCAAGCATGTGCGTGTGGGGGGGGGGGGTGGGGCATGTGGCGTGTGAGTGAGTTGGAGGATGTGAGTGAGAGAGGGGGGGGTGTGAGTGAGTGGGGGGCCAAAAAAACCTTACTTGATTCACTTATCACATTACCCTCTCCTCCATCTCACCACTTTCCGCTTCATCAAATCTCTCCTCCCTCCCCCCGCTCCACCCCTCCTCCCCTCCTCCCCTCTACCCCACCTCCCCTGCACCCCCCCTCCCCCTCCTCCCCTCCCTCACATCACAGTACTCGGCATCGTTGGACATGACAGGCTGCCGTGGCACTGTCTGGTGGATGGCACCTGAGGTACGCAGCACCTGGGGTAGGTGATACCTGGCGAAGGTGGTATCTGGGGTGTAGGTGCTATATGCGCTTGGTAGAATACACTGGATAATCATGAAACTATGTGCTGGCTGGATGACTTCGCGCTTCTCCTCTTTGATCCCCATCCCCATCCCCACCTCCTCACCCCCCCTACTTCCCCCCGTCCCCCTTTTTCTTCTCTTCCCCCCTCCTTCCCCCCCCACCAGGTGATCAACGCATCAAGAGGCTATGACTGGGCGGTGGACATATGTTCGCGGGGATGCACTGTGATTGTACCCTCTATAATCAGTGCTCATTCTTCCCTCCCCTCTATCCCCTCCCCTCTTCCCCTCCCCTCTTCCCCTGCCCCCCACCAGGTCATCAACGCATCGGGGGGCTACGACTGGGCGGTGGACATATGGTCGCTGGGCTGCACAGTGATAGAGATGGTCACGCTCTGGCCGCCCTGGTTCCACCCCGCCTCTGGCTGCCCCATCTGGGGCCGCGGCTTCGGCCCCGTGAGTGCACACGCCCTAGCCACCGTTGATGCCGCTAACCGCACAAATGGTTCGACTGGCCCCTCCATTGCCAGTGTCCCATGTGTCCCACATGCCCCACATGCCCCACATGCCCCACATGCCCCACATGCCCCACATGCCCCACATGCCCCACATGCCCCACATGCCCCTCATACCCCACATGCCCCACATGTGACATGCCCCTCATACCCCACATGCCCCACATGCCCCACATTCCCCATGCATCTGACTCTCTCTCCAACGCCATTTTCAACCCCTCTCTCACCCCTCACCCCCCATCTCCTGCCCCTGTCACACCCCCAGGAAACAGCGTTCATGAAGATAGCGGGAACGCAGGTGCCTCCGCCCATCCCACCAGGCATATCGGATGACCTCGCAGACTTCATCGCCAGCTGTCTTCACCTCGACCCGCGCCGCCGCCCCGCTGCCACCGCCCTCTTGAGGCACCCCTTCGTGCTCGCGCACTCCCCTTAGTAATCAGCCAGCCTCCACCCTCTCGCCCCCACTTCCCCCCATCGTTCTCTTGAGGCACCCCTTTGTGCGCTCGCACACTCCTTCATTTGGTCCCATTGTGGGAAGACTACTGAGGCTCGCTTTTTTAGTGATGGCAATTCAATATGCCCTCGCTCCTTTCCGGCCTTGCTGAGATTTGAGGCGCCTTTTTGTTCCAACTCTCATTGTTATCACTCTTTTTATCATAAGACCCCTATGAATTTATATCCTTCACCAATTGCTAATTTCAATACAACACTACATTCCACCTCAATCTCTCCTCGTGCTCTCCTCCCTTCCCTTCCCCTGCCATATCTCCGATTTCTAAATTTCTCTCCCTTTCTCTCTTCTCCTCTTTATGCCTCTCCCCTCCCCTGCCTTCCTTCCCCACAACCCCTCTCCCCTCTTTCCTCACCCCTCTCTCCTCTCCCTTCTCTCCTCTACCCTCTCTCCTTACCCCTCTCTCCTCTCCCCTCGCTCCTCTCCCCTGTCTCCTCTCCCATTCACTCCCCAACCCCCTCCTATAGCTCCTCTCCAGCTTCAGCGCGCAACCCTCAGGTGTACCCGCCGCTTCCCACCACCATCTCCACCACCTCCCACCGCTCTTCATCCCACTCCTCGCGCCTCTCCTCGCCTTCGCAGCCTGCCTTTGAGTCAATTCAGAAGCCCCGTTCCTCCTCCCGCTCCTCCTCGTCGCGCATCTCCTCCCCCTCCCAGGCGGCTGCTCCCTTCCTCTTCCCCCCCTCCTCCTCCATAAGCCCTCGGTCAGAGTCCGCCCTCGTTACTGTCACATCGCATGGGCAGCAGGGGCAGACGGAGCAGGGGCAGATGCAGCAGCGGCAGATGCAGCAGGGGAAGGCACAGCAGCACTGGGTTCAGCAGCAGCAGGAGAAGCTCCAGCCACAGAGACGAAGCTCCAGTTTGCAAGACTTCGCTTCAAACCCCTCCCCACCTGCTCCTCTCCCTCCTCCCTCCCTCCTCCCACCACATGCTGCACACTCCACATCCCCTTCTCCTTCCACCCAAACCGCTCACCCCATCCCCATCTTCTCAAAATCCTCCTCCGCTCCCTCTGCTCCCTCCGCCCCTTCCTCCTCCTCCGCCCCCTCTGCTTCCACAGCCTCGTCCCCACTCGGGAATCCCAAGCTGCAGTCGTCAAGGTGGTCTGATGCATCTGCTGCTGATGCACCCACTGCTGCTGCACTGGTACAGGCTGTGAGGGCCGAGGCTGTGCCTGCTGTGCCTGACGCTCCAGCTGGGGCTGGGTCAGTTTTGGGGGTTGAGATTGAGACCACGTCCTCACATGGTGGTAGGGAGTCAAGTGACACTGGCACTGGCGGTAGTGGTCTTGCTGCTGCGGCTGCTGCTGGTGGTCCTGACCCTGCAAGTGCTCTTGTTCCTGCTCCTGCTCCTGCTGATCCTTCTGCTGTGGATCAGTCACGCAATGGCGGTGCGTCTGGAAAGGGAGCTGGAGGCACTGGTCCCGGCAGCAGCAGCAGCAGGGTCGGTTTGCAAGGAAGTGGGGGGTCTGGTTCTCGTTCTCTGGGCCCGCCTCTCCCCATCTCTGTGCCTCCCCGCCCACTCCAAGCCACTCCTGCTGCAGCTGCAGCCGGCGGTATCAAGCCAGAGGAGGTGGAGAGGTACGAGGGGGGAGAGGAACAGGGAAATCCTATGCAACGAGAGGAGCGAGACAGGGGGTGGGAGGAAGAGGTGGAGAGAGGAAGTGTGCAAGGAGGGCAGGGAGAGGGAGCGCAGCGAAGGCTGTTGGAGGAAGCAGCAAGGGCAGCAGCAAAGGCAGCCAGGGAGTGGAGAGAGGAAGGAAGTTTGCCAGCTCATGCAGTGACCGGAACTGCTGACGTGGCGCTGGATGCTGACCTGGCAGTGACGCCTTCTGACGGTGATGGGGATGGTGGCACTGCGGAGAATGTTAAGCGAAGGGAGGAGAAGAGTGAGAAGAGGAGAGAGAATGGGAGTGCGACGGAAAGAGGGAGTGAACGCGGTAGCGGGCGGGGGAGCAGGAGGGAGAGTGGGAGAGAGAGTGGGAGGGAGAGTGGGAGGGAGAGTGGGAGGGAGAGTGGGCGGGAGAGTGGGCGGGAGAGTGGGAGAGAGAGCCGCAGTGGCAGGGCGAGTAGCAGAGCAAGCAGTCGTGGCAGTGAGGGCACTGGCAGTCCCGGCGTGCGAGGCAGTCCCAGCATGCGAGGCAGGTCAACCCGGGAAGGGAAGGCGAATCGGGAAGGCAAGTCGTCTGGGGAAGGCAGGTGGCGCTTTCCCCTCTTTGGCAGGTCCAGCAGTTGGGCAGGGGCAGGGCGGCGGGATGGGGGGGCAGGGGCAGGGTGGAATGGAAATGCAGTGGATGTAGCAGGAGAGGGGGATGGAGGAGGGGAGATGCAGGGGGGGAGGACCAGCAGTGAGAGGGAAGGATCGCAGCGGGATGGAGGGATGAAGGCACCAAACAGCGGAGACAGTGGCAGGGGAGGAGGTTTGGACAGGAGTGGGAGGATGGAGGAGGCTGAGACTGCGTCTGGTCGTGCCTCTGCTGCCCCTCCCTCATCTCCCCGCCAATCTACCTCCCCTTCCGCCCCCTCCCCCTCTGCCCCCTCCCCCTCCCCCTCCGCTCCGTCCCCCTCTGCTCCACCCTCCGTGGTTGCATCCTCTCCCGCTCTCTCCCCCTTTGATTCCCCCTTTCCTGCCTCTCACCCACTCTCCCGCACCCCTGCGAACCCCCTCTCTCTCACTCCCGCCAACCCCCTCTTGAGTAACAATTTCTCCCACCGCCGCTCCTCCTCTCTCATCTCCCTCCCAGCACCCACCATCGGAGTCATGGACCCCACTGTACCTCACCCCACCGCTCCACAACCCAGTGCACCCCTCCCCACCGCCCCTCACCCCACTGTCCGTCAGCCGACTCAGATTGAAAGGGCAAAATCGTCCTCAGGCGTAAGCATTGCAAGGGATAACTTTTCGGCTGGCCGTGCTCCTCAGATTGGACGGGCAAATTCAGCCTCAGAGGGAGACATTGAAAGGCAAGCTGCTGCTGCCGCTGCAGCCCCTCCTGCTCTTGGCAAGAAAGCCCTTGGAAGCGAGTGGGGCGGGGGAGGCAACCCCCAGTCCAAGACAGGTCAAGGCTGGTTGGAGGAAAAAGAGGGGAGGGCGGGCGAGGGGCGGGGCTGGTTGGGTGGGGAGCAGAAAGGGGGAGAGAGGGAGCGTGAGAAAGTACCCCTGTGGTGGCAGTTTCAGGAGAAGAAGGTGGTGGGAGGGTTGGCTGTTGAGGCAACTCAAAGGGTGAGTATTGAGGCGCCTCAAGAGCAGAATGGGGGAGCGAGGGAGCGGGAGGCGGTATCGCTGTGGCAGCAGTTTCAGGAGCTCAAGGTGGGGGCCGGGGTGCACAGTGGGGACACAAGCAAGGCTGTTGAGACGCGGGGAGAAGCGAGTTTTGAGACTTCTCAAAATCAGGAGCCTAAGGTGGGGAACGGGGTGCACAGTGGGGACGCAAGAGAGGCTGTTGAGACGAGGAGAGAAGGAAGAGAGGTTGCAGAGACGCGGAGAGAAGGAGCGAGAGCGGGGTGGGCAGAGGGAAGGCAGCTGGAAGGTGGGAAAGAGGGGGCAGCAGCGCTGCAGCCTAGCAGTGCGTTGGAGCAGCAAGGCCAGGCGAAGGGGGGCACAGCAGTGGCAAGGGCAAAGAGCACATCAGGCCCGGAGCAGGAGAAACGGTCAGCAGCAACAGCAGTAGACGGGGTGGAGATGGAAGAGTTAGAGGAGCTGCTGGGTCCTCCAAGCATTGTGGTGCCGCAGAGAAAGATTCTAAAACACTTCGTGCCGCTTCCCACTGCTGCTGCTGCTGCCCCTCTGCACCCACCTGCTGCACCACCACCACCTGCTTTCACCACTCCTGCTACTACTGCCACCGCGCAGCACTCCTCCTCTGCCTCCCCTGAGACGCTGTCCTCGCAACGTTCCCTCTCCCAGTCCTTCCGCTTCGTCTCTCCTCCCTCCTTCCTGCCGCCCCGTTCCCCTGCTTTCTCCATCCATCCACAAAACACCACAACCCCCACTGCTTCCCTCCCGCTCTCTCACTCGTCCTCGTCTCCTTCCTCTCCCTTCCCTTCCTTTCCTACGCCCCCCACCATCCGCTCTGTCTCTCTGACTGCTGCTACCGCCTCTCATTCCCCACCCACCTCCTTTACCGCCTCGCCTGATCAGACCCACACTGCTGCTGAATCCACTCTCCCTTCTCACCTGCCAACAACACCACCGGCACCATCAGCACCACCAGCACCATCAGCACCACCAGCACCATCAGCACCACCAGCAGCCATGTGGGGAGGGGGAGCAAGCGTATTGGTCCCCACCATGCCATCTTTCACCCCGCCTCCACCTCCCACTTTCCCCTCATCATCCCCTTCCCATACCACTCTTGAGACACCTCAAAAGCCATCTCCACCACCTGCTTCACCCTTCCCACCCCTCTCCACCGCACCACTGTTTGCATCATCTGCCACAATCCCAGTTCCACATCCCTCCACTCCAATCCCCCCCTTCACATCCCCTACTGCCCCTCCCCTCTTCCCCCCTGCACCGTTCCCCCCCTCACTGCTACCTTCTCATCCGCCCTTCCCTTCAGTATCCCCCTCTCCCCCGCCCGTCCCCACCACCGCTCTCCTGCCACCTACTCCAGTTCAATCGGCCCCCCTGCAATCCACTCTCCTGCAATCTGCTTCCCCTCAAGGCGTAACCAGAAGCACAGGCGCACACGGCAGTGTGCTTGCATGCAGCAGCACCTCTGACTCGGTGAGTGAGGGGCCTGGTGGGAGCGGGGAGGGGAGGGCGAGAGGTAAGGGGGGAGAGGAGGGCGAGCAGCAGTACTACGAGCGGAGCAGGCAGAGGAGGCGGAGGAGAAGCAGACAGGCGTCTGTTTCACCTGTACGGGAGAGCAGTGGTGGAATGTCTGAGCAGAGCCAGCAGCAGCAGAGCCAGCTGCAGCAGAATCAGCAGTGGCAGAACCAGCAGCAGCAGCAGCAGCAGCAGCAGCAGCAGGAGGTTCAGTGGGAGCAGATGCAGCAGGTGCAGCAGGCGTGGCTGCAGCAGCAGGCAGCCGTGATGCAACAGTGGATGGCGCAGCAGCAGCAGATGATGCAACTGTTGCTGCAAGCGCAATCGCAGCAGCAGCAGCAGCAGCAGCAGCAGCAGCAGCAGCAGCAGCAGCAGCAGCAGCAGCAGCAGCAGCAGCAGCAGCAGCAGCAGCAGCAGCAGCAGCAGCAGCAGCAGCAGCAGCAGCAGCAGCAGCAGCAGCAGCAGCAGCAGCAGCAGCAGCAGCAGCAGCAGCAGCAGCAGCAGCAGCAGCAGCAGCAGCAGCAGCAGCAGCAGCAGCAGCAGCAGCAGCAGCAGCAGCAGCAGCAGCAGCAGCAGCAGCAGCAGCAGCAGCAGCAGCAGCAGCAGCAGCAGCAGCAGCAGCAGCAACAACAACAACAACAGCTGCAGCAACTGCAGCAGCAGCAGCAATGGCAGCAGCAGCAGCAATGGCAGCAGCAGCAACAACAACAATGGCAGCAGCAGCAGCAGAAGCAGCAGCAACAGCAGCAGGAACAGCAACAGCAACAGCAACAGCAGCAACAGCAGCAGCAACAGCAGCAGGAGGCGGAGTCGAGAAGGCTGCAGATGGAGCAGCCGGAAATGCAACCAGTGCAGACACGGGAAGTTCATGCAGACGAGCAGATGGGGAGGGGAGAGCAGCAGGCGGATGCAGTAAAGGGGGTTGTGGGCCTGGAGACAGAACAAGTTCAAGAGGCGACGTCTGAACCAGTGCTGCAGATGATGCAGGTGTGGTCACAGCAGCAACAAGCCGTGCAGCAGCAACTTGAGCAACTGGCGAAGCAGTCTCAGCAGGAGCCACAATCGCTACAGCAGCTGCCGCAGCAGCAGGAGGTTCCAGTGCAGCAGCCATGGATGCATCAGCAGAAGCAGGAGCAGGTGCAGCAGCAGCAGCTAACACAGCAGCCGAGACAGCAACAGCAGCAGCAGCAGCATCAGCATCAGCAGCAGCAGCAGCAGCAGCAGCAGCAGCAGCAGCAGCAGCAGCAGCAGAGACAGCAACAGCAGCAGCAGCAGCAGCAGCATCAGCAGCAGCAGCAGCAGCAGCAGCAGCAGCAGCAGCAGCAGCAGCAGCAGCAGCAGCAGCAGCAGCAGCAGCAGCAGCAGCAGCAGCAGCAGCAGCAGCAGCAGCAGCAGCAGCAGCAGCAGAGACAGCAGCAGCAGCAGCAACAGCAGCTGGAGCAGGCGCCATTTGTACATCAACAGCATCAGGGCATGGAAGTTTTCGTATCCAAGGTCAGAGAGTCAAAGGCGTCAGCTGCACCGAGCAATAGCCAGGCGCAGACAGCAAGAGCAGGTTCAGAGGTTCCGGCCATGTCTCCTGCACACTCCCATGGGAGCGATGCAGACAAGAGAGCCTCCCATGGGAGCGATGCAGACAAGAGAGCCTCTCATGGGAGCGATGCAGACAAGAGAGCCATCGTGAAGGTATTGTCAAACAATGAGGTACAGTCGCCAAGGAATCTCTGGAACCGGTTTAAGCAGCAAAGGGGGCAGATCCAGAGGCATGAAGAGGAGGAGGCTCGATATGTGGAAGCATCCTCTTTGAGCTCCGCTGGGCGTGACATGTTGTCGTCAACTTCCTTTCCGGACATCAGTTTTAAAGCGCGTGATTTTCCAGCTTCTGCAGAAGGGGAGATTCTTGAGAAACCAACATTCCCCCCGTTGTTCAACGTGTCTCAGGGCTCTGATGGTGGTGCGACTGCCTTCTTGGACGTGGGGAACACTGCCAATAATAACGGCAGTGGTTAAAATAATTACTAGATAAATTTGATTGTGCCTGTACAGGGAATTGTCAACTCTGCTGCCACTCATACGGTACGCCCTTTGCCCAGGGTATGCGCACGTGAGGAGCGTAACAGTCAGCTAGCAACTGCTCAAATGCTTCCTTCATAAGGTAATGCTTCATAACACAATGCCTTCTCAGGGATCCAACCTACGGTACCAACTACACAAATCCATTGGTTATGTACTATGATGCTAGGTGCCTTTTGAGTCGACTCAAAAGTCACATGTGCTACCCGACAAGAGCACTTGCACCCGGCAGACCGCCAGGTTGCTGCTCAGCGCGAGCCAGCCACTAGCCCTTCACTTTCTTGATCTTTCCGCAGAGCACTAGGTTGTTGCTCTCATCCACAACCCTAAAGTACGAACCATATGTCCGGTATGCAGTTTCAAGCCTGGAGCATGCCATGGCCAGAGAGAGCGGTCCTGGCATCGTTGTATACACGAAGCTGTAGCGCCCGCGGCGGCCTGACTCGTCACTTGTGACGTTCTTCCACGTTGGACCGGGTCTGGCGATTACAGTATCAGTGCAGGAAAATCCTTGCTTTGTGATAGGCTCCTTTCCTCCAGATTTGATGTTCAAGGCGGATAGAATATACTCAAGATAATACACCGTTGCTGAGTACCTGCAAACCAGGGCTCGGAAGGAAATGGAAGCGAGGTGGAGAGGAGGGGGTGGAGAGGTGGGGAGAGGGGGAGTTGGTGGGGGAGAAAGGGGGAAAAGTGGGTGGGGATGGGGGATGACTTGGCACAGCCGGGGAATTTAATCGGTCCTAGGTGATTGTATGGAACAATAGCACCAGCAGATGGAAATCGACCAGGGACGCACCTGATCACCTTAGCGACATATTTCCCTGATGCAAGCTTGTCGCCGACCAGCTTCCCTTTGAGCTTAGTAGGACGCAGATGGGTCATGTATTTAACTAGCAATGGGATCGGCAGGGATAAGGGTGCAAGCGAAAAGACGTGGAAGGACAACAGTTGAGTAGGTAGGGACTAGCATTGCGTCGCGACATAAAACACCCTGGTGGAACCAGGAATGGCAATGCTGGCGCATGTATCCTCGGGTGGGGTGGGACAAGCTGACTTTTGAGTCGACTAAAAAAACAGTTGAGTTGGGACTAGCATCGCGTTGCGACATGAAACCCCTGGTAGAACCAGGAATGCCAATGCCAGAGCCAGCGCATGCATGTATCCTCGAATGGGATGGGACGCCGAAATGCAGAAACAAATGCAACACATCATCAACGCATACATCAAGTAAGTACCACACGAGTGAAGTTAAGCATGTACGAAATTCAGCAACTCGTAGCAGCCAGTACCGCCGGTGTACTACTAGCGGCAATGCAGAAGCCTCTCAGAAATTGCTGAGCAAAAGAGCGCTGCGGGTCGGACACTTACTCACAGTCTTCCCTTTCCACACCAAGGGCTTGGCCTGAGCAGCAGACGGCGCGGCTGAAGCACTGCCGCCGTGGGGTACAAGGAATGGCGGAAAGATCGAGGCGGCAGACGCGCCGGCAGACGCGGCGGCAGACGCGACTGCAATGAAGAACGCCGCACCTGACGGGCAGAGCAGCGCACGAGGGAGCGTTACATCCGACAAATGAGGAGCGAGAGATGAGGCCAACTGAGAGAAATGACAAATCCGCTGCACCAGCGTGGTTGGAGTCTCATCATGACAAGTGGCAGCGGCGGGGTAGCATCGGCGATCGATCGATGAGTCATGAGTCGATCGGTGATGACCATGGTTAGTAGGAGCAACGCAGGAGAGGACGAGACGACCAGAGGTGCTTACAGAGCAGGACCAAGACGAGAGGTGCCGCGCGCTCCATGGTGGTACTGTACTAGCAGAGGAAGGGCGCACGTGGTGATTCTGACTCTGACTCTGAAATGAAAATCATCCCGTGCGTGTGATGCAATCTGTTGCAATACACCACTGGATGATTTCCGGTCCTTTCAGCCTGAGAGGGTTCTGAACGGGATGGGAGGCATAAGTGCTAGCTAGAACAGTAACATCATGGCCCAGCTTCGGCATTGGAGCTTGCAGCTATCTACCCGTCCTTAGCTTCGGCATGCGCGAGGCGATTCAGCGTCGTCACGAGATTGTGCACGAGGAAGGAGCGCGGCGGGGAAAGGAGAGAGGCCGCACGCCTCGGTGGGACGCGGCGCACGTTTCCTCTTTTCTCCAACGTAGACTGTGCCACAGGGCCGTGCTGGAAGTACACATGGCGCCTGCGTCACCTCTCGTCGCGAAGCGTTGCGCCGCGGGCGGCGCTACTACGCGACGATGGCTCGCGCGGAAGGGGTGCCATCGCCAGCGGGTTGCTTGCGAACAAACTGATGGGTGAGGGCGCCAGTGGTGACGTGTAAGGGGCGCCAGCGTCTCGACAACTTCGGCGATAAGACATCAACGTCAGGTTAGGTCTTTCACGTAACCTGCATACACAATGTGGAGGTTGAGGGGTTTTTGAGGGCAAGTCCCAGGCTTGGCAAGGAGTGCGTCAACGGTGCTCATACTCACTACAATAATAGGGGCAATTTTACAGGCGGCTTCTGTAAACAAGCAGAATGGTAACCACAGTACAAGCCCTAAATTATTTTAAAATACGAAATCCCCCATTTTCCAAAAGCATCAATAAGATCTCTGGAGCCGGTTCAGGCAGAAAAGGGGCCAGCAGGTGGAGTCTCTACATGTGGAAGCATCTTCTTCCATGCGCATTGCTACCGTGTGAAATGTTCTTGCAAGCCCCGTCTCATGATATTAGCCTCAAAGAGTGTAACTTTCCAGATTCTACGGAAGGGGAGATTATTGAGCAGCCATATTAACCTTATTTGTTTTAACATATCACGGGACTCGGAACACTGCCAGTAATTACAGCTTTAGTTTCTTCTTTTAGAATGTGTCTGTTCTTATGTTTATAGTCGTTAGCGGGTTCATCGATTTCCTGAATCTTGGCGATGGTTCGATGCTTCGACAATAGTTGCTTCTCCGAAGCTCACTCACTCAAACCTCACCGCCACGCCAAACCTTCCGCCACCCATGGCACAGTTTCGTTCCGCCCATGCACAGATCGAGGCTGGCGGGATGCGGTCGGCCCCACATTCCAGGGTGTTATCCGCGCCTCCGCACCATACCCAATCCCTTCGCTTCGGCAGCTTGCGCAGCTTACCCCTTCTGCCCTCGAGCTTGACGGGCCCTTGGCGGGAAACCCTTGCCTCGGTTTCTGGCATTTTGAGGGGCTTGCGTTTCACTTTTGGCTGCCTGACGAGTGAAATTTTCCTGCCCTCGGGTGCTTTTTGGGCTGCAGAGCACCCGTGTGATTCGAAACAAACTTCATAAAAATACTTTGACACCACCCACCCAACCATCCATACTCCGACTGTTCGCAAGCACGACCCCCTGCTCCCCAGCTTCCTTCCTGCCAGCAATTTGCAGATTCGTTCTTCTCCTAAATTGAAACCTTTACCCATCAAAGGGCTGCAGTTCCAGACCTGAATCAGCCGTTCGAACACATCGATAGTCTGTGCTCAAGCCCTTCTGCCTCCCGTCGTTGCGACGCGCATGCGTCCTCGATAGTAGACCGTAGGAGCTTGGAAATGCAACCGAGCGAGCATGACTGGTGGCGGGACTGCTTCACTCGTGGCAATTCCGGCCTTTTCCTCCGAGTCGTGTTTATAATCGCCCTGCTTCTCTTCGCCTCCAGCCGGGTTGCAGACTCCAGCAACCTCAAAGACCCTCTCAATACGGAGCCTAAGGAGTCAGTTATTGCTTACACTGCCAGTTCCAAGCTTAGTCCGAGTCACCGCACTTCTGAAGAAGCGGTACCGTTTGTTGATTCTAAGGACACGCGCGGAATAACCGCTGATCCTTCCACGTCAGACGGACCTGTCGGCACCATTGTTCCCTCGCAATCGACACTTCTTCCGAGGTCCAACCATTTCCACCAAAAACACCCGGCTGCTTCTTGTAATGCGTTCGTTTCTCGTTTGCAGTTCAGTGCCCCGCGTATTCAAGTAAACTCCTGTAACGTTGAGAGCAGTCGTCACTAAGTTCCCACGCAGTCCGCTTCTTGGAATATATTGTTTCTTCTCAACTCCTTTCCCAATCCCAATCCCTCTCCTATCCATCCCTATTACCCCCTCGCTTCGAGTCCCAGTCCCAAGAACACTTTTTATTCCTATTGTTTGTTCCCAATGACTATACCTCCCGACCCCTCCCGACCCATCCCAGACCATCCTCCTCGTCGAATGTTCTAATCACGCTATTAGACGGCTCGATAAGAGCCGTAGACTCGCGAACCGGCGAGGTGAAATGGACCTTCGCGTCTGGCCAGCCGCTCGTCTCCGCCGCCGGTCCCGCGCAGGGCGCAGGAGCGGAAGGGGGAATGGCGGAAGGGAGGCTGGCGGAAGGTGTAGGGTGGAGGGGAGCGGAAGAGAGTGCGCAAGCGAGAAAGGCTAGGCATGCGACGGCGGAAAGATGGGGCGGGGGTGATGAGATGGACTGGAATTATGAGGAGGATGAGGATGAGGAGGAGGGGGAGGAGGAGTGGGGATGGGGGGGAGTGAGGAGCGGAAGGGAGAATGGTGCGCGTGGCAGTGGGGGTGGCGGGAGTGAGAAGAGTGGCGGGAAGGGGGAGGTGGGAAGGGGGAAGGGGAGAGGCGTGGGTAAAGAAATGGTTATTCCGGGGGTGAATGGGCGCCTGTACTCGTACAGGGAAGGGCTCGGCTTGCAGGTACGCGCAGTCCTTATGCGGAAAAAAAGAAGAGAATGCACATGCGTGGAGACAATCTGTATGTGCGTGGACGGAATGTGTACATGCGTGCGATGTCGCAAGTGCGTATGCGTAGAGGTGGACGCGTGTTGGTCCTGCGGGCGAGTCAAGGGTAGGTAGGAAGTTGTCTTGTCAGGCACCCACAGGCATTGTCTTGCTTCCGTTCATACCTGTTGGGTCGTGAAACCCTTCTCCTCCTCCCCTCCTTCTACCCCCCAACATGGAAGCTGCCTCCCACACTCCCTTCGCCACACAACGTCCCCCTCCCTCCCCCCCCCATCCTTCCTCCCATTTCCTCGTCTTACCTACCTCCCACAATGTCCTGCCAGCAACCACCTCTGTCTCCCCCCTTATCTCCTTCCTCCCCCCCCATTCCGCCAGGAGCTGCCCATAACAGCCAAAGAGCTCGTGTCCGCCTCCCCTTCAGTCACCCGTGAAGGCGCCACCGTGATCGTTGGATCGCAGAAATCAACGGCCTTCCTGCTCGACCCAGTCACAGGCGCTGTGCTCCGCTCCTTCGACCCGCTCGCTCCTCCGGGCGGCGGCGGCTTGTCCTTTTCTGCGACCAGAAATGATGGGAACGAGCAGGTGGACGGCCCACTGGCGGAGTGTCTGAAAATGGCAGAAGAGGAGGGCGGCGAAGGCGTGGAGGTAGGTGGAGGAGCTGGGTTCCTGGAAGGTTCAAGGACCAGTGGCAGGGAGGGAGCAGCAGACGTGCAGCATCAGCAGCAGCTGAAGAGGAAGAGGGAGTGTGATCGCTTGCTAGCGTCGTCCCTACTGGTGCTCCGAACCGACTATGTGGTTCGGGCGGTGGAGCTCAGGTCCGGCAAGCAGCGGTGGAACGTCAGCTTCGGCGAGCTGAGCCCCGTGAATGCGGCTCTGCTGGGCTTAGGGGGAGGCGTTGGGGGAGGCGTGGGGGGCGGAGCACCAATTGGGGGAGTTTTGGGGGGAGCGCTGGGGGCAGCAAGGGGAGGCGGAGGGGGAAAATCAGGGATGGATCTGACAGGTAGAGGCGTGTTTGATGGTCATGGGAGTGGGGTGCCCAACGCTGCTGCTTCTTTGGCAGTGGCTAAACGACAGCTCTTGCCATCCAGCGTTTCTGGGGAAGATACGGAGACAGATATTGATCTGGGGATTGGGGCGGGGGGACATGGTCAGGTGGATAGGGACGAGATTGGAGGTTCAGGATTGGCAGGATTCAACACAGGGTTAACCGCTGCAGCTACCACGAGTGTAGACCCATCTGAAGAGGGTAATTCCGACATCTACTCCATCCAGCTGACCAACGCCCAGACAGGCCAGCAGGCATGGCAGACGACTTTTTCATCTGCCCCGCTCGCAGCATTCACGCCCTCGGGCAGGCTGGTGCAGGAATTCGTGTCGCGCGATTCGTCCAAGGACACGGGGCCCGGGCAGGTGCTGTATGTGGGGCGCGTGGCTGGCAGTCCATTCGCCCTCGTCACCCCCAGCGCCACCCACGCACCCAACGCCGCTCTCCCCCTCCTCCCGGCCCCGCCCCACTCTCCCTCTGATGGCCTGCCTGCTGGTATGGCTGCAGGCATGTCGGGTGGTGCGGGGGCGGGAGGTGCGGTGGTGGGTAGGACGGGCAAGTTCACAGTCACAGAGCCGCCCAGGATTGCAGGGACGCGAGGAGCTGGCGGTGCTGCGGGGGAAGCTGGTGATGGGAATGGCGGTGGTGGTCAGGGTAGGGGTGGAAGTAGGGGCAGGGGTAGGTTTGGCACGGTTGGTGCAAGTGGCAGCGGTGGTGGTGGCAGTGGGGATGATTCGCTGTACCCTATAGTGGTGAGGGCGCCGGGAGCAACGGCTGCTCTGTATGACGCCATGGGGTGCGCTGACAGCCCTGCTGTGCACGGGGGCGCTGACTTGGCAGGCGCTGAGTACAGAGCACAGAGTCCCTGGAACGACCACCAGGGACGTCCAGGAGATGTAGCTCAGCAGCAGCAGGGGTACAATCAGCAGCAGCAGCGGCAGCGGCAGCTGCAGCAGCAGTACAGTATGCAGCAGCAGCGAGCGCCAAGCCCAGTGGCAGCAGACAGCCACAGGAGCAGCAGCACGGATGGGGAGGACTCTCTGGGGTGGACCGGCATGATCAGCCTGTGGGGGCGTGGCACTGGCGCGGGTGACACTATCGGGGTAGCTAGTAACGCGGATATGGAGTTGGGTGGAGGCAGAGGGGAGAAGAACCGCCGCCTTGGGCCGCCGAAGGACATGGAGCCTGCCGTTGGGCCCCAGGCCCCGCCCACCCCGCCGAACCTCTTGTCCTCGTTCGGGATCCTGGCTGCCGCAGCTGCCACCCTGGCTGGGATAGTCGCCGGCGCTTCGGTATTCTCTTACTCCTCCTCCGCAGCCCCATCGTCTTCCTCTTCTGCTGCTGCTGCTGCAGCATCTGGCCGTGGTGGCACGCCTGCAAGGAATCAGAGGCTCAAGTCGCAGCATAGGCTGGCCTCCTCCTCTCACCCTCCCAGGCATGCTTCGCACATGAATGGTGCGCCCAGTGGCAGGGGAGCGTATAGAGGAGGGGTGACTAACGAGGACGGGCTGTCGTGGGTGGCACGGGGGGTGGTGGCGCTGCTGCCGGCTTCCTGGCAAGAGTGGGCGGCTGAGGGGTTGGGTGGGGGCGGCAATGGCAATAGCAGCAGCAGCAGGAAACGAGGCAAGCAGGGAGTTGGTAGGAGGAACAAGAATTCAGAAGGAGCAGCAGCCGGTGAAGCAGCAGCAGGGGGAACGGAAGGAGGGCTGCTGGGCAAGCAGCAGGACGGCCCGGCCAATGGGATCGCGCCACCTGGACAGGACGACCCAGGGGAAGCAGGAAGGGAGGATTCGGGGCAGGGCGAATCTGGGGGAGGGAGGCTGAGCAGGCTATTGGGGAGTGTGGGTAAGCTGGGCAGTGGCAGCAGGCAGAACAGCACAGGGAAGCTGATCACCCGCCGAGGCAGCCGCGACAATGAAGGGCCAGGGGAGGGCGCGGGCGCGGGTGGTGCTGATAATGGCACAGCAGGCGAGGAGGAGAGCGAGGAGGAACGGGAGGAGCGGGAGGACGGGCGGTGGGTGGGGCGGCTGTTTGTGTCCCGGCGGGTGATCGGGCATGGGAGCCACGGGACGCTGGTGCTGGAGGGGCGGCAGGTGGCGGTGAAGCGGCTGCTGTCTCAGTTCTACGAGCGAGCCCGGCAGGAGATTGCTGCGCTGATCGCCACGGACGAGCACCCGAACGTGGTGCGGTGCTTTGCCATGGAGGAGGATGACTCGTTTGTGTATGTGGCGCTGGAGCGCTGCGCGTTTAACCTCGCGGATCTCGTGCTCGCGTGCCGGGCTAGCCTCGCTGCGGCTATGGCACCACCTGCTGCCGCTGCTGCTGCTGCTTCTGCTACTGATGGTGCTGCTGGTTCTGCTGGTGGTGCTGATGCTGCTGGGTCTTTCTCCTCCTCCTCCCACAAGCCTCCCACCAGCCCCTTTCAAACCTCCTCCACCTCCACCGCCCACACCACCTCCTCCTCCGCCTCCTCCTCTCACTCCTCCTCCTCCTCACTCCCTATCTCCGACCCGCCTCTCCACCTCAAAACCCCTTCTCTCTCCCTCCGCCTCTCCCCATCCTCCTCCGCCGAGCGTGAAATCATATCCGCAGCACTGGAGCGGGTACAGGCCTACTGCACCTCACAGGGCGTGGGGGTGCAGGGGCTGTGCCTGTGGGACGATAAAGGCCAGCCTACACAACAACTGGTAGGGTTGTTAAGGGACGTGGCGAGTGGCCTGGCTTATCTGCATGACCAGCGGATTGTGCACCGGGACTTAAAGCCCCATAATGTGCTCATCTCGCTGCTGCTGCCCAGCCGGCACCGGCAGCGTGGGCAATCACAGGGTAGGGTGAGTGGAGGAGTAGTTAGTGGGGATAAGGGTGGGTTGGGGGTGGGTGAGGAGTTTGGTTCTCCTGCTGTGCTGTCGACATCAGGAGGAGATGCTGCCCCAGGAGGATTAGCAGCTGGATTAGCAGCAGCAGGAGGATCATCATCATCAGCAGCAGCAGCAGCAATGCCAGACGCTGCAACTCCATCCCTCACAGCTTCAGCCGCTGTAGCATCGGCCGCCTCTGCCTCTGCCGCAGCAGCAGCCCTGGCTCGGGCCATACCTCTCCTGGAGGTCCGGATGCGGGGGAAGCTGTCAGACATGGGGATCAGCAAGAGGCTCGGCGACGGAGCTAGTTCCTTCGACACAATGACAGCAGGCTCGGGCAGCAGCGGGTGGCAGGCGCCGGAGCAGCTAGAGGACGGGTCGAGGCTGACGAAATCGGTGGACATGTTTTCGTTTGGGTGCCTGGTGTTCTTCTGTGTGAGCGGCGGCAGCCACCCGTTTGGGGAGTGGTTTGAGCGCGATGCGAATGTGGTGGCGGGGAGGGCGGACCTGTTCCCAATCGACCACGTGCCTGAGGCACTGGATCTGGTGGCTGCTCTGCTCGACAGAGACCCCGAGAAGAGGTAAGTGGTGGGTGGATTGTTAAGGTAGATCTATCAGATCTAACTCTAAAGTCGCCCATGTGGTGGTCGCGGGGAGGGCGGACCTGTTCCCCATCGACCATGTACCTGAAGCTCTTGATATGGTGGCTGCACCGCTGGACAGAGAACCTGAGAAGAGGTGCGTGATGGGTGGAATGGTGAGGGAAGAATTCAAGGTCAGGAAAGAGAAGTGCCAGGGTGTGCCGGTGCCAACTTGCTGTGGGCCACACGTCACACCACCACCTGATACATCATCATTCCCTCCCACTCTTGCTCGCTCACACGTGCGTTTCTGCAACCAACCCTTCCTCCCACCGTCCATCCCAGGCCCCCAGCGCACGAGGTGCAGAGGCACCCCTTCTTCTGGCCGGCAGAGCAGCGGCTGGCGTTCCTGCGAGACGCCAGTGACCGCGTGGAGGGAGAAGACCGCGAGGCCCACTCGCCCCTCTTGAACGCCCTAGAAGCAGTGGCGCCCAGGGCCATAGCCCGCAAGGGGGGGATTAGTAAAGCGCCTGGGGAGAAGGGCGGCGGGTGGAATGAGCGGGTGGACGGGGCGCTGCTGGGGAATCTGGGGAAGTATAGGCGGTATAACTTTCACAGTGTGCGGGACCTGCTAAGGGTGATTCGGAACAAGTGTAACCATTACCGGGAACTGCCGCCCGAGCTGCAGGTAAGGAGAGGAGAGGAGAGAATACACCTGCAATCATGTATTACCTTGCGTGCAAATCAAGGTCGTCGCCATCGAGTATTTACTGTTCTGCTGTGTTCCTGGTTGTCCCTCTCTATTTGCATGGAGGAGCTTTTGGGTCCGCTTCCTGATGGATTTGAAAGGTACTTTCGAGATCGGTTCCCGCACCTCTTATTGGAGGTCTACCATGTGTTGCTGCAGCACTGCGCCCACGACCCCATCTTCACAAAATACTTCTCCCCAATAATTCCCTAATAATGCGATAAGACACTAGTTGCACACCCATGTATCTTGTGTGTACCTACTGAGATACTACAAACAAAGCCCGTTGTCAACTAGCCATCTTATGTCGAATCACTTCTTGACCTTCAGTTCATGATGCCACGTGTTTCGTTCTGGTCCGCATTCATCCCCATTTTGCTCCACAAATGTCCAAGTTCTTCGCATTTGGCGTCAGTTGCTGTCGCAGCCAGTTTCGTAGCGAATAGCGCATGTCGCAAACCGTTCATCTGCTCCTTCACTTCAACCTGGTAACCCGCTTTCAATGCATTTCTGCTGTTCGTGGTACCAATGCATTCCGTTCCAACATTTCTAGTTTCCGAAAGCTAGTGCTTCTTGAAATTGCCATGGCAGCAGCGCTTGCCTCGCCTCTCGCGTCTCGCATCGTTGCCATCAGCCGAGGCCGTCGTCTATCCAGCGGTGCTACCGCAATCAACAGCGTGCGACAACTGATCTTGTGAGCCGCTTTTACTCCCATTTACCGCCTTTCTTCCCAGTAAAATCAACTGGTTGGTACCCTTTTTCACCTTCGCGAAACTGACGAGGTCATTATCCCCTCGTCTTATTATACCCCAGGAGAAACTCCTATTCCCCCGAGCGCGCTAACCACGCCTCGACGTCTCTCCGCGTTTCCCGGCGGGCGTCTCGATCGCGAGTGGTCATGGCGTCAGCAGCGGCGGAGAAGGGATCAGCGGCAACGGCGGGCAGCGAGGAGCTGGCGGAGTTCGTGTCGCGCGACAACCGTCGCATGCTGCACGTCGTCTACCGCGTTGGGAACCTGGACGCCGCTATCAAGTGCGTAGCTCAGTCGATTACCGTTGCACCCGCTCGCCTCCTCTCACCTCCCTGGTCTTTGACCGGGTGCTGTGGTTGAGTTGTTCATCTTCATACTGCTGTTACTATTGAGAATCACCATCTACACCTCCCTGATCTTTTGAAAAGTAACACCATCTTCACACTGCGCGTCATGACCGATCTCTGACGGCCGGCAGGTTCTACACGGAGTGTCTGGGCATGAAGCTGCTGAGGCAGCGCGACATTCCCGAGGAGAAGTACTCCAACGCCTTCCTCGGCTACGGGCCCGAGACCTCCACGTTTGTCGTGGAGCTCACCTATAGTGAGTAGCGAGGTCACCTATAGTGAGTAACTTGGTCAACTGTAGTGAATAGCGTGGTCAATTGAAGTGAGTAGCACGGTGACTTATAACGAGTACTGGGCTCACCTGTGGTGAATAGCGAACCTGTTGTCAACCTCTCTGTTCCTCTACAGCATTTCGGCCGACGGCATATATGGTCACTGAGGCATAAGTCCCTTCACCCTGCAGTGTGCTTGCTGTTACGCCATTCTTTTCACACCCTGCTGCCCTGGTGATGTTGTGGTACTGGGATCACAGAACCTCTCCTGCTGCCTTGCCGCCATGCCCTGTCCTGCCCTGCCCATCTGTCCTGCCTGTCTGCCCTGCTCTGCCCTGCTAATCTGCTGCCCTGCTGTGCTACCAGACTATGGGGTGGACTCGTACGACATTGGAGCGGGCTTTGGACACTTTGGCATTTCTGTTGATGATGTGAGCCACGTGCCATGCTGTTGTGAGCCACGTGCCATGCTGTTGTGAGCCACGTGCCATGCTGAAGTGAGCCACGTGCCATGCTGTTGTGAGCCACGTGCCATGCTGTTGTGAGCCACGTGCCATGCTGTTGTGAGCCACGTGCCATGCTGTTGTGAGCCACGTGCCATGCTGTTGTGAGCCACGTGCCATGCTGTTGTGAGCCACGTGCCATGCTGTTATGAGCCACGTGCCATGCTGTTGTGAGCCACGTGCCATGCTGTTGTGAGCCACGTGCCATGCTGTTGTGAGCCACGTGCCATGCTGTTGTGAGCCACGTGCCATGCTGTTGTGAGCCACGTGCCATGCTGCTGTGATTCACTGCGACCAATCTGTAACTGGTGCTTACTCAAGAAACCACGAGTTTTGGCCTTACACTGGTGACGGCTTTTTGCAATGCAGCCACTGCAGTGGTTGGGTAGGGGCAAGCCATAGTGCGAGAAAGTCCACACGTAAGGCCAGTGATTCCCTGTTGCTGAGAGCTTTCTTTAGAGCACTCAGGCCCATGTTCTCTCCCCTCCACCCTCCACCTTCCACCCTCCATCCTCCATCCACTAGCCTCCACCTTCCCCCTCTCCCCCTCTCTGCCCCCCTACAGATGTATAAGACAGTGGAGCTAGGGAAGGCCCCGGCCAGTGTTTGAGGGGCGTAAGAAGCAGTTTTCTCTCTATTCCCCTCCCCATACCCCCCGGTCCCCCTCAGGTGTACAAGACGGTGGAGGTGGTGAAGTCGCGGGGCGGCAAGGTGACTCGCGAGGCTGGCCCTGTGAAGGGCGGGCAGAGCGTCATTGCTTTCGTTGAGGTCCGCTCCTTATTATCATGCTGCCTTGCTGCCACGTCGTCATGCTGTCATGGCATGAGTGGCGGGATGCTGACATGCGTGATGGCATAGTGGTGTGATGTCATGATGCTATGGTGTCATAGAATTTGGTGGCATGACGGCATGATGCCATGCAATGTGTGGTGTGGCTGATGTGCCTTTTCGTCTCCATCCTCACCTTCCCGGTCTTGGATCTTCTCTTTTGGGGATTCATTCAACCTTCTTGACTGCACTCATCGACCCCCTCATGGGTTATTGCCTCTAATCCTCACTTCCCATCTTCCCATCTCTCTTGACGATTCATTCCCTCTCTGTTTCCTCGTCCCTCACATGTGCCTCTGTGATGTTGCCACTGCCGTCTGTCCAAAACTTCCTTCCTGCCACTTCCTTCCACGTGCTTTGCACCATCAACCCCCCGAACCACAGGACCCTTCAGGGTACAAGTGGGAGATCATTCAGCGGCCACCTACTCCCGAGCCACTGTGCCAGGTTCGGATGCCATGCCACGTGCTGCTCGTGCATCTCACCATGCTACAGCTCAAATTTGCTTCTTGATTCTCAGCTCTCGGATCCATCATGCTTTATGTGTGAAGTGAAGCTAGCCGTTATGCTTCATGTTACCATGTCACTACGCCTCCTTGCCTCCATGACCTTATGTCACGATGCCTCCATCTCACCATGCCGCCATGCAGGTCATGTTGCGGGTGGGGGACCTGGACAGGGCAATCAAGTTCTACGAGAAGGTGCCCGCACCCACCTGCGCCTCCCATGCCATCCCCCCCATCGCATCCCTCCCATGCATGCTGTCACACACCTGGCCGCCACTCAGTCTCACGGCGTTCATGGTGCCAGGATAGTCAGTCAACCCCATGCACACATGCAGCTGCTGCCATGCAGCTGCTGCCATGCGGCTCCTTCGTTGAGCAACCCTTTGGCTAGTGACAGCTGCCTCATTCGCCTCTCCAGTGCCTTGGCACCTCCCTGGTTTATGTGCCTGCCTATACCCATCAAACCTTCCGTGTTGTGCTCATAATCGCCATGAATTACGCCATGGATCGTGTTGTGCTCACAATCCCTCCTCTGCTTCCGTGCTCATGAAATACGCCTGTACCTGCTTGCAGGCATATGGCATGAAGCTGCTGCGGACAAGGGACAACCCACAGTACAAGGTGCCCACAATTCCCTCCTCTGCCGCTGCAACCGCACCTTGATTTTTAGGAAATCCCCTGCTGCTGCACCCCTCTGCCGCATCTGTGTTTTCACAATCCCTCCCCCACCACTCTCCTCCACCCCTCCTCCACCACCCCTCCACCACCCCTCCGCTTACCTTGTTGCTGTGTCGACCTGCTGTGTCGACCCATCTCTTCGCTCCCATGCCGTCCCGTCCTCTCTCTCCCCTCCCCAGTACACGATAGCCATGGTGGGGTATGGCCCCGAGGCGGAGAGTGCAGTGGTGGAGCTCACATACAATTATGGGGTTGAGTCCTATGAAAAGGGCAATGCCTACGCACAGGTACTGCTCATAACGACCATGTTCTTACTCAGGTGCTGCTGTGCTGCCTGAATGCCGTCTTCCAGCTGTTTTCTAGGTGGTGCTTTCTCCTGTTGTTGCGCCTTTGCTGCTCTCTCCAGACATGCGTTTCAAATGCTTCCTTCATCCCTTTCCCCACTTGCTTTTGTTGTATCTATCGCTCTCCACACTGGCATCTCTTTCACTTTAATTGCGCCGTTGTCTTACCTACCTCATTCTCCATCCCCATTCATCCCTGCCGCCCGCGCTGCGATCCTGCTATTCTCCAGATCGCGATTGGAACAGACGATGTGTATAAGACAGCAGAGGCCATTCGGGCGGCGGGCGGCACTATCACTCGAGAGCCGGGCCCCATCCCCGGCATCAACACCAAGATCGTGGCTTGCCTCGACCCCGATGGGTACAAAACGGTGAGGATGGGCTAACAACTTGGCGCCAACACACATCAAATCCTTGTCTGCTGCTTACACCACGCGCGAGATTTTTTTGTTTAATATAAAACTATGTGATTGTATGTTGTCTGCTGCTTACACTACGTGGCTGCTGTTACATGGCCTGCAGGTCTTTGTCGACAACCAGGACTTCCTTCGGGAGCTGGAGTAAGCTGCAGTGCCAGCATTGCTTCCTTACGCAGCAAAGCTTAGAAAACACTGCGCATGTATATTGTTTGATGAATGTATGGCTTCAATTGCAATTGCTACTGCTGCTTTTGCTAAAAATCAGTTACATCAGGTGTTTCGCCTGAACGCACACCCTGCAACGGATGGTAACCTTTCGCTACCGGTACAGACAAGCCACCTCCTCTCCAGCTGGAATCGTCAGTTTTCGACGGAGCGCCTCCACACACTCACCATGCCTCGCATCCCGCCACGTCATCAGCGCCTGACGCCGAATAGCCGTCGGGCACGGCGAAAGAGAAGCAGCGACGAAGCACACAAGCCCCGGTGACAACGGAATGCCACGAGGGGACCCGACACAGCCGCCTGCGCGGCGGCATGGCGGCAGAACGGCTGGCGCGAGACGCAAAACCAGGCAGCGCCAAAACACACGCCTCGCCCGGCTCTCCAACACTGGGATTTTTAAAATCTTCTCGAAGAGTCTGAGAAATAGGGTATGGCGGAGGAAGGAGGACGAAGCAGTGGGGAAGGCAGCGGGGGAGGCAGGGGGGGACGTGGCGGGGGAGGTAGCGGCGGAGGAGCGGCGCATGACCGGCACGCGGAGGCGAAGGCGGAAGCGGAGGCGTCCGAAGCGTGCGAGCGGCCGTTCGAGCAGCCGCAGTCGTGGCTGCACCGGCGCGGCAAGGGCGAGTGGAACTCGGGGCTCAAGGACTTCCCTCGGGATCCCCGCGCCGCGGCGCTGGGGTGCTGCGCGCCGTGCTACCTCTTCGCGCAGACGGCGCGCAAGATCACCGACGGGCGCGTGCAGTTCTCCAGGCGAGTCGCCTCCTCCTCCTCCTCCTAACTTGACGGGCCCTAGAATATCGTTTTTCCGGCTTGACTGTCCGTTTCAGGCCACTGAATGCCCTGAATGACCGCAACAGGACCCAGTCCTCGCTGCTCCCCTCACCACCCCTCACCGCCCATCACCACCCTTCACCTCCCTCGCCTCCCCGTCCGCAGGGCATTCGCGACGTACTGCCTGGTGGGAGGTTGTTGGGGCGCGCCTCTCTCGTTCATCCTCGGCCCCTTTGCCTATTGGCTCACGTGCGTGCCGTGCTATGCGGCGTGCATTGCTCCCCTCTCCCTTCCCTTCCTCCGCAGAGCATTCACGACCTACTGCCTGGTAGGGGGTTGTTGGGGCGCGCCTCTCTCCCTAATCCTCGGCCCCTTTGCCTACTGGTTCACGTGTGTGCCGTGCTACGCCTCATCCATTCGCCGCCAGCTGCGCCACAAGAAGGGGCTGCACGAACGACCCATGGACGACTTTGCCGCCCACTGCTGCTGCCACCCCTGCGCGCTTTGTCAGGTAGTGCTGCTGCCGCCCGTTAACAATCTGTCAGGTACTGCTGCTGCTGCTGCTGCTGCCGATGTGGCTCGTGGAGGTACATACAGTTGTGCTGCACTCGTGTGCGTACCTATGCCTCTTTGCATGTGTGCATGTATGTCACACCCACCAATGGTCATGATCTCGCTCGCCCCACCCACCAACCATCATGCAGGACAGGAGTACCGGGAAAGCCGCGAGTTTGACTTGCAGCTTGTGGCACGGCGCACACACCCGTGCGCCAACATGCCTATGTGCCTACATTCTTGTGCCGACATTCTTGTGTGTACATTCGTATGTGCCCTCATGCCCACCAACCACGATGCACGCAGGAGTACAGGGAGGCCCGCAAGTTTGAATATGCCCGTGGCAGCTCGTGGCAGGGCCCACACACTCAGCCATGTGCCAACATGCCCATGTGCTTACATTCTTATGTGCCTACATACGGTACTTATGTGCCCTCGCAACCACCAACCATCATGCACGTGCAGGAGTACAGGGAGACCCGTGATTTTGACCTGGAGCTCGTGGCGGGGCCCACTCACCTATGAGCATGTGTGCTTATGTAACCCCTATGTGTCTTACCCACCACGGACACCAACCATGATGCCCACGCAGGAGTACCGGGAGACCCGTGAGTTTGACCTGGAGCTAGTGGCAGGGCCCACACACGCAACTGTGGACAGACCGCCCCTGGAAACAGCGAGGCATTTGGAGCACCTGCAGGAGACGCAGCAGATGGAGCGGTGATGCGCGTGGGGTGCATACCGTAAGAGGAAGTGGCGCCATCCTTGGAGAGCGGAGTTGAATGCACGTGGGGCTTTTTCAAAGTGGCGCTGTGAGATAGGTTTGGAGTTGAACTGAGATGATTTCAGTGGAGTGAACAGCCACCAGAGGGTGCAGCAGACAGCAGAGACGCAGTAGATGGAATTGTGACTGTAAGCACCAGTGGAGTGGTAGTTGACCTGACCAGGATTGTACAGACTCCGCAATGGAGTGTAGGATCCACTGCAAATGAGTTGGCTTTATTCATTTCTTTTGGTTCTGAGATTGAGCTGTATATCTCTTGGTGATTTGTGATCTAAATGTGTTACATGTGTTACATGTGAACATGTGACAGCTGAAACTGCTGCGCGTGCAAAAGCTCTGCTCTTCATTTGGTCCAAGCTTTTCCTAGACCTATAGCACACTAGCGTGACAATAATGAATACAATATACGGTAGTTCTGAATCCGTTTTGGCTGGAAATGACAACCACCATAATCACGCGCTATCTACATCTCCTCAATCAGCTGCTTGATGGATGCAATGGGTAGCAAGCCCTCGGTGCGGACGGCAAGCTTTGACTTATCCTTGCTCACAAACACCACTGTGGGCAGGCCGCGGATCTGGTGAAGGATGGTGTGAAGAGGATCAGACGTGTGTGTGACGTGAGAGGGAGGGATGATGTGTGTGATGGGGACGACGGTTGAGGGTTTGGGGTTGGAGAAAGGTGCGTGGGAAGGCATACAGAGAGCATACCGGTAGCAGCCTGGGGGGCAACTGGCACAAAGAACAGGCGCATGCTTTTGTGTGTGTGTGTGTGAATGTGTGTGTGTAGGTGTGTGTGTGTGTGTGTGTGTGTGTGTGTGTGTATACAGGTGCCCATGCGAGCATGAATGCAGGAGCATGTGTATGCATGCAGGGGTGTGCACGTGCAAAGATGAGCTGTGTGAGCGAATAAGCGAGTGAGCGGGCACGTGTGCAGGGTGAGAGCGAGGGCACAGGCGCACACCTCGAGCTGGTTAGCAAGCTCACACTCACACTCCTCGTCCGTGTGTGCGCGCGCACATGTGAGCAACACGTGTGCAGATGGGCATGCGAGTGTGAGTGGCGCGGCATGGCAGCACTTACACACCTCGAGCTGGTTAGCGAGGTCACACACTCACACTCCTCGTCTGTGTCCACCTTTGAGTCGACTGAACACGGTGATGTCTGACTCTTGGCTAGCCACGGGTAGAGAGGGTGTTTTTGAGACGTCTCAAAAACACCCTCTCTACACGGTGATGTCTGACTTTTGCCTCCTGAGTCGACTCAACAACGGCCACGCACCTCGAGTTGGTTGGCGAGCTCGTACTCCTCGTCCGTGTCCACCTTGAGGAACAACACCTCGCCGTGATACTCCACTGCTAGCTGTGGGCGACATGGGTGCACGAGGAATGGCATGGGAGCATGGGAGCATGGGGCATTGGGCATTGGGCTATGAGAAACAGCACCTCTCCATGATACTGCACCGCTAGCTGTGGGCGACACGCATGCGGGTACGGGGAACAGGAGAGTGGAGGTGGGGGGAGAGGGGTATGAGGAACAGCACAGACGGGGTTGAGGGGATAGGGGTATGCGGAACAGCACCTCGACATGATACTGCATCGCTAGCTGTAGGAGGGCCATGGCGGCATGGGGGCGTTGGAGTATGGGAGTATGGGGGCAGGGGGGGTATGGGGGAATGGGTATGAGGGCATTGGAGCATGGAGGCATGAGGGGTATAGGGGAATGGGGGCGTGGGGGTATGGGGGGTATGGGGGGCATGAGTTGAGTCAAGAGGCGCACCTGTTCGAGTTCCTGTGCAAGGAGAATGCAGGGGCCGCACCACGTGGCGTGGAAGTCGGCAAGTGAGTCAAAAACTCAAAGAGCCGCACCACTATTCTTGAGGTGCGTCACAGGAAACTGACCTGTTCGAGCTCCTGTGCGAGGAGGATGCAGGGGCCGCACCACGTGGCGTAGAAGTCGATCACCATGGGCAGCGGTCGATCGCCCGACAGCAGCGCGTCCAGCTCCTTTCCGTTCACCTTGCGCTGCCGCGGGGGGCGAGGTGGGGGGGTGAGGGGCGGGGACAGTGGGGGCCATGAGGAGTACAAAGCCTGTCAGGGTTTTGAGGCGGTTCAAAGCCCGACAGCAGCGCGTCCAGCTCCTTGCCGTTCACCTTGCGCTGCCCGCCGTGGAGAGGTGAGAGGGGGGGGGGGAGGGGGGGGCGGGGAGGGGAGGGATCGGGTTGGGGAGAGGACGGGGTAATGGGGGATGAGGGACGGGAAACGAGGGAAGATTGAGGTAAATTTCGTGTTTTGGTTGGTGATTTTCCCTTGTTTGTTTTATTAGTGTTTTTGATGTTGTTTTGTTGAATGAAGTATGAAGTATTAAATCCCGCAGTTGGTCGTACCACGAGGTTGCATTGAACGGAGAAAGCTGATTGGCTGCTCGCCCCCGCTCTCGTCGAATTGCCCCTGAAGCTGTCCGATCGCAGACCCCGAATGCCGCGTGCGCGAAGCGGATGCGACAGCGCTGCCGTCGCATGCGGACGCACGTGAGCTGCATCGCGCGATACAGTCGCAGCGGCGCGTGAAGTCGCGAGGCCGCTGACCGCGGGAGTCACGGCGATAGCCGACGCCATGGGATGACGCGACGATTACTCTCACTCGTCACGAGATCTACGGACGAGCGGCTCACGCGAAAAAGAGCGCGCGGTGCGAGAGAAGAGCAGACGAAATTGGGCGTGATCACGGAGTGGAGCGGCGAATACCGAGCGGGCGTTTATTCACGAGGTGAGTGAAGGCGGCGGGCGGCGACAGCTGCACCGCAGTGCAGATGGAAATGGGATGAGCGCTAAACAACAGGGACGCGTGGATTAGAGCCGTGGAATGAATTTTCAAGGTTGAATGGACTGGGCTAGTAGGTTGACGGCAGCATTGCAGGCAGAACGAGGGAAGGCCCTTCCAGCTTACAAAGACGCGGAGATATTTGCGGGCGCCACGTAAAGCACGCAGGAAACGTGGAGATCTCTGAGGTTCCCTCCCAGCATCATTTCGATACGCTGGGCATCGCACTGTACAGTCAATGTGCCAACTTACTGACAATGATTGAAAAAAAGCTAATGCATATTGACAATGTAAGCTGGATATGGATGGACTATATTTGTTCTTGATGGCGAAGGCATTTCCTTCAACGACCTACTGTCAATCTATGAAGTATATGAAACATATCATACAGCATGACTGCTCCAATCAGCCTTGCTCGTGTGGCTATTGGTAGCCTTTGTCAATCAGATGCCTTTCAATTGCCTGCTGAGCCAGTTCTCTGAACTTCTCATCGCCCGGGCACTCCCTGCAACACAATGCAGAACGAGTATGCATGGTAATAAGTTTGCATGAAAGAGTGACGTTGGGCCCCCATCCCCATCCCAATCCCAATCCCAATATCAATCCTCATCCCCATCCCCATCCCCATCCCCATCCCCATCCCCATCCCCATCCCCATCCCCATCCCCATCCCCATCCCGATCCCCATCCCCATCCCCATCCCCATCCCCATCCCCATCCCCATCCCAATCCCCATCCCCATCCCCCTCCCCATCCCAATCCCCATCCCCATCCCCAGTCTCCCACTTCCCCAATCACCCGCACTCACCGGTTGAGGTCGAAGGACTCGCGGGCGCGCTCCATGCTCGTGTCGGCCACCTGCTGCAGCTGCCGTGATGTGAAGTGGTAGCGCGCCGCCACCTCCTTGAGGAACGATATGTCCATCAGGAACTGGAGGGGTAAAAAGGGCGGAGTGGGGGGACAGTGGTGAGGATGGGGCGAGCAGGCAGTGAAGCGCCACCTCCTTGAGGAACGATATGTCCATCAGGCACTGCAGGAAGGAATGGGGATGAGGAGAGGGGGCGGGAGGGTTTGGACAGCAGTGGGGATGGGCCGAGCAGGCAGTGAGCCGATGTTTATCAGGGGCGAGACGGGAGGAAGAGGCTGCGTTGCGGTGGGTGGGGGAGAGAGGGGATGGGCAGCAGTGGGAAAGGTTGAAAGGATTCATGAAGGCAGGTGGGCATGGGGAGCGAGAGCAGACAGAAGAAAGGCATCAAGAAGTGGGTGGGCAGAAGCCGATGAAAGCCGATAGAACCGAGAAGAGGTGCAGTGCGCAAGAAAGGGCACCTTGGTGCAGGGGATGGGTGCATGCTCAAGGCCAGTGGGTCAATCCTGCATGAGTGTTGCTTGCGTCTCATGCACCCACGTGCTGCAGCCCACAAATTTGTGGGGCCCACTGGGCTGTAGCAACTTTGAGCAAACTCACGACTTTGTTGTGACAGATGAGCGCGAGCAGTGCCAGTTCGTACTGAGTGAGTACCTGCCTTGAGGTATTCCAACCACCCACCTGCTGCAGACCAGTGCCCCACCTGCTGCATCCCAAACACCCACCTGCTGCATCGCAACCACCCACCTGCTGCATCGCAACCACCCACCTGCTGCATCGCAACCACCCACCTGCTGCATCGCAACCACCCACCTGCTGCATCGCAACCACCCACCTGCTGCATCCCAAACACCCACCTGCTGCATCCCAAACACCCACCTGCTGCATCGCAACCACCCACCTGCTGCATCGCAACCACCCACCTGCTGCATTGCAACCACCCACCTGCTGCATCGCAACCACCCACCTGCTGCATCGCAACCACCCACCTGCTGCATCGCAACCACCCACCTGCTGCATCGCAACCACCCACCTGCTGCATCGCAACCACCCACCTGCTGCATCGCAACCACCCACCTGCTGCATCGCAACCACCCACCTGCTGCATCGCAACCACCCACCTGCTGCATCCCAAACACCCACCTGCTGCATCCCAAACACCCACCTGCTGCATCGCAACCACCCACCTGCTGCATCGCAACCACCCACCTGCTGCATCGCAACCACCCACCTGCTGCATCGCAACCACCCACCTGCTGCATCGCAACCACCCACCTGCTGCATCCCAAACACCCACCTGCTGCATCGCAACCACCCACCTGCTGCATCGCAACCACCCACCTGCTGCATCGCAACCACCCACCTGCTGCATCGCAACCACCCACCTGCTGCATCGCAACCACCCACCTGCTGCATCGCAACCACCCACCCGCTGCATCTCCCCTACCCACCTGCTGCAGCCCGGTGGGTCCAACGAAGTTGTGGCTGTCCTCCCAGGCCTTGTCGTGGCAGATGAGAGTGAGCAGCGCCAGCCCGTACTGTGTGAGCAGCGCCCATATTGCATAAGGTGTCCCAGTGACCCACCTGCTGCATCTCCCCTACCCACCTGCTGCAGCCCGGTGGGCCCGACAAAGTTGTGGCTGTCCTCCCAGGCCTTGTCGTGGCAGATGAGAGTGAGCAGCGCCAGCCCGTACTGCGTCAGCAGCTGCAGCACCAGGCGGTCCCGCCCCGCCAGCACCTCTGATGCCGCATCCGATACCGTCAGCGTCATGAACAGAAAGTTCTGCACACATGCGTGGGAGCGTGGGGAGAGGAGTGCACAGGGAACAGCACGTGGGAAGGCGTATGGTAAGGCAGGCATATGAAAAGGCATGGGAGAGGAGAGGGCTTCTGAGGGCTTCTGAGGGCTTCTGAGGGCTTCTGAGGCGCCTAAAATCGTCCCGCCCCGATACCGTCAGCGTCATGAACAGAAAGTGCTGCACACACGTGGGAGCGTGGGGAGAGGAGTGCACAAGAAGCAACTTTTGAGGCGCCTCAAAAGTCATCGGACATGGTGCGCGTGGTGAGGGAAAGTTGTGCACACGCGTGGGAGCGTGAGGAATGCACCAGAAACAGCACGTTGCTGTTCGAGCCTACGGGAAGGCTTATGGAAAGGCATGTGAGATGGCATGTGAGAAAGACAAGTGAGAGGGCATGTAAGAAAGAAAAGTGAGATGGCATGTGAGAAAGACAATTGCGAGGGCATGTGAGAAAAAAAAAGTGAGAGGGCATGTGAGAAAGACAATTGAGGCATGTGAGAAAGACAAGTGCGCGAACATGTCAGAAAGACAAGTGAGAGGGCATGTGAGAGTGTATGTGCAGCTAGCTGACCTTGAGAGCCTCGGATGGCTGCGCATCATTGAACCAGAGCGAGGGATCTGACTCCACCTGATGGCACAGCGGTGCCCAGTGGGGTTCACAGCATGGGGAGGGGAAATGGGATAGGGAGCACGGGTGGAGGAGGAAACACGAGGAACACATGAGAGACAACACACTTCTGATAATCACCATCACTCATATAAGCATCACTCCCCATCACCTTCGCACCCCACCCTCACTCCTGACCCAATCAGCCTCACACAGTCATTCGCAGTCACCCTTTCTCCCAGTCACCCCCACATCACATCACATACCCACCTGGTCCATGAGGAAGCAGAGGAGGGGCAGGAGCGCGTCATCCATGCAGGCATCCATCTCGTCTCCCAGTCACCCGCACTCGCACTCTCCAAACACTCTTCCTCCCTGTCAACCCCATCACACCCCCACATCACCCGCCCACCTGGTCCATGAGGAAGTAGAGGTGGGGCAGCAGGGCGTCATCCATGCACGCATCGGGATACAGCAGCTCAGTGGCCTTCTGCATGCAGAACCCCATCTTCAGATCCTCCACGCCCTCGCTCAACTGACCTTGGAGACATCTCGGAAACCACCACCCTCATTCCCAGTCGCCCTCACTCCCCATCACCCCCGTTTGCACTCCCAAGCACCCTCCCTCCCAGCCACCCGCACCACACCTGCATCAGATTCACACCCCCCCAACCCGCCCACCTGGTCCATGAGGAAGTAGAGGTGGGGCAGCAGAGCATCATCCATGCAGGCATCGGGGTACAGCAGCTCAGTGGCCTTCTGCATGCAGAACCCCATCTTCAGATCCTCCACGCCCTCGCTCAGCTGCTTCTTCCACGCCTGCAGCTGCTGCCGCTTCGCCTCCCCACCAGAACTCCTCCGCTGCTCCCTGCTCGCCCGCTGCCCCGCCACCGGCTGCGTCAACCTTGCCGCCAGCCTCGGGAGCTCCTCTGCTAGAGTAACCGCGTTGGCAATCAGAGCCAGCTGCTGCCGGTCCGTCACAGCCTTGTTCACAATCCCTGCCGCCCCTGCGCCGCTGCCATCCCCCTCCCCGGCGTCCCCGGGGCCCCCGGCTTGGCTGGTGGAGGCGGCAAAGGCGGCGGAGGCGGACGCGTCCCAGTCGGAAGAGGAGTCTTCAGGGGTGCGGGCGCGGTTGAGCATGGCGGTGTACTGGGAGTAGAGGTGCGCTAGCCCGTCCAGGGTTGGTGTGGTGAGCTGCAGATTCACTATCGGCACCACGTCCTCTAGAAAGTCCTGTGCCCAGAGAGGAGGTGTGGGAAGAAAGGCGTACAGGAGAAGGAGGGAGAGCGGCAGAGGCCGAGGAAAGAGGAGAGATGGGGCAAGAAGGGTGGTGAGCTGCAGATTCACTATCCGCACCACGTCCTCTAGTAATGACTTTTGAGTCGACTCAAAAGGTTCACTATCGGCACCACGTCCTCTAGAAATCCGTGTGCTCAGTGAGGGGATGTGGGGAGAGGGGTAAGGAGGAGCGAGAGTGAGGAAGGGGGAGGGAGGGAAGTGGGAGGCAGGAGGATGGAGAGCGAGGGAGGGCGAAGACTGAGGAGATAAGGAAAAAAGGTAGTTCAGAGGACATACCTGCACCATGGAGTAGAGCCGGTACGCGCTGCTGGTAAGCCGGAAATTCGCGACAGGAGCATCCGCCAGCATCCGAGCCGCAGCGCTGCGCGGCGCCGACGGCACAGGCAGCAGCGACCAGTCGTCCCCAGCAGCCATGGCCTGCACGCTCTCCTCTATCCTCCGTATATTCGCCTCCAAAGCCAGCTCCACATTGGGCCGCACGAGGCGCATGAGCACGGCGGCCATGGCCAGCCCATGGTCCTCCAGCAGCGAGCAATGCCCTACTGCAATCTGCACGCACTCGGCGGCCAATCGCAGCCCGCCAGCTGCCGCTGCCGACGTCAGCACGTACTGCTGGAGCAGGTCCCCGCACCATTCTGTCTGCCCGTGCGCCCAGAGCACCAGCTCTGAGGCGCAGGAGGGTGTGTCGCCGAATACGGCCTTGGAGTCCTGTGCTGCGGCCAGGATCGTGGAGAATACCAGCCGTGAGATCTTGGCCGTGTAAGCTGCACCGTAGGATACGCCCCCCGGGCGCAGCGGCTGCACGGCCGCCTGCACCTGAGCCCCGTGGCACGCCAGCATGAGCGTGTGAGCCCGCTTCGGGTCGCCGAGCCTCGCCAGCGCAGCCACGGCGTGCCGAAGCTCCGCTCGCCGAACCGACGGCTGTAGGGTGACCCGAGCCAGCAGGTCAACAAGCTCGGCGCGCTTCTCAGCAAGGCTCGTATCTAGGGTTTCCAGGGCGTCTTTATTCACTGCTGGGCGCTGCCCCGCACGGCACATCACCACAGCATCCTCCCCTTTCGCCAGCAGATCTAGGGCCTCGTCTATCCGCCTTTCAGCCAAGCACACGGCCATTTTGTCCGGGATCTGCAGCAGATTGGCCTCCTGCGAGGAAGCTTCCTTGTCGTCCTCGTAGACGGAGCGGTCAGGGTCGGAGAGGTGGGATTGGACGATGGGCGAGCGGTCGGAGAGGGAGTGGATGAGCGTGGACTGTGCTGTGAGCAGCGAGCGCACGTTGCGCAGCTCGCCTTCCAGCTCTGATATCTCCTTTGCTGTGCTGCAGAGGGGGTACAAAGAGGTAGCGCGGAGTGGAGAAGAATGGAGTGGAGTGGAGAGGGGTGGAGAGGAATGGAGTGGAGTGGATGGAAGAGAGGCGGGTAAGGCGGGTAGGGCGGGTAGGGTGGGATGGAAGTGGAAACCAAGAGGGAACAGAAAATGAACTGAGTAGATTGTTATACTGTGCGTTGCATATGACAAGACATTTTTTGCATGCTGCGTAACGAGGATTCCAGGATTTAAAGAATGCGTAGCCGGATAAGCTGCATAATGACATGTTAGAGAAACAGGGACGGGTTCACAGGATGAAGGACAGGGATGGCCTTACCGAATAAAGGACTTTCAGTTGGCGTACACGCTCTTGCGCATCTCCCCCGAGGTGACATTTGAGTCGACTCAAAAGGACGGGCTCACAGGATGGACGACAGGGAGGGGCTTACCGGATGAAGGACTTGTAGTTGGCGTACACGCTCTTGCGCATCTCCTCCGCCGACGCGCGCTTGAAGTCCACCAGCTCCGCGCACAGCTTCCGCAACGACTGCGAATCAGATTGTGACGTGAGATAAACGAGTGAGTTAGACACGCGAGTGAGATATGTGAGTCAAACGCGTGGGTCAAGAATGGGATTGCGCTGATGGCTTTGCATTTCGCGTGCGACGCACCTCTTCGCTCACGGCTTCGCAATTCGCGAGCGACGCACCTTTTCGCTCATGGCCTTGCATTTGGCCTGCATAAACTGGTCCGCGTTGAACGACTCCGACTCCAGGTGTCTGATCTCCTGCCCGATCATCGAGTCCTCGCCCAGCCCGTACTTCGCCGGCTTTCCCTTGGGCGTGGGAGGCGGAATCGCGGGGTTGGCTCTAAGGGCGCCATGAGCGGCTACTTGGCTGGACTTGGAGTGTGGATCTATGGACTGGCGCCGGGAGAACTGCCGGCTGCTGGCCGTGCTCGTGCTCATCGTGATTGCTACGACAGTTACGATGAATAACTCAAGCGGACCCGTACACTAGGAGATTCAGAGAAATGATAGGACAAAGAAGAAGTTTTACTATCACGGTGCGACTCCGCTAATTGTAGTGTTTAAAAACGACCTCAGTGTCCGCATTTTTGTGTTGTCAATGTCGACTACTAATCCAGGGATGCAGACTCTTTACGTGAATAATAAAGGCCTACGAACTGTTCGGCTCTACGACGACTAAGGACGACCTAAAGCTATTCCTAATGCTGCTGATTGGGCGAGCTGGATAACGGTCATCTCGCTTGCATCAGCCAACAAGTATGTAGCTCCAGGTCTGGCTGGCGGCAGAATCTGTGTCCTTCGGACTCGGAAGGGTTTTTAGTTTTCACGGAAGGCTTACTGTAGCTGTCTTTCTTTGAGGGACTTTCATCTCAACTTGCGCACACTTTCCGCAGATCCGCTTCTGAGACGGAAGAGTTTTCGTGCTAACACAGAACTCGGCTTCTCCGCACGTCACGCAAGCACTGTTTTCGTCGACAGTATTCTGCCAGCAAGCACAAAACTAAACCCCTCTCGGATGGCAAGTTTTCAAGGGCATCAACCCTAAACACCACGCGACAAGGCGTTTAGGGTTGATGCCCGCCAAGTGGGATATAATTTTGGGGCATCAACCCTAAACACCTAGTCGCAAGGTGTTTAGGGTTGATGCCCCAAATTTAACATGCAAGCCAAGAGGGATTTAGTTTTGGCATCAACCCTAAAAACTTAGTCGCAAGGTGTTTAGGGTTGATGCTCTTCATTACCATGCCAGCGGAGAGGGATTTAGTCTAGTACGAAAAAAAAAACAAAATAGTGCTGTGCACCGTTTGCCTGAGTAGCAACAGAAATGGATTCCGAGATGATGACACGTGGGTTAATGTGGAGACGAGTTCTGTGTTAGCGCGATAAGTCTTCTGTCTCGGCAGCGAAACCTGGGAAACTGTGTGCAGGTAGAGACGAAGGTCCCTAGAAAGCGCAGGTTCGGAAGTACCTCTTCTGCCGTAACTAAAAACCCGACTCGGAAACATGGAACGAAACTCGAGGAACCTGGCTGGAGGCGGTGTTATAAGACCCTACTCGTTATCGTTCAAAATCCTACGCAACCGTTCTACGATGAAAACGAACCGCTGCTGTTCCTTCGAAAGCAGGTCCGAACGAACGTGAAGTGAATGCTTGGGATGCTTTGAAAAAGGATTTAGGGAAGGGACAACGACGAAACCTTGACTTCAACGTTCGTTATAACGATAGCATTATTTGACTGTTGGAAACCTGAATTACTGTGTTTAATTCTCCCGAGATGATGATTTTGCAAATACAGCATAACGAAGAAGTGCAGAAGCGGAAACAATTGCAGCCTTTGGGGCAAGTGAAGTTGCTCCGCTGTCTCCCAGCACTCATGCACCCCAAAATTTCAAGCGTGCAAGGCTTGGTCCGAAAACAAAGGCCTTTCCACGTGGAGCTAAAAAAGTATCCATTTTCCCCGATGACTTCACACGAGCGGACAGGATTCGATCAACAAACCGCCGTGCTCTTCGATTGGGCAAACTTACTCCTTTTTCAAAGGGCAGGTCACCAATCGTCCAATTAACGGTCGCCCGACTGGGCATAAACCTAACGCACCCCCGTTTGGCCAACCCCAGCTTGCCTCTCCGCATTTTCCCACCAACCATTCCCTCCCAAGGATCATGCTCCCCTTTCACCGATTTGTGCCGTACTCAACCCTGCTAAGCCCTTCCATCGTTACATTTCCACATCGTCTTCCCCATCCACCGTTTGCTACAAGCAGCTGGCTGTTTGTCCATGGAGGCTCTTTCCAACGCCCTTGCGTGAAGGGCTTTAGCTCTCTCCTCTCTCTCGCTCACTCACGAGCATCGTTGTTGCTCGTCTCTGACAAGTCCAGTCCTCGCGGCGGACTCGAGCCTTTACCTCTCTTCCTCAGCGGCTTGCCGCTGTTGTAAGTCCAGCCCTCGCGGCGGGACTTGATACTGCTGTTCCTGAACGCGCTGCTCCTCTGTCAGGAGTGCCAAATATCAGGACAGTGCCAATTCTTGCACCAAACGAGTCTTGAGTTGAATTCGGAGTTTCTATTCGGGTACTCGATACACTCCTGAAGTGTCAAGCTCTTTCTCAGAAGCTATGCCTGGAGTGTCTTCCAAGGTCAAGGGCGCCACGGCCATGGCCGCGGATGAGCAGCAGGTGGCGACTCCCATCAGCGCCAAGAAAGCCAAAGCCCTCGCGGCCGACGAGAATGGAGCTTCGCCGTCTGATCCAGTCTCCGCGAAGAAATCCAAGAAGAAAGCCAAGGACGGCGATACGCCTGTGAAGCGGAAGCGCGATTCCACGACGTCAGCCGAATCGGCGGGGGAGGAAGTTACGCCGAAGAAGAAGTCGAAGAAGACCTCCGGAGAGTCCGCGGAGGAAGGTTCGGCGAAGAAGTCCAAGAAGAAGCAGAAGAAGTCGAAAGAGCCGGAGGCGCCAGCGGAGGAGCCGGAGAAGGAGGATTCTGACGGATCTGCCGACGCGTCAACGTCTTCTGACGAAGCTAACGGAGCTGGAACGGAGACCGCGGGCGAGGTTGACGGCTCATCGGACGGTCCGGAGGAGCCGGCGGCGGCGGACGAGGAGGATCGCGAGGACGATCCGAACAGCATCGACAACTTCCGCCTGTCGCCGGCCGTGAAAGCCGCGCTGCGTCGCAAGTCCATCTCGTCGCTCTTCCCCATCCAGGTGCAGACGTTCGACCTCGCTATGGACGGCATCGATATCATCGCGCGCGCGCGCACCGGGCAGGGCAAGACGCTCGCGTTCGTGCTGCCCATCGTGGAGCGCCTGAAGATTCTCAAGGAGAGCGGCGGCAAGGGCGCCGGCGCCGGGTTCGCGAGCCGCAGCAAGCTGCCGAGCGTGATCGTGCTGGCGCCGACGCGCGAGCTGGCGAAGCAGGTCGGCGACGACTTCGAGTACATCGGCCGCGCCGCCGGCATGTCCGTCGTGTGCGTGTACGGCGGCGCGCCCATGGGCCCGCAGGAGCGCGCGCTCTTCCGCGGCGTCGATATTGTCGTCGGCACGCCCGGCCGCATCAAGGTAGCTTTCAACCCGAAACCCTTGAACCCTGAACCCTCCGCTTTTGCCTAGAGAATATGCAAAACCCAGAATCCACGCTGCACGTCTCTGCAGTCTTGATTGTTCTCGCTTTCCAAATTCTTACTTATCCGTCTCCCCCGCTTCGCCTCTTTATTTCTTTCCTCACTTCCTCCCTAATCCTCTCTAAATTTCTCTCTGCTGCCCGCCGCCTTCCGCCATGGAGCAGGATCTGCTGCAGCGCGGGTCGCTGAAGCTGAACGAGGTGCGCTTCCGCGTGTTGGACGAGGCGGACGAGATGCTCGACATGGGCTTCGTCGACGACGTCGAGACCATCCTCAGTGAGTGCTCTGCTCTGCGCGGGTGGACTGCGCGAGGGAATTGTGCGACGTGACGTCGAAACCATCCTGCGCGAGTGCTCCGCGCGGGTGAATTGCGCGAGCTGGCTGCGCCGTTCCCGTAGAGCTTCGTAGAGAGCTTCCCGTAGCCGTGATGCAAACGCTAACACATTTCTCTCCGAATTTGGTTGTCGTGTGTGCGCGTGGAGCAGAGTCGGTGGACGACCAGTCCAAGGTGCAGACGCTGCTCTTCAGCGCCACCGTGCCCGAGTGGGTCAACAAGGTCAGTCACTCACCCTCTCGCCGCACACACACGCGCCCTCTCTCTTCTCCACTACCGTATTGCCCTTGCATGCGCGCGCTCGCCCCACGCTCCACGCCTTGTGCGCTGGGACGGTTTGGGAGACGCGTGAAAGCACTATCTTGCCACGCTTCAGTGTTCGCAGAAGCGACACTCCGCTCCCCAACGTTGCTGCATTGGCATTGGCACTCTCTGGTCTCGCTTCCCTCTCGCTTCCCTCTCGCGTCCCTCTCGCTTCCCTCTCGCTTCCCTCTCGCTTCCCTCTCGCTTCCCTCTCCTTCCTGCCGTGCTTCTCCCCTCCGTCCGCTCACCTCGCATGGGCCTTTTCTTCCGCGCCTTTTCCCCTCCCCGCGCCCCGCGCGCTGCCACACCACACCCCACCCCACCCCACCGCACTGCACCAGATATCGAAGCGTTTTTTCCGCGAGGACAAGCGTGTGGTGGATCTGGTGGGCGGCGAGCGGCAGAAGGCGAGCACCAACGTGCGCCACCTGCTCATGCCCTGCCACACCAAACAACGCTTCCAACTCGTCGCTGACGTCATCGCCACCTACAGCCTGTCAGTTGCTCCCCTCCTCCGTTCGCCCCTCACCCCCTCCCCTCCCGCTCTACCCCCCTCCCCTTTTTCCGCTGTCCGCATACCCAACATTACTTTTTGCACGTGTGAATGCACCCCGTTTTTGTGCCCTATCAACATTCCGCCCAACCTCCTCTTCCCGATCTCCCCCCTCCCCCACTTCCCCGCCCCCGTCACGCCCCCACCCCCTTTCCCCGGCCCCGCGCCTCCCCGTCCCTTGCACCACTGGCAGCGGCGGGAAGGTGATACTGTTTGTGGACACTAAGAGCGCAGCCTCGGAGTTCGCGCAGAACTTGGCGCACCTGGGGGCGCGCGCTCTCCACGGCGACGTCGTGCAGCAGCAGCGCGAGGTGAGTCAGCAGCAGCGCGATTTGAGTCAGCAGCAGCGCGATTTGAGTCAGCAGCAGCGCGAGGTGAGTCTGCAGCAGCGCGAGGTGAGTCAGCAGCAACGCGAGGTGAGTCAGCAACAACGCGAGGTGAGTCAGCAGCAACGCGAGGTGAGTCAGCAGCAGCGCGAGGTGAGTCTGCAGCAGCGCGAGGTGAGTGAGTTGGCAGCAGCACCACCAGCTACTATGCAACGTGTGCTCCATTCAAATGGGGTTGGTGGCTTGACATGCTCGTCCTCCCTCTCTCACACCCCTCTCACATGCCCCTCTCACACCCCTCT